AGAATATTTCTTTCTGGGCTCACAAAAGTAGGATGACTGCTTTTTAGAAAAATAGCTACCTATATTTTGTGGTCCCAGTGCTCTGACATAATTTCAGGACTTAACTTCTTATCTGTTGAGAAGGTAAAAACTTTGTGCCCTGGGAATTTTCTGCAGGCAGACTTCTTTGTCTTCCCTGATTTAATTCCAGATGTCAGAGAAGTCATTTATGCTGTTGGCAGCTCCTTGCGCTATCTGTAGCAGTGGTGGGGTTTGTGTTGTGGTGTTTTTTTTTGTGTTTTTTTTTTTTTTTTTTTTTTGTTGTTGTTTTTTTCCCAACAGCACAGACAGCAACTATGGAGGAAAAAAACCCTCACCAATCAACCTAACAACGCTACTCTTATTTTGATAAGACCAGAAGTAAAATCTCCATAACAGGAACTCAGTGTGTGTTCTCTGTGAAACATGCTGCCTTGCAAAATGGCAGCAGATCAACAGACAGGCAAACACATTACTGTTTATTTGGCATAATGAACAGATTCTTTTATAATTCTTTGAATTTGGATTTTTAGTCTTTATGTTTGAATTTTCAGTCGCTGTGTTTCCTATAGTGTGTTATAGCAGTGTCAGGCAAAGGGTAGAAGAGTTAGAACAGGGAATAGTACAAAAAGTATGGAAAATACTTTGCAGGTAATAAATACACAGTCATGAAAAAAGGATGTAGTTGTCTTCTTTGATACTGTTAGTATGGAATCTTCTCCAAATATTCTGTGTAATTCTTTTCAGCATTTCTCAAAGGTAGAGGTGAATTACCCTCCTCCTTAACAGCATGGTACAAAGACCTTGAGTCATAGCCTGAAATAGTTTTTCTGTGCCCAAGTAGAACCCAAGGGAAGTTAGGGAACTTTAGTCTTAAACTGTTATCTTATATATTTTATGTGTAGCTGCCCCCTTATTCCAAAAGGCTCAGTTGGTATCCCACATTTTGCTCAAACTTCTAAAGATGTGCCTCTTCATATTTAGAATTTTCTCAGCATTTTGGGGCAATTCTTCTTCTCTAAAGCAGCTATACACTGATCAGTTAGATGCCATTTTGTGTTAATAAAGTTAAGATTTGTAATTTTAATTTCAAACTTTGTGGTGGCAGGGGCTGTAGCAATCTGAGTGACTCAAAGATATTCCTAGAATGACAGTTTTACATAGTTCTAAAAGCTGGCAAACAAACCTGGATTATTTATTTTTTAAAATGCAAATATCAATCATCCTTTCTTTTATCTTTCTTATTCATCTGATCTTTTAAATTTAGACTGCTCTTTATGGTACCCAGCCAGCTCTCTCCTCTGAAATATTTCACAGAGATATCTTTTAACTCTGAATTCAGGAAATCGGCAAGAGTCTGGCTGTCTGAGAGCGCCAGGAGCCGTGGTTCTCCATTTGCAGTGCTCCAAGGGTGAATCCCTGTACTACAGCAATGTAGCAACAATGCTGGTAGCACAAGGTGAAAATTTGGAAAATTATGTTATGTTTAAACCATATGGCTTGGCTGTTACTTGAGGAAACTAAGAATTGAAGTTAAGAGAAAGTCTGGAATCCACTTGAAAAGCTTTGAGAAAGTTGATGATCACTGTTTAGGTGACAAAGGTCCGGAATCCTGGAGTGCACTAAGATACGTGTTATTCTCTGTGCTTGATGTTGTGCTAAGAAACACCTATGCTAATGTAGATGAACCCTGAAGTAACCTCAGCAAGATGTGCAGTATACTTCAGGAAACAAAGATGAGTCATGATTTACTGACATGTGTGCGTGATAAATGAAATTGCATTAAGTTTGAGCTGATTTTTTGCTTTGGTGGCTTAGGTTTTTTTGATGAGCATGGGAATCATGTATACCAATTAATTGCTACAGTTGTTTGCTCAGTCCAGGAGCAGGGGCTATTTAGCTGTCCTTGCAACTTGTGATGGTTTGCTCCTTCATGTAACGTGGTGCTCAGTAATGAGTCTGGATTTTGAGCAACAGACCTGAAGTTGTGGAAGAATTTTTGAAAACCACTCAGTGCTATTTCAGAGGAGCTTCTGACTTCTGTGTGTCCAGTTTTTTAGTGAATTATGAGTTGGATAAGATATCCATTTTATTTTTCTTTTTTTACAGGTGTGTTTGTTTTATGGTTAGTAATAGCTTATGTAGTGTTATCTTCAAAGTTTCTATAAACTTTTTTCTGTTAGATCAGCAGCTGTCATATCCTGAGTAGTTTCAGGGCATCCTTACACATTTTCCTTTTAAGGTCTGTTATTTATGTGTTAGGGTCCCCCTTAAAGCTGTGTCTACAAATGACCTGCTTTTTCTTTATTTACTAATTTTTCAAGAACTGTTCTTGCTTGTCCTCAGCTGATGTTCAAATAATTATGGAGTCTTTTGAATAGTAATCTCTCTCTCAGACTTACCGTGTGTTCATGTAAGTTCAGAGACATTTCTTTTTCCATTGTCACAGTGCTAGATTAAGGTTATTTTACACTGTAACAGAAGGAATTACTTTTCCATCCTCCTGCCTGATGACATCTGTCTGTTCTCTGTAGCAAAGTCTCAGAGCAGAGGTGTTGTGTGTATGGAGTCCGTGGTGTCTCTGTGTTCTAGGGAGTCAGTAAGGGCATCTGCATCATGGAAACCTGGGTTTCATCACTACTTTGCATCACTACTCAATCTGCAGTGGGTGAAGTCCACCAAAGATAGGGTCTTGGTGGCAGGTGGATGGAGGTAGGCACCTCCATCCCTATCTGCATTCCTCTGAATTCTCTTATACCACTCTTATAGAAAACATGCGATTATTCCAATTATTTTGAGGTATGTGTGGCTTTGTAGTGGTCTCATGTAAGTGCCTTGAAAGATTCAAATGGTCACATCCATTGATGTGTGAGACATAGGGACACTATTTTTTTTTTCAGGAAACAAATCTTCATTGATAGGGACAGCAGTTGGCAAATCTTTAGGAAAAACTGGCATTGTGACTACACTAACCCTGCAGTGTGAGTACGGCAACACAACATATGGGCTTGCACTAAGTTTCTGGAAAGGATTGAAGTCATCCCAGGCCTCTCTAACTTAATTAGTGACTTGTGCCTGGGTTCTGACAGAGAGTTTGGATTTTCCTGGATTCAGTTTCTGATAACCTCTGCAGATGTGGGGTCTGGGACAGTGCTGCTCGGAAAACTCTGTTTATTGCAGCTGATGTGTACTCGACCTCATGACTCTCGATGAGTGTCTTGAATCACTCGAGAATAACTAATGCCCCAGCTTCCAGATCATCCTCAGTTTCGCCTTCAGCCAACTGAGTGTTCACCTTCCTTCACAGTTACAGGAAATGAAGATCTTCTGGGATAACTTGAGTGCAGCTGAGTGGTGTGTTTGGTCTATGGGGAAATACTGTGAACAGAAAGAGATTACAGTAGTAAAAATAGACATGGGGTTCAGAGGTATTTCTTGGGATTTTTTTTTTTTCTCCTCTCAATTCTAAAGTATATTTAATACCGTTGGCTGGTTTTACTTTCGAACATTAATTTAGAGTCATACAGTTTAAACAGGCTTTCATGCTGTGTGGGATTGGTTGTACACTGTACAGGCGATGTGCACAGCAAATTTGCCATAACCCCTGTGGATATTTGTAGCAAGGAGGGATATAAAGGGCTGTCATCCACTGACAGTTAACTGCTGCAAATGAATTAATGGCATTTTTTACCATCAATTAAACATTAAAAAGAATGGACCAATGGTTAGGAAAAAGAGGGGTTTAAAGAAATAGAAAATCTACATCGCTGTAGAGAACGATATGAAACATACAATACGCTAGCAATATTCCAAACTTAATTCTGTTTAAGTCCTGCATAACTAGATTTGTCTCTTTAGTAATAAAAACGTGTAATGCCAGTTACATAGTTCTCTTCAGCAGAGAAAGGATCACTGCTTGGGAATGAAAATTTTTGAATCCCAGCAGAGGGAAAAAAGGGATGCTGTGACTGCTATCCTTCCACACAGGGGTTATTTATTGCCTCTTTTATGGAATTTGCACCACGCCAGAATTTAGATGAGTTTGTGTACAGTGTACAATGCACAGTGACTTGGAGCTAAATGGTTATGAAAGACATGACATTTGGGCACTTGTGGTGCCAGTTTTTAATGACTAAAGAATATGCGTGTCTGTGTGAAGAATTATCAATGTAAGATTTTATTTTACAGTGTAGATATTTTCCGAACATACCCAAGTCTTTGTAATGGAATGAATTAATGAAAATTAATTATATCCTTTGTACCTGAAATGTGATTTCTTTTGTTTGGAATGATTTACTGTACATCTCTTCTTCTTGTTGTTTCCACTTCTTGAATGTGAAACATGAGAAAACTTACTCTTTCGGTATTTCATTAGTGGTATTACTAAATTCTCATTTGATCCCCAAGGATGAGGTTCTTGGTGGGGGAAGAGTGAATATTTTCATTAAAACAAAACCAGGTGCAGCTAACTGTTGTTTAAGCCAATTTACTTTTACGGTAGGTTTGATTATTAATACATCAGAAATCTTACTTGTGGTTACTATGGTAAAAGTTACATTTCATAATGCTGTCTCACAACTAGTTTTAATTTAGAAATTAGTGGCTTATTTCGGCTTGCTTTATAGTCAATTTGTAAAGTGCTAGAGCGAGATTTTCAAATGACTCATTTTGGTCTTGATTGTAGTATGAGTGCAGGGTGGAAGTGATACTTCAGAGAATGTTCAGTTTCTCGGCTTCATGAATATTTCACCGTTTAACTCTTTTTAACACTATGTAGATAGGGTTTTATATCATGTTAGGATAACAGAGCTAATAAATGCTTTATAAATAAAATACTTCCTTTAGATTCTGAATAATATTCTGATGTGAGTCTATATCCAAAGCATAAGAAATTTGGGAAAAAAAAATATAAGCATAAAATGCCAAAAGTTGTTCAAGTCTTCCTAAAATAACTTTTTCCTTATTTTTCTTATTTCATGCAGGCTTTCCTCCATCGAATGATCCAATGTGCTACAGCCAAAGTGGATAAAAATGTCACAGAAGAAACAGTTAAGGTTAGTCTCCTAATTGCGTATTTCTTCTGGTTTGTATCTGATGTTTTATTTATGTATGTTTTATTCTTTTGCAGATGTTGTTTTCAAATATTGAAGATATTCTTGCAGTTCACAAAAACTTCCTGTCCCTGGTGGAGGAGTGCTTGCAGCCAGAACCTAATGCGCAGCATGAAGTTGGAACCTGCTTCCTTCATTATGTATGCTATCTTTTATTACAGCCTTATTTAACTTTTTTCCTTTATCAGCTGTCTTTATTAATTACATGGTCATGAGGACAAAATATGATGATTGCATAATGTAGAGTACTTTGAGGTCATCTCTTGGTTGTTGTCATTTCCAAAAAAAAAAAAAAAGAGAGGGGAGGAGAATGAAGAAAGAACATATGAAACGGACAAACTTTTGTTGTCTCATCATTTTTATATTCACCAAATTAGCCCAGGCTGACAAACTGAGTCATGCAGTGTGGGCGAGGCTGGTGCCAATACGTGAGATCGAGGTACAAGGATCAGGGTTGCATGAAACATCAAAATTAATAATGTGCTTCATTTTTATTCGACTTTGATGCTAGGCAAAAATGTGAATATTTAACAAACAATTGCATATGCTGGGTAAAATATCTCCATGGTTCTGGACTGTGAAGATATTTTACTTTTCACAACAGCAGTACCTCCACAAATATATTTGTATGTCTTGTAGTAATTGTTTTCCAATAGTATTACTTTTCCTGTTGGAGCAAAACAAGGACGTCCATGTTACAGAGCTCTGCAAAATCAGGACAAGTTAGTTTGCTTTCAATTGTAGACCTAACAAAAAATCCAGGTTTCGCTGTTGTCTCTGGTTAGAGTCCCATTTGTTTGTTAAATCTTTGTTTATTCATTGTGGGAGGAGAAAATTGCTAATGGTATGTGGAAACATTTTACAGAACTTGAGTAACATCAGTTTTTGACTGCAGAAGTATGGATCATATTCACAAACCCGTGTTTGCAGACATAATAGTTAATGATGTCAGCAAACAAGTAACTCATTGTGCATTTTCTTCCTGTTTTTTTTTAATCCTGTGATTTTGTGATAGTCCAGCTTCTGAAATTTTTCAGCAAAACCTTATGAAGTTCAACAAAGACAAATGTAAGGTCTTGCACTTGGGGAAAACATAATCCAGGAGTGCAGCACAGGCTGGGGAGCGGCTCTGGGGAAAGGGACCTGGGGGTCCTGGTGGACAACGAGCTCAATACGCGTGAGCAGTGTGCTGCGGCGGCAAGGAGAGCCAACAGGGTGCTGGGCTGCATCAGCAAGGGCGTCACCAGCAGAGACAAAGACGTCATTATCCCTCTCTACTCAGAGCTTGGCAGGCCACACCTGGAATCCTGTGTCCAGTTTTGGTCCCCGCTATACAAAAATGATGTGGAGAGGGTACAGAGGGGGGCCACAAAATGATCACAGGGCTGGGAAGCCTGCCACATGGGGAAAGGCTGAGAGAACTGGGTTTGTTCAGCCTCCAGAAAAGAAAGCTTAAGGGAGACTTTATCACCATTTAAAGGGTGGAGAAGATGGAGACTGCCTTTTTACAAGGAGTCACATGGAAAAGCTGAGGGGTAATGGGTACAAGTTAATCCTAGGGAGATTCTGGTTGGACTCGAGTGGAAAATTTTTTACCATGGGAACAATCAACCATTGGAATAATCTCTCCAGGGATGTGGTGGATTACCCAGTATTAGACACTTTTAGGATTCAGCTGTATAGGGTGCTGTGCCACCTTGTCTAGACTGTGCTTTTGCCAAGAAAGGTTGGATCAGATGATCCTTGAAGTCCCTCCCAACCTGGCATTCTATGATTCTGTGATCGAAATTCCCAAGTGATGCTTCCAGACTGTTCATAATTCTCATTTGAAGCTGGACCTCAAATAAGAAAAGGAAGAGAGAGCTGACCTTCCACAACGAAGATTATATTAACTATTCAGCTTTGAAAAGTGTTCATTTCATGTTTTATTAATTTTTTAAAATAAATCAAAATGGCAAGTGAGGAACAATGTATTTCTTTGTTTCTGCAGAAAGAGAAATTCCGTATCTATGACGAATACTGCAGTAACCACGAGAAGGCACAGAAAGTTCTGCTTGACCTTAACAAAATAAGAACAGTGCGGACGTTTCTTTTGGTAAATAAACTTTGAACTGGTGTTCTAACTTAATATTTTTTGACCGGGCAGTGAATTGTTAGCACTGTCACTTCCACCACGTAACAACTACAAGCACACTTGCAAGCAGTTAGCAGGCAGTTCCAGATGGGGTGGTGTTTCTAGAGGAAGGGGTTGTGTACATCATATTTTCACTGCTGCACTTGGATCTGTGTGTAATACAGCATTAGACAGTGTGCCTTGAGATTGCTGGCCAAAAGACAAGGATTTAAATCCAGCCGTGTCTGTAGAAAGTAACAAGAATCGGGTAAGATATGTAAGGAAGGACAGGGAAAGAAGTTATAGAAAGGAAGCTGAAGGACTCATCAGAACTTCTGAAGAGAAGGTCCATGTTCTGGTACTGTAGCAACAGCTGTGCCAGGCAGAAAAATGTGTTGTTATGGATCATAGAGTAACCGTCCTGATTTTAAATGCTGACTTTAATCTGAGGTCAAAATAAACAGCTACACTTATAAAGTCTTTCACTTTATAAGACAAATAGGGAGGGTTTTTAAAACGTTAAGTATGACAATCCTCATGATTTTCCTGCAGCAAAACCAGTTTCCATCTAAATACTGAGTTTCCTAATAGCTAACATTAGTTGTTAAAAGAAGGATTCAGTGTGGAATGATTTTTGTGTTGTCTTTCATGGTGTCCTGTGATAACAAGGTCAGCTTTGAAATGTGGGGCCCATTATATTGGAACTTAAATACCTGAGAAGGTGTTCATGGATTTTATATCAAATTTCAGAGTGATCAGATCTGATTATTGCATTTTGGGACTGGAGCTAAAATGACACTACCAGCAAAGCATCACAAATATGGTTTAAAAAAAAAAAAAAAGATGATGCCAATGCTGGCAGTATCACAAATTTTATTTAATCTTATTGATTATTTTTAACATGCAGTAGGCTTTCACTACTGATGTTGACAGAGTTCTTGGTAAAGTTGTTCTATCTCAGCTCACAAAATTTTTGAAAGTTACTGGATCAGACTTTCTTCCTAGCTGCATTTACTTACAGCCAAGTTAATGAGCAGTGTGGGAATTTCCTTATTGTAGGGGGGTACTGGGTGACATGAAGTGCCATCCGCCTTTTTGCTAAGAGTCTCTTATTCAGCAGTGTTCCATTCATGGTTGAAAACAGCTTCAAAGTTGTTCTGTTTTTCCTCAGTGGTTGGCACAGTATCCTTCACCTTGCCCCAGATTGAGGAGCTTCACACACATGGTTCTTGTATTTGGAGCAGCATGGCCAGACTCAAGAATAAGGGATGAATGCTGACTACAGAGACAAAAACCAAAATACTCTGGAGCAGGATTGCAAAGAGCTTGTTTTGTGAGAAAGGAAGCCAAGTGTGCAGTGTCATGTAGTCCTGGGTGCATGCATAGGGCTTTCACGTCTTCTGTGGGTTACTCATAAATTCAGGACATGTCTGTGGAAGAAGTGGCAGCAGTCTAACCTAGAGAACAGGAGATCTGACTGTACGATTTGAAAGTACAATTGAAGCCTTGTAGCCAGACAGAAGAGTTCATGTCATTAGAGATGTGATTATCTATAAATAATCAGGAGCTGAAACCAGACTTCTGAGCTTTTAAGTATAGGGACAGTCATGCTTGGTCTTTATCAGTGAGGTTTTTTTGTTGTCAAGTTAAGCGAAGTCCTTTAGGATAAGACAGAAACCGGTTAACCATGAGTACAAAAAGCAGAGACTTCAGGGTGGGCTTAGAGATCCCCATAGAAGCACTGGTTATGGGGTAGGTATGTTTTGAGTTACATGCTGAGTGGAGCAGCCACCCAGTTGTGTAGCCTCTGTTCCATCAACAGTGTGCCTGCATCCAGATTTGTGGCCTGAGTCAACATACCATCTGGCTGTGTTAAACTACTTCTGTTTAGTGTCCTCGGTTTAGACATCTTGCTCTTTGAAGCTGTAGATTATCTCTTACCATTGCATCATGATTCCTTTGGATCTCTCCATAAAATAATTTTCATCATTACTTTAGGTCTTTATGTACTTACACTTTAATTCCAGCAATTCCAAATATTTGCTGTAATGTCCCTTGCATACTTTGTTATCCCAAATAACCCTTATTCTTTCCTCTCTTTCTCTCTCAGCTGCTTTTTCATGGATGTTTCCACTCAATATTTCATGTATTCTCTGCATCCATAGTTGAATGTCTTGTCAAAATTTACATGTTCTTCAGCCCATGACTAAGGATATTTTTATTAATTGCACATCACATTTAAATATAGAAATATGTAAACAGAAGACCTTTTTTTTGGGATGTGTATTAGGGTGACCACGTTCAAACCTTTCAAACCATCTTTGATATTACTTAATATTGTAAACACACCTTTTGGTAGCAACAGCACCTATAGGGGTCACTCTGAAGTACTTTTATTTTTGTTTCTTGAAGTATGAGAGTATATTTTCAGCTTTTTATTTACTGTCTTTTATGTTTAAACCTTAAAAAAATCCCTCTCTTAATCAGACTGAATGAAAAAGGTACCTGGGGGAGATACCTGCATAATGCCATTGTGCCTTCTTTGTCATGTATGATAGTCAATGTACCTGCCTGTGCATGTGTTCAAACCTGTTCTTTTGACAGTTCTCCCACATTAAATATATATATATATATAATTTATACATAACTTAGCCAGTATTGCTGTGTACATATGCCCGATTCTTTATTTCTGATCATTTTCTCCAGATTTTTTTAATTTGTTAAATTGTTCATACTCTAGAATTGCATGCTCCTTGGAGGACGCAAGAACACAGACGTACCATTGGAGGGATATCTAGTAACGCCGATACAGAGAATATGCAAGTATCCCCTTCTTTTGAAGGTACTTACAAGTTTTTTATTTAGGAGTTTATACTTTCTATATAAAACTGGTTGCTAAGCATATTTCCGAACTGCAGGAACAATCTCTCTACACAGTGAATAATCTCTTTATTAGATATTGGACTCAGACTGGTTCTCATTAAAGCTAGTGACAAGTCTTGTGACATCAGTATTAAAAGAACTGAGGAGTTTGGCTGGGTCAAGATGATTAGCTTCCTTCTACATCTAGTTGTAATGTTGCCTCTCCATTGTTGAATGGAAGTGAGCCATTTAAGGGACTTCAATGAGACTGATTTCAGATGGGTTTGACCATGCCCTTGCTTAAAATGCTTGGGATAGCAGAGTTCATTAGTTACATGTTTGATGATTCTAATTTGCCATCAGCAAACTGTAAATAAAAAGTATGTATGAAAATGATTTGTAAGAAAAACGGTAGAGTTAACAGTAAGATGCTGTAGATGGTTCTATGCACATGTGTATGTTTATTCTTACCTTACTGGTGCAACTTAAAACTTAATGAAAAATGTTAAATGTGCTATATAACCATTAGGTATTCAAACCTCTGAGTTACTGAAATTTTTCCATGTTAGGAAATAAAATAATACAATCATCAGGAAAATAAATATTTAAAACAAATTTTTGCTCAACAAATTAACGTCTAATACTGTCTGTTGTTCCAAACCATGAGGGAGAATCCAGAGCAGATTCCGATCTGGAAGCTACTTGAAACTTGATTATTGAACAGTATTTTTCACAATGTGTGTGTGAGTTTAGATCTGAAATGTTGCCAATTACGAGGAATATGCATTTCATTACACTGACATAAAACCCTAAAAGTAAACATGTTTACTTCTAAGTAAACAAGTAAAAACTAAATGTTTTTAAAACAAGTTAAAGAAAATAATAATTGCAATGAGGTTTGAGTCATCCCAGATATCTGCTGCTTTACAGTTCCTTTGGCCTATTTAAAAATTATTTTTATATTATGTTTAATGACGGATCTACAGAGAAAATAGGGGGAAATGACGAATGAATTACTCTAGGGGAAATTAAATGAATATTTCTGTTAAATTTAAATACAGGGTGTGGTTGCAGAAGGGTTAGGGCTCCAGAGGAATGTACCCATGCTTCAGTCAGGGTATGCACTTAAGGCGGTCCATAGTCAGTCCAGATGTAAATCATTGAATGGTTTGGGTTGGAAGGGGCTCTAAAGATGATCTAGTTCCAACCCCCCTGCCCCATGCAGGGCCCCCTTCCCCCAGCCCAGGGTGCTCCCAGCCCCGTCCAACCTGGTCTTGAACCCTTCCAGGGAGGGGGCAGCCACAGCTGCTCTGGGCACCCTGGGCCAGCGCCTCAGCACTCACAAAGGGAAGAATTTCTTCCTTACATCTAATCTAAATCTACCCTCTTTCAGGTTAAAACTGTTACCCCTGTCCTGTTACTACATGCCCTTGTAAAAAGTCCTTCCCCATCTTTCCTGTAGGTCCACTTTAAGTACTGGAACACTGCTATAACGTCTCCCTGGAGTCTTCTGTTCTCCAGGCTGAAAAACCCCAACTCTCTCAGCCTGTCCTCATAGGAGAGGTGCTCCAGAGCTCTGATCATCTTTGTGGCCTCCTCTGGACCTGCTCGAGCAGATCCATGTCCTTCTTATGTTGGGGTCCCCAGAGCTTGGCACAGTACTCCAAGTGGTCTCTCATGAGAGCGGAGTAGAGGGAGAGAATCAACTCCCTTGACCTGCTGGCCACACTTCTCTTGATGCAGCCCAGGATACAGTTGGCTTTGTGGCCTGCAAATGCACATTGTCAAGTCATGTTGGGCTTCTACTAAACTAGCACTCCCAAATCCTTCTCTGTAGGGCTGCTCTCAATCCATTTTCCACCCAGCCTGTATTTGTGCACGGGATTGCCCCAACCCATTTGCAGGACCTTGCACTTGGCCTTGTTGCATTTCATGAGGTTTGAGCAGGCCCACCTCTCAAGCCTGTCCAGGTCCCTCTGGGTGGCATCCCTTCCCTCCAGTGTGTTGACTGCGCCACACAGCTCGGTGTTGTCGGCAAACTTGCTGAGGGTGCACTCAGTCCCGCTGTCCGTGTCACCAACAAAGATGTTAAACAGCGCTGGTCCCAATACTGACCCCTGAGGAGCGCCACTCGTCACTGCTCTCCACTTGGACATCGAGCAGTTGAGCACAACTCTCTGAGTGTGACCATCCAGCCAATTCCTTATCCACCAAATGGTCCATCTGTAAAATCCATATCTCTCTGATTTAGAGACAAGGATGTCATGTGGGACAGCGTCACATGCTTTGCACAAGTCCAGGTAGATGACATCAGTTGCTCTTCCCTTATCCACCAACACTTCCCTGTCATAGAAGGCCGCCAAATTCATCAGATGTGATTTGCCCTCAGTGAAGCCATGTTGGCTGTCACCAGTCACCTCCTTATTTCCCTTGTGACCTATTGTATTTTCCAGGAAGATCTGCTCCCTGATCTTGCTGGACACAGAGGCGAGACTGACTGGCCTGTATATCCCTGGGTCTTCTTTTTTCCCCTTTTTAAAAATGAGGGTTATGTTTCCTCTTTTTCCAGTCAGTGGGAACTTCACTGGACTGCCACAACTTCTCAAATATGACGGCTAATGGCTTAGCTGCTTTATCCGCCTGTTCCCTGAGGACCCACAGATGCATCTCCTCAGGTCCCATGGACTTGTGCACCTTTAGGTTCCTTAGATGGTCTTAAACCTGATCTCCTACAGTGGGCAGTTCTTCACTCTCCCAGTTCTTGTCTTTGTCTTCTGTGACTTGAGCGGTGTGGCTGGAGTACTTGCTGGTGAAGAATGAGGCAAAAAAGTTGAGTACTTCAGCCTTTTCCATGTCCCGGGTAACCAGATCTCCCATATCCTTCTGGAGAGGGCCCACATTTTCCCTAGTCTTCCTTTTATCACTGACGTACCTAAAGAAGCTTTTCTTGTTGCCCTTGATGTCCCTGGACAGATTTATTTCTATCAAGGCTTTGGCCTTACTAACCTGATCCCTGGCTGCTCAGACAGTTTCTCTGTATTCCTTCTAGGTTACCTGTCCTTGCTTCCACCCTCTGTAGGCTTCCTTTTTGTGCTGGAGCATGTCCATGAGCAAATTGTTCATGCATGCAGGCCTCCTGGCATTTTTGCCTGACTTCTTTGTTGGGATGCTTCACTCCTGAGCTTGGAAGAGGTGAACCTTGAATATTAACCAGCTTTCTTGGGCTCCTCCTCCCTCCAGAGATTTATCCTGTGGTACTCTGCCAAGCAGATCCCCAAAGAGGCCTAAGTCTGCTCTCCTGAAGTCGAGGGCAGCAAGCTTGCTGTGCACCCTCCTCACTGCCTTAAGGATCTTGAACTCCACCATTTCATGGTCAGTGCAGCCACTGCTGCCCTTGAGCTTCACACTCCCCACCAGCCCCTCCTTGCTGGTGAGAACAAGGTCCATCACAGCATCTCTCCTCAGTGGCTCCTCTATCACTTGGAGAAGGAAGTTATCATCAATGCATCCCAGGAACCTCTTGGATTGCTTATGCCCTGCTGTGTTGTCCCTCCAACAGATACTGGGGTGGTTGAAGTCCCCCATGAGGACCAGGGCTTGTGAACATGAGACCGCTCCTATCTGTCTATAGAGGGCCTCATCCACTCAGTCTTCCTGATTAGGTGGCCTGTAGCAGAATCCCACTATAATGTTACTTGTCCCTCGCTTTAATCCTGACCCATAAGCTCTCAGTCAGCTCCTCATCCATCCCCAGGCAGAGCTCCAGGCACTCCAGCTGGTCACTGACATAGAGGGCGGCAGCCCCTCCTCATCTCCCCTGCCTGTCCCTCCTGAAGAGCCTGTATCCTTCCATTCCATCTCTGATGGGTAGTTGGTAGTTCGAGATGGGAAATCTCAAATGAATACCGGGAACTCCACTTTTGTTTTTTGGTATGGCTGCCTTACCAGTAGCCATATGAAAACAGTGAGTCACTGAAGCTATTGTTCAATGCTCTGGTGTATTGCATGAGATTAAACAATAGTATGGAGCTAAAGGAACATGGGTTTTGCCCTGAGTTGCAGTCAAGGCAGGTGTTCATTTTGCCCTGAGTAAACTAACACTTTTAAGCAGACTTAGTATCCTTGCTGTTGAACAGTTCCATCCTGTGGAATATAAATCCCTACCTGCTCCCCCAACACCTCCAGCCCCCCCCCCCCCCAAAAAAAAAACAAACAAAAAAACAAACCCAAACCTCAGTAAACCAAAGCTCAACATGAAGAAATTTTGTTGGGGGGAGAAAGTAGCCGAAATGTAAACTCTTGCTGAAGTAGTGATTATTTTTACTGTTAGTAGTTTATTTCTCTGAGTTCTAGCATCTTACTAGGACACAATGATGGAGGGTTTATTACTTTTCTACCTAGTAAAAGAGAAGTCTGGCAACTTTTTTTATTTTGTATCCTAGTTGATTTAAGCCTCCTGTAATATACATTTAGGGATCAAAGACAGGTTTCTTTTTTTCTTCTTTTTAAATGTTTAAATAGGAGTTACTGAAGCGGACTCCGAGGAAGCACAGTGACTATGCAGCACTAATGGAAGCCCTCCAGGCCATGAAAGCTGTCTGTTCCAACATAAATGAGGCCAAGAGACAAATGGAAAAATTAGAGTTTTTGGAAGAATGGCAGTCTCATGTTGAAGGATGGGAGGTACTGTAATATTATTTGTCGCTTTGTGTATTGAGGAGGGAGTAACAGTTTTCAACAAGCAAGTATTTCACTGTTGTTGTGATCCTGAGGTACTGTCAACTGCTCAATTCTGTGAAATTGCAGCTTTTATTTGGGATCAACTCTGTACATTAAGTGTTGTCCATGACTGAGCACCGCTGTATAAAATAGCAGACTTCCAGGAAAGAGGGCAAATGTTTAGTATTTGACTTAGAATATGGATCATTTACATCAACATGTATGTGTTCACCATACACATCTCTAAATCCTAATTTTACTTCTTTATTATTGATTAATCACTGAGTCCACAAGTTTTTGTCAGCTTCTATGTAGTCCTGAGCTATTGGCTCAGCTAAACTAACATAGAAGTGTTCAATAGAATCTGTATAAGACCTTTTATTTTATTTTATTTTATTTTTTTTTTAATAGTTTGTAAATGGAATGGTTTCAGTGCTTTAGTTTTGTGAAGAAACCATAGGTCAATTTCCAAGTTAGTGTTTTCGATAGAAACCTGAAGAGCCATCCTTTCCCCTACATAAAAACTAGGTCAAGTACTTGTAGCACCAAAATCTTCCTTTCATATTATTTTGAGCACTATAATTAGTTTATACAGAAAGATAGATGTAGATATGAGGGTATCTCTAAATTGCCTTAGGTGTTTTATATTGAAATGTCTGAGCTGTCCTCATGAAGGTGGGAGGGAAACACAAGCCAAGTCCCAGTAAAAGAAATGTAAAGTCAGAAATGTAAACTTTTTGTTCTTTAAAGTCCATTTTGATTATAATATACAGGTTTTTTTCAGACACAAATTTCAACATGGAAGTAGTTATTTGCTTTCTGAATACTTTGCTCAAATGTGCTAATTCTCTTCATAAGAGAGCTGCTTAAGAACTAAAGGAAGAGATTTTATCCCTTTAAGCTTTGTGGATGGTATGTTGTCTGGAAAAGGTAGCCAGAAACGCCTATTTTTTGCACGATAGCTGAAAGATCATGTCTCGGTCTATCAGACTATGGAGTGGAAAACAGCCTTTGTACAGTGCAGAGAAAAGAAAGGATTAGGGACCCTGATGGGACACCGAGAAAGCTTTAAGATAGACCTGTCTGAACTTTAACTGAGAGAGTTCCCCAAGAAGTCTGATAACTAAAAATTAGAATGTTAACCAGAAGAGTCAGCTTTTAAGTAAGTATTCATAGTAATAGATAAAACAGCAGAAACAAAGAAGAGTTTCTACACAGCTCTCTTCCCTCCCTACATCTCCTGCTTACCACACCTGTTGCTTCTTGAGCTTGCTGTGCCTAAGGATGTGTTCTGCTTCTGCAGCAGTGGATTCAGTCTCCCCCTGCCTTCCAGCAGGGTTCAGCAGAACAAGCTGCTATCTGAAAGGAGCAAAAAAAATGACACTGAACAAACAACCCCCTAAATATTACCTGTGACACTGCAAAATTATTTCCTGTCTGCTCCACGTGAAATCTCCTGATCAGTGGATTTACGCAAACCTTTGGTTTGTTGTTAACTGAGTAGTGTTGGAAGATCTGATTAATTCTAAACATGGATTAAGCAAGTAATTTTACTTTAATAAAAATTCTTTGTGTTTCTTCAGTGCACTGTGGGATTTGAAATGTATCACTTAAGGTGTTTTTCCTTTTCCTGTGTAGCAGCATTTTCAAGAACTGCTCTTCCATTTCTGTAATTGGGATAGATATAATTTAGAGCAGAAAAATCCTCTTATGCTGGAGTTCAGGGCACTGTAGTATTTTGGTACAGGACTGTCACTAAAACACATTCCATGAAAATTCACTGTGCCTCAAGAGAAGGAATTTTAGCAGGTACAAAAACTGTGTAATTGCTGGTCTTTATTCAGACAAACCTTTCTGCATTTAGCCGTAATCCTCAATCTCAAAAACAAAAAACAAAAAAACATTAAAGACAAATGACAGAGAGTATGTACTTATGTACTCATGCCATGATACTGTTTGTGGGATTTTGAAAAAGAAAGAACTACTTAGATAAAGTAAACCTCTAAATGTAATTGAGAGGCGGTCTAGTTGACCTAACACTTTCCAAAAGAAGCAAATATCTTAACAGCTGCTTCTTTAGACTAGGTGAAAATAAGGTTCTTTTTGTAATTAGTCTTAACTTGCTGTCATCAGCAATAACTAGGAAAGATTAGTGTATATGAACATTAAAATGCATTAGATATGCTTGTGCAATAACTTCATGACAGAAGAAATAGCAGGTTAAGTGCTTATGTTGCTGAATATTTTATGGCAAAGAAATTTGTTAAATAATCCTTATTGCCTCTCACTGACTTTAGTCGTTCTATCATTTTCAACTTTTCAATTAAGTTTTCTATTGCACTGTAGTGATTAAAATTCTTCTACTTGCTTTCTGTGCCTGGGTCTTATAAATATTTGTCAAATCCATCTTAATGAGCATACTGAAGTATAAAGTTACAGTATTATTAACTCAGTGCATTATTAGTCGCATAAGTTGGTTAAGAACCGACTGCTCTGAAACCTCTGACCTTGAAAAGGGAATCCACTTTTCTACATGACATTTCTTCTACAGTAGTAAATGTGTTTGTTGCTGGAAATATACTAATGAGCAAAGGTAGCAATAAGGAAAGGTAACAATATGGGCAGAAGCATGTGAAACATAGACTTATTCTTGCTGTGCTCAGAATACACTCTGTGAAGTTTAACATAGTAATTTCCTTCCAACCTTGTTTGGTTTTTTTTGGTGCTCCACCCTCTCCCCCTCTCCCCCTCCCCCCTGATTTAATTTTAGGATTTCACTTGTGCTTGAACTCTGAAATAGTTCCATTCTATTAAAATAGTATGTTTGCAGTAGAGTTATATGGTATTTATTGTAGTTTAGCTGATCAGGTTTGACGTTATCATATGGCAACTACAGGGTGCCCAATCTGGCAAGATTGCCCTGATCTTAATATACGCATCCTTTTCAAATACAAAATACAGTTATTCCTTGAAATGGTAAGAATTCTAGAGTAAGTATAAGAGCTAACAGTATTCTGAATGATTCCCAACAACAACTACAAAAAAATCTCTGAATGCAATGCATGAGAGTGGATTTAATTAAATAAACATCTGGTTTTCTGCATCACCTAAAAATAAAGAGGCAAACTTGTTGGAGATTTCCTTCCAGAAGGAAATGCTTAGCACATTGCTTGGCCCCAGCTAGAAGGAAAGGGAAAAAAATAAAGACTATTTTTAGAATCTGATCAAAGCATGACTTGAATTCCTATACATAAGTGTCATAAAATCAAGCTTGTGTTTATTATGATAAAAATACAGATTCATGGAAAAATGGAACATCTGTCTCCAGAAAGAAAATTTTGAGTATAATGACTTTTGCACTTAATTTCCTAAGTGGTTAAATTTATTGGCCTGGATTCAGAACTTGTGTAGGTGGCTGTCTCAGCTGGAGAATGGCTCAGCAGCTGAAGAAGTCTGTCAGTAAAATTTGCATGGATGTTTCAGTGAGAGAAGAAAAAATAAAATTGTTGCATTTATTATAAGCTGGAAACCAAACAACTCAGTCTGATTCACAAGCCAATTTAGTGACAATAGCATGGGGTATTCTGTTCCTTTCCTTTATGCCATATTGTCAAGTAGTATTTTAATAGAGATTTCTAGTTTAAACCGCAGAATTTTTATCCCTTTCCTCTATTTTATTTCTGTCTCCTATGCCCATGTGCAAATACTGAAGAGTAAGTTAGTATCTGCAATTTCTGACCTTTATCACTGTTACCATGCTGGCTACTGAATCAGTATGGTCAGACCTCTGTTTTGACTGAAATTTGCTCAGAATATGTAGATAAGTAGCTTTTGTAACAAATAAAACCAACAAATGCTGCTTTTCATCTCAAGGTAATAAAGATCATTTTTTAATGTCAAAGATGGGTATTTAATGACTTAAGGATGAGGGGGATATTGTTACAAATTTCTTGCATGTAGTCTCTCTCCTTCCAGTGCATTTAAATGCATTCATTTTGGGATATGATCATGGTATCCCACATTTCAGACCTCTTACCTGAGTTGTTGCCTTAATGGAATGATAGGTCACTGGCAGCCAAAGGTTGTTAGAAGCCAGTTTTACCTAAATAGCCTGCAGGCTCCAAGTTCTTAATGGGCTTTTAATTTCCACACCAGGCTATTCCTAAAACCCACAGAGTTCTTGGCCCCAGTGCTACCCACAGGAGAGGACTGCTCTACAGTTAGATGTTTGGAGCCTTCAGTGACTCAGTAGGATAGATGAAGGAAAAACTAGTCCGGATTTACAGTATAATCCTGCTTTGCAGGTCAGTTTTTTCCAACTGAATCCTTTATATATTTTGTTGGAAGATGATTAAAACAAGTTTATTTCTTACAATATGTGGCATTTTCAAATTGACATATTAGAAAAATGCTGGTTTCACTGAAAATATCCCATCAACTCTAATTGAAGGCACTTTAAGTGTATAGAAACATGAATTGTAGCATAGTAGTAGTGATTTTACATTTAGATTGAGCAACTATATGATCTTCCCTTGCAAGCACTGAGTATAAATGTACGTATTCATGAACATTTTGAAGTAGCAAATTACTTTTTGGGTTTAAATTGCTCATATTTGAGATTCCCATGGTAGTTTCAATTCAAACATTTAATGAAAACGTGTTTGTGTTAAAAGATTTTGGTAATATTTGTTCCAAATAACTTGCTTGTAGGTAGTGTAGTTCAGTTTTAGCTGTGCAGTAGATAGCCTCACCTATTTCTGGGACAAGGGTGACCTCTCATGTTATTTCAGCCTTGAACCTTGCCCCATGAGAAGGATAGCTTGGAGTTGCATAAATTAATTCTCTTTCTGGGCTGGGTATCAACTGTAGCTTGGTGTTCCTGCTGTAAACCCACATGGTGGTTCAAGGTGTAGCTACATCCTTCATGAAAACGTGACAGTTATCAGTCCTCTGAATTGCATGGTGGATATGGCAGAGCTTGTGTGCTCTCTGCTTTATCCTTCTTTGGGCATGTTTTCCATCTCCAAAAGATACAGTGAAGAGGAATGCTCACTGCAGGTGTAGAGACAGCAGGGCTTGCACATAATATGCCCTTCCTCTTTTCTCCCTTTCAGCTCCATGCCCACCCAGATTCTGTGAACAGGCTGACTCTAACAGTGTTACACAGGCAAGGGGGTGACATGGGATTTTTCTGCACTAGCAGTGTTGTGTAGGACAGTCAGAAGTGACTTCTGATTCTGTTCTCTTATTGCCTTGGACTTCAGCAAATAAAACAGCAATAACAAAATTCACTGACCTGCGGCCACACCAGCATGGGTTGTGATCTTGTCAAAAGATATCTGATAAGTGAAGTTAACAGTGTTCAGTATTCGGATGGGAGGTCTCCATGGGAAAAAAGTATCTCTAGAATGTTTTTTTTCATCATCTAGCAGCTCATATTAGAAAAGGATGAAAATAAAGAGGAAAACAGTAAGCAAAAGGTAGTAATGTGATACAGATAATACACACTGCCCTATTGTAATGTTGAACTTGAATCATTGAGGTGAATGTTGATAATGTGGTGAATGTTGAGGTGAATCTTGGTAATTCAGGTAACTTGAATTATATATATTTAAAATACCTATAAAATAAAATATTTAATGACATGATACTGGCATAGTAGCAGATCTTGATAAGCTGTTGGGAAAAGGCTGTCTTTTTCTACAGTGAAAATGAAATTTTTCAATAAAAAGAGACAAAACATTTTCATAAAAAACTTTCTAAGAAAAAAATACATCCTTCTGTCAAAAGCTGAAACAATCTTGAAGCCATAAACTGAAACTTTTTGGCTTCCCTACAAAAATTAGTTTTCCAGCAAAGCTGAAGTTTTCTGTAAAAACAAACCAAAAACCTTTACAAAATATCCAGCCGTTCAAAATGTAAACTATTAGGAAGTACTATTTCGGCATAGTCTAAAGGCAGCATAAGATATTGTTTCCTCTTTTTAATACACCAAAACATTGAAATAGAATGGAAAGAAATTGCCTGCTTTTATACAGTTGTGGTCAGCAAGCACTAAGTTTAGCCCTAATTTATGCTTAATTTATACTACCTAGTGGGCTTTTAAGGTGTTTCAGTCTTTGTTTTCAAAGAAAACTGTAAAATTAGTATGCCAGCTTCCGGTGCTGATGCTGTCTTAGGAAGGGAAATATGGTGTAGTGACTAGAGATGACATTCAGTTTTGACTCATTTGATCCTAAGTGGAAACAAGAATGGTTAGTTAATACTGATACTGAAGCTTCTTTATTTAGAGACCTGAATAGTGTTCCAGTGTGATGGTTGTGCAATTTCGCTTATCAAGTCTGTAAACAGACTGCATTCTCCTTAAAACAGTCTGAGCTATTGCTCAATATTCAGGGCTGTGACGTACAAAGGATAAATGGTAAGATGAAGAACTGAGAGCAGAACCCATGATTACTTCTTGGCTCTTAATTGAATGCATTTTTCTTTGGGCTACTGTGGTTAGATCAAGAGGAGGAAGTAGTTACAGCTATTGCAGACATAACTCATTCAGAACACGTGTAGATGAAAGGAAAGTCCTGGCTTTTGCAGGGTTTCCAAGCTGACTGTTGACTGCCTCACGTTAAGAAATTCCTTGAGCCATGGGTCTATGCTAGATGTAGCCAGCACACATAATTATCAGTAGGGATTGCATGGCTGGATGCATATAGCATATGGACAGAAGCAGTGTCCCACAGGAGCATGGATTTTCAGAATAGCAAAATACACCTCTTAATTCTTACTGGGTTAGATTATGTCTTGTAAAGCCCCATTTTCAGACATTTCTGACTAAATAGTTAAGTTACTGAGGACAAGAGTTATTGTGTAAAGTCAGCCTGATTTTTCAGGAGAGATATCATGCACAGATGTAATATAATTTGGAAACTTTAGTGATTAAACTTTATCCATTCAGAAAAGCCACAAACCCTCCCCGCAGTTAATGGCAATACTAAATGAATACAAAGCTGTTGTTAAACATCATTAGAAATTATTCTTTCATTACAATGTAATAAATTGCCATGAGTTTTATTCTCGGTGTTTCCTGAGATTCGTCGTGGTTGTGAATTTGCATAAGAAACTTTTCCTTAATTTCTGCAGAGTCCTTCAATTCTCACAGAATAAAAAATAATCTCTTTCCAATTGATTTTAGGGGTCCAACATCACAGACACGTGTACAGAAATGCTGCGAAGTGGGCTACTACTGAAAATTTCAGCAGGAAATATCCAAGAGAGGATATTTTTTCTTTTTGATAATCTCTTGGTCTACTGCAAAAAAAAGCACAGGTAAATGATGAATTTATGCTTTCAAAAATAATGTGTTTTTCTCACGGTAGAGCTAATCCTCTGTATACTGTTTCATAAGAATTTTTGAACAACACCAAAGTGTTTACTGCAGTTAATTGGTCTGTAGAAGTAAGCATTTTTAGAGGAGACCTATCATCCAAATTGAAGTGTATTTAATGCAAACATTGGAAAAATTTATTATGAATGCAGAATCCAAATGGTGAGGTATGGGGAGAAAGAATCTTCCACAACAGGTTATATGTGATGGCCTGACTGTCTTCTAGGAAGGGTAAACAGACTGAATTTTTAATTCAAACAAATTAGTATTGTAGCTTATGCTATAAAATAAGTCTCTACAGATGCAAGAGTTTCAAGCCTTGTATTTCTAATCAGGGAAAACAGCCAGAAAGATGCTGCTTGCTGCATTGCAAGAAGCAATTCCTTAGTTCAGCAACAAGCTTCTGCAGTTAACCTTAGGTGCTCTGACGCTTCTGAGAAATAAGGGTTCTCCTACCTACAGGCATCTCTTTGCTTAAGTTAACTTAAGTTTAAACGTCACTGCTTAAGTTTGTTTCTTTGATCCAGAAACTGTTTTCGAGGAGCCACTGAATAAATATTACTGGATAGATTCTTGATAGATTCCTAGATGCATGCTAGACCTTGAGTACGCTCTCGAACAGCACGGCTGAGCTTTGCCTCTGCACACTCGTGTATGGTGTCAGAGGAAACTCCATCATGGATCTTAGTGTCCAGTTGAAGAAACTGTCTGCAGCTGCTGAAACTTGTTGCTTTGTAAATCCAGGTTCTACTGTCATCACCACAGCCATGTCCATCAGATGAGTGTGACTGCTAAAAGATTTTCAAGGATAGTTCCATATTTGATAGCCAACTTTCATCCTGTTTTTCCAACAGTTTTACCAGTGCCCTGGATTGTTGGTAGCATCCAGGTGAAAGACGTGTTTCTCTGTACCTGTAATAGCCATTTGTTTTGATCAGTGCTCTGGCTTGGCAGTGGTCACGTGCCTGTTAAATGATGAATCCTGGCCCAGATGCTTCTGAAGGCTGTACATGAGTGGTTGGTCAAGCCCAATGTGCTGTTAAGCAAATTGTAAGCTTGGTGTTTCTGGGTGACAGTAGCTGTCCATGCAGTCCAGCATGTGGGAGTACCCAGCACCATCAAGTTTAGGATGGTAAGGCTCATGGGGCAGCCTGATGCCATAATGATTTCCTCCTCCCCCATTACTTTAGCTGTGTCTGGGGAATAGTGAGTGCACTTCATCTTCTTGCTACCTGTTCTTGGTGGCGCGAATGAGAAGGAAGGAGGTCAGTTGGTTGGATAATAGCAACAAGAACTCCTATGTATGTGTACCACAATATCCATGTGGTACGTAGTCTAGTTATAACCTCAGATGTATATATACAACTGCAACCAGCAAAGTAAATGGAAATTTATGCATGAAATGCCTGAATCTGAGACCAATTTCTAAATGAGGCTTTAAAGTCTTATTAGCAACCCTTGTTGTCTGCTATTGTATATAGTTTATATACAGTATTTTTCACATGAGATTTTGCATAGGACTTATTATTCAAAAATACTACGTTAAATATTTTTAACATTATTTTTCCAAATAAGTTGATACTTATATTCATTTTGTCATAAATAAAAGCAGGTGGCTAGGGGATGGATACCCATTTTCTCTCCTCCTGTGCTAATTATAGCGAAGTGATCACACCCCTGAACTCAGCACTGGTGAGGCCACACCTGGAATACTGTGTTTTATTTTGAAAAAAAGGACATTGAGATGCTGGAGCGCGTCCAAAGAAGAGCAACAAAGCTGGTGAAGGCTCTAGAACACAAGTGATATGAGAAGCAGCTGAGGGAGCTGAGGCTGTTTAGCCGGGAGAGAAGGAGGCTGAGGGGAGACCTTTTTGCTCTCTACAGCTGCCTGAAAGGAGGTTGTAGGGAGGTGGGTGTTGGTCTCTTCTCCCAAGTAACAAGTGATAGGACAAGAGGAAATGGCCTCCAGTTGTGTCAGGGGAGGTTTAGATTGGATATTAGTAAAAATTTCTCCACAGAAAGAATTGTCAAGCACTGGAACAGGCTGTCCAGGGCAGTGAATGAGTCACCATTCCTGGAGGTGTTTAAAAGATGTGTAGGTGTGGTGCTTAGGGATATGGTTTAGTGATGAACTTGTCAGTGTCAGGTTAATGGTTGGACTTGATGACCTTAGAGGTCTTTTCCAACCTGAATAGTTCTATGATTCTATCATAGACTTGTGGTTAGATTCGCTGTAGCACCTGTAGAGCTTCTTGCTGAAGCAATGTGTGGGGAAGATCACACTCGTCAGTGTGTGGTATAGAAAGGAGAAAGTGGTAATACTGGAAAGTAGCCATGGACCCTATTGATCAATAATGTCTTATAAGAACCTCTCTATATGTAAAGCTGATGAGCTTGTTCTGCAGGAACCTTATTCAGACTGGACTGGAAATGCTGTTTGTTTTTTTTTTTTTTCCCGTGGGTTACTACTAAAGAAGCTGCTGGCCAACCCTGAGGGAGGTTTAAAAATCTTCCTCCCCAGTGGATATTGTTTCCTCCTATAGATTACTCTGTTAACAGGGAAGCATTTACAGGTGAGAAGATAGATAATTTATACTTCACTAGCTATAGTGAATCAGTCTTTATTTTTTGTGTGTTTCAACTCTTGTGTAGATTGCAGAACTTTTGGAACAGTTGAGTATGAACCATTTAAGAACATTGTGATTATATCTAGTGTTGAATACTGAATTTATTTCAAGGATATCCTTCTGTAACTGCTCAGTTTAATTTTTGTGTAGACTAAGTATAAATTCATGCTCTTTTCAGAACTTCTAATATTTGCTGTATTTTGTTGTCGGGCAATTAGAATTAAATTACTGATTACTTTTCACTTGTCCATCACTAAATTACCTATTTTTGTAGCCATATTCTAGCCAAAATGCAGGATTAGATGAAAATCTTAAAACACGTGGAAGTGCTGTGATTTTTTTAGTTTTGAGCAATCATATTTTATGTGTCATTGGCTGGTACCATGGTGACATCTCTTCAGACATGACAATAACACAATTTAGAACATAGTTTCAGTGTTTATGTTGGAAAATTAACTGATTATATGTTAGCAAGATACTTTGGGTATTGATTAGCAAGCAGATAAAGGGAGTGTTGCTCACAGGAGGTTTGTATTTTGGAAATTTTACAAAAATTGCCCTGTTTTTATTGTATGAGATATTTTATGTACTTCTTAAGCATCCCATTTCTGCAGATTTATATAAATGTGGGTTGCTAAATTTGGAGTCATAGGTACAAAGGTCACTAGAGTTACTGGATTTACCTTGCTTTGGAGAGAAAAAAATTGAGAGAGTGAATCTTTATGGTTGCTGTTGGTTTTGTTTTGTTTTTAAATATATTATTCAGTTTTTGAATAAGTTTTGAATATTTTGAATATTCAGTTTTGAATAACTTAGAGTTATTCATTAGACAGTAATGATTGAGAGGTAGGTAATTTTCTGAAGATTAGTACCTCTGTGGAGTAAGTCAAGCTCAGAATTCAGATAATTGTTAATTCTCAGGAACTGACCTTTGATATACAGTATTAATTATCATTATAGGCAAGCATAGATGGAAAATAATCCTTGTCTTATCTGAGGTGGGAAAAACTGCCTAGAACTGGGATTCTCAGAAGGCCTTATAGAGTTATAACATTGCAAAGTGCTGTGGCATACATTACTGTGAAGCTGTCACAAAATTTCAGTACTTCTTAATTATAATTCTTGGTTAACCCTTATGTGAGGAAGGAAAAATGTTGTCTTTGTTATTCCATGCATAAATCCCATGTATGAGGCTAATGTGTGTAGGTCAAAGTATATCCAAAGGTGTTCTTACTTCATTTTTCAGTCATGATACCCATATGTTGAATTTCTTGACTAGCATAAGAAGGCTAATAGTTATGAGGAAAGATCCTCCAGATGCAGTGTTTTATTTTTGATGGCAGACAGTGGCATTATAGGTACTAAAGTGTTGGAACAGAGCTTTTACAGAGTGAAACTTTCCTGACAAACTCTCATGGCAGCTAGCAATTTGCAGTTTACTCTTACCAGAGGTAGCATCTTTGTATTAGCATCAGCAGTGTCCCATTCAGCAATGGTTTCCACAGTTCAGTTGCACATGTATAAACGTATTGTGATTCTTACATTAGTCTTTAAATGCTCCATGAACATGTGCAGAAACATGGGAAAAGGTGTTGGATGACATGATCATCTGCTCTTTCCCTTCTCAGGCGATTGAAGAACAGCAAAGCATCTGCAGATGGGCACCGGTACCTTTTTCGGGGCAGAATAAACACAGAAGTGATGGAAGTAGAGAATGTAGATGATGGAACAGGTGAGTGTATTTGTGTTGCTCATTTACAGAGAAGTCTTTCAAGGTGCTAAAATCAAATGCAGCTGCATGATTTCTTTGATAATGGAGGGGTGCTCCTTGTATTTAGAAAGAAAGAGTGAGATGCCACTCTAAGAGCTCTATCTGCTTATATCAGAACTCTGCTTCTGTAACACATCATTGCTTTCATACATTATTAGCTGGGTGGTCATACATGTCTGTTTTACGCTAACAGGAGCAGAGTAATAAAATAAGGTGACATTTATTACTCATCTGAAATTGCATATTCAACTTACTTTTACAGCATTCCAGTACTCTTAAAGAGGTTATCACTAGGTATGTGATATATTTGTAAAAGCAAGTGGAAAAGTTACCTCTGTTGGAATGAAACCTCAAACACTATAAATGCTGAAATTCTAATGTAAGTGTTTAAGAAAAACGAAGGGGATTTTTAATACCTTTAGGGATATAATCCGTATGATTGCTTGAAATTTCCCTGACATACATTAGAAAAGTGAAAACCTTAATTATTCCTACAAATGTCCATTTTTGTTTTAGAAATGCAAGTTTAACCTTTGAGCTTAGCAATTATTATTTCCTTGCAATTAATAAAGAAAACTGAAGCATTTTGGGCTTTTGAATGTAAAACATTAAAAAAAAAAAAAAAAAAAAAAGGAAACTTAGATTTGCAGTGGCATTGCAAATATGTAGGTCTGGAGGAAATTTCTGTGAGTTAAACGTTACTTGTTCTGATTTTAAAACAGCATTACATTTGCCCTGCATCTGCAATGTATTCCAAATATTTATTAATTTAATTACTTGTAAAATTGAGCATTAATTACAAGGATTATACAGTTTATGTAAGCTTCATAGAAGTCCTTCATAGAAGTTAAATATTGCTTAAAAAATAAGTTTGTTTTTTTTTTTTTCTAATAATCTTCAGTTCCTTTTTTTCAGAATAGCTCACTCCTTGCACTACTGGGTAGACCTGGAGAACAGTTTGGCTACTGTTCTTATTGCAGCTAACTAATTTATTAGAAGACTGTTCTGTCTCTCTTCCATCGTTGCTTCTTAAGTCTTTCATCCTGTTGTCATGGGTCATGTTTTTAAGTTTTTATTACTTTTTTTTCTCTTCTTAGTTTCAGGGGTTTTGTCAGTTTGTTTGCATCTTTTGTATTGTGAGATGTCCAGAGCTGAAACTTAACTGGTGCCAAGTAGAATAGAACAATTACTGTAGTACTGCATGTGGGATGTCTATTACTAATCCCAAGATTGTTTGGGTTTTCTGACAGCATTATTTTTCAACTTTCTAATTTGTATTCCAAAATACCACACCAGATCTTTCTGTGCAGTACTGGTGCTTATCCCATTGTATTTTATACTGTGTTAATGTCTGAGATGAGGTTCTAATAATTACTTTATTTTCTGTACTGATTTTTTTCTTACTATTTCAACAATTTTTTAATACCTTGTTCCCCAAAGCTGTTGCAATGCTTCTTTCCTTGATTCCATGAACAAACAATGTTATAACTGAATCATTTAAGCTCCTGATAAAACCAGTGGAAAAAGCTGAACGTAAGTTAGAGCATTGTAGCATCACACTTGATTCATTCTCTTTGTTTACTAGACATTTTTTGTAAGAACTGCTTGATATCTCTTTCGGGTTATGTCCTTCATCAGGCCAACTGATTTTGTTAGTCGTTTACAGACATGTTATAGGTACACTACATTGAATTTCATCAAGGCTTGTTGTCTTAAATGTAATTTATCCAGTATTCTACATCATGTTACTTCCCTTTTCTCGCCTGTATTCCTGCCCAATTGTTACCTTTATTTGTATGAAATCTCACCGCTTTGTTTATACAAAAAGAGAGTTGACTCTTTCAGTCTTTTATGTCACATATTATTTGACTACCTTTCATTTATTTTCCTACATCTTCCTTTATGGATGCTTTAGGAATAAGAGACAGTTTTCCTGTTTCCATGATGTCACTTTCTAAGATGGCATCTCTTTGCTTATAACTCCTGAAGTTACTGTGGCCACTGAGTCTTATATATAACATCTTCTTTCAGATGAATATTCCAAGAATTCTGTAACTTTATTCTTTCACTGGTTCCAATCTCATATATTGCCATGCTTTTAGTGTTGGCTTTAGCAAATATTTCTTTTTTCCTTCTTCCATGACTATCGTGTATTTCTCAAAGCTGGCCTACCTCTCTCCATTTGCTTGTTCTAGCTACCCAGTCTTTGATCTCTTACACACTGTCCATTCGTTTTCCTTCCTGCTCATTTATTTTCCTCCTTGGTGACTCTTCAAATCATCTAAGCACAAATGGTCTTCCTCTCCACTCTAGACACAAGTAGTCTTATTTCCTCCAGCCACAGGAAATTTTGCTACCGTCTCCATTTCCTATAGCTTTGCACACAGTACTGGAGGCTGTCATGCTTCCTTCCCACTTACTCTCCTGAGCCATATCTAATCTTGTCACTTTTATATATGCAGCATTTTCAAAATCTGTCCTCCTTTCCACACTTCTGAGACATCAATTAATGGTTTGGTTATTTTGATTTCTGGATTGTTAAAGGTGGTAGATGCCCCATCCCTGGAAGCATTCAAGGTCATGTTGGATGGGGCTCTGAGCAACCTGATCTAGTTGAAAATGTCCCTGCTCATTGTTCGGGGGTTGGACTAGATGATCTTTAAAGGCCCATTCCAACCCAAAATATTCTGTGATTATTTTTACCCCCTTTTTTATCATAACCCCACATTTTCTGCCTTCTCCATTTCAGTTTGTTCAATAACCTAAAATAATTTTTTCTTGTAAGTACTGCTATGTCATCCCTCCTTTCTGTGGTTCTTTTTGAAATATGGAAACGTCAGTGTTATTTCCCTGGACTGTGGAACCTTTCTGCCCCTTTCTTGCCACTACCCTCCCCATCCCCTTTCTAAGAAAAAAAAAAAAAAAAAAAAGTTTTCCTTCCTTTTAGTCAGAAGTGTATTTCCTCTCCTCACACTGATACTTTTTATTTTGCTCAGATTGATGCCCTTCTTTAACCTCCTTCTGTCTTGGTTTCTGTACTGTTCTCATTTGTTGCACCCAAATGTCTTTGTTGCTCATTGCCTCATCTCTCGTCATCTGCGTTTGAACTGTAACCCGATACTATTCTGCTGCATTCTTGTTGTCTCACCTCATTCCCAAGTGTAGTAATCTGGTCATCTGAGCCTCATTCACATTAGCTTTGCATATGCTTTTTTTTTGATATTCTATTATTTTATCATCCTTAATCATCTATTACCTATCACTTTCTATAATCCTTAATTTAGTGTGGAAGCCCTGGGTGCAGAGTGCTTATTTTCACATGTACGCATGACTCTTTCTCATGTACTCTTCATGGGTCTCTTTATAGACATTGAAGACTTTTGAGTCTAGATGATACTTCCACAGTTCATTCTTGTAGATTTTGGGATCCTCTGCTCACTTGGTATAAGGAATCATACGGCTCCAGGGAACAGGGTGACTGAGAGTGTTTGCTCTCAGCGATGATAGAGGTAGGAACGTAGTCTTTGTTGTTTGTAGGAAGAAGCATAGAAATAGGAAAACAGATTCCCAGTGTGATTTATTGTCATGCTAATGACATGCCTACAGAAATTAACAAAGCTTTTTCTGAAAAGCAATTTTTCTTTGATGAAATTAGGCCTTGGCTGAGCAGTACAGTTGGTGTAAGCTTTCTTTTTTGTTTCAGCATTATGAAGCACTCTGCCTTTTTTTGATTGCACTGATTAAAGTGGAATGCATATTACTTAACAGGGCAGACTATTTATGTTCTTAAAACAATGTGGCTACACAACCACTTGTAAGTATTACAAAGTTGGATATATGGTGATGCTATTGTTTTTTTTTTTCTGTATTCAGTTTTTAAAATTCAATTTTGAGACAGAAGTGTATTCCTAAAGGCATTCACCAGCCATTAAATGGAAGTTTATGAAGACAAGCATTTGAGGCTTAGGAAATACCAGTTTTATGGTTGCTTACACTATCTTGGTTCTATCCCCCGTTGTCTTGAAATGAGGCATGAAATAGAAGAAACACTGTATGATAACAGTAACCAGAGACTGAATCAAAAAGTATGTAGAGGAGGAAGGGAATTGATATTTTGCAGCAATTATATCCTTGGTATTTCTGAGCATCAGTGCTCCTAAGAACCTAAAGTCTGAGAAATTTAGAAGTACTTCAATACAGAGATATCATAGAATCATGGTTTGGGTTGGAAGGGATGTTAAAGATCATCTAGTTCCAACCCCCCTGCCATGGGCAGGGACACCTTCCACTAGACCAGGTTGCTCCCAGCCCCGTCCAACCTGGCCTTGAACCCTTCCAGGGAGGGGGCAGCCACAGCTGCTCTGGGCAACCTGTGCCAGTGCCTCACCACCCTCACATTGAAAAATGTCTTATATCCAATCTAAATCTACCCTCTTTCAGGTTAAAACCATTACCCCTTGTCCTACCACTACACCCCCTGATAAAGAGTCCCTCCCCATCTTTCTGGCAGGCCTCCTTTAACTACTGAATGGACGCTATAAGGTCTCCCCAGAGCCTTCTTTTGTCTAGGCTGAACAACCCCAGCTCTCTGTCTGTCCTCATGGGAGAGCTGTTTGAGTGCTCTGATCATCTTCATGGCCCTCTTCTGGACTTGCTCCAACAAGTCCATATCCTTCTTACGCTGGGGGCCCCAGAGCTGAACAGAGGACTGCAGGTGGGGTCTCATGAGAGTGGAATAAAGGGGGAGAATCACCTCCCTCAACCTGCTGGCCACACTTCTCTTGATGTGGCTCCGGGTAGTTGGCTTTCTGGGCTGCGAGTGCATGTTGCTGAGTCACAGTCAGTTTTCCATCCATTAGTGCTCCCAAATCCTTCTCTGTAGGGCTGCTTTCAATCCACTTGTTGCCTAGTCTGTATTTGTGCTTGGGCTTACCTTGACAATCTCTGTTTGCACAATCGACAATTTCTTGACAATTTCTGTTTGTTTTTTTAAGGGAATTAAAAAATTCTGTCATATATGGCTGTAACAATTAGCTTCTTATGCATCTTTCAAAGGTTTGACTTGAATTTTGAACAATATATTACAGTTCAAGTTATATGCTCTAATGTATTACCAAGTATCTTTAGAAGATGATGTCATCTTTCATCACCTTTTCTTGGGAAGTTGGAGGCTTAATGATTTGTTAAGCATGCTTGTTCAGACTTTGCATGGAGCAACTTGAAGTCTCATGTTCTTCCTTCTATAACCATTATGTCAGGTTTTCAAATCATTTGTTTAGCCTGACTGGCAGCTGTGATTGCCTTGATGTGAAGAGGGTGCATTATATACCCTGTGCAGCTGGCCAGTCAGAACATGCATATTTCCTGGCTGGCTGGCCAGCACACCTGCAGCTCTTGACCAGGTTTTGTCCAACAGCCAGTACCCCAAAAGGTATGAATTTATATGCAGTGATAGTGTAATGCTGAAATGCTCTTCAGCAGACTACAGGCGTGGGTGTATTGAGGAGAACGAATTGCTCGTGGGAGCCTTGGAGGATTAGAGTCCTGGGGAACACACGGAGCAAAAGAGAAAACAGGGGTGTTGCAGTTAAAGGCAGAGATTGGAGTCAAGCTGGGCATCACAGGGGTGGGTTACTATTGCAAAATTGAGCAGTAGCTACCCGTTTTCCTCCAGCTGAACTCATTGCCATCTGTATACATTAGGCAGTCTTAATATCTAGCTAGGTGATTGGGCTTTTCACAGAATTCAGTGAGTTTGCAGTGGCGTAAGATAAATGTGGTCAAACTGCCAGCACTCTTGGCCCTGCAGTTACAGACCTTCAGGTGCCAAGGAAGTTGCATGTTTAAAATGTCATCTCTACATTGAGAGATTTGAGTGGCTGGATGAGCTGCTTTTTCTGAACTAAACTAGCTGGCGCCAAACTTCTGTCCAGAGTGAAATGGGAGGATCTAAATCAATTTGTGAGTCTGAGCCATCTTTTTTTTTTTTTTTTTTTTTTTTTGCCACAACTTTAACTGCTACTGTTCACTGCATTAGAGATAATATTTCCCTTCATAACATGGGTGTTGTGATGATAGATATACGGTAAGAAAGACCACAGGAAAAACTTAACCCCGTAGCTTCATATGTATTAACCTCTGATTTAATAAATAAACAAAACGGCGCAGCTAGTGTCATACTGCAAGATTTATAAGTATATGCTTAAATAATACAAAGGGACCTCAACCTTCCTTCCTCCAGTAGTGCTCCTGCCTCTGATCTCCAAAGGACTGCAGTCTGTCAGCTGAGAACTTCTGTCTGAGGCTTCTTTCTTTTCCTTGAATTTTAACTCTGATTTTCTGACAGTGCATGGATGATATGATGGCTGGTTTTCAAGAAGATGGCTAGTTTTCAAGAAACTGTTTTTACCGGGACAAAGGTTATTATCCATAGGTTATGTGAATAAAAATATGATAGCTAGGAAAGTGATATAAATGTGATGTTGCAATAATAACTAGGTTCATTTTTCTTTCCTTGGCATAGATGTGCATGCACTTTCTTAAACACTTTGGGTACTAGAAAGTTTTGCTGGTTTAGAAATTAGCCATCAGTCTCACGATTTTCTAGTAGTTCCTGACATTTCCCAGCCCAGTATACAAAGCTTGGCTGCTTTCCATCTAATTAAAATGCAGAGTTATTGAAAGGATACTAGCATGTCTGCTGAGATTTATGATAAATCTTAGCAAGCATTTCAGCTAGGGTTTCAGTCTCTGAAAATCCAATCTCATTATACAAAACAGGGTTGAATTATGAAAAAGTATTTACAAAGCAAAAAACTCTGTAGTTATTACAGCAGTTCAGGGCTGGCCTTAGGACTTCCTTGCCTCTTAATGAAAGTTTGTGGTGAGAAAATGTTGACCTTTGATTTTCTTAATATTTTGTAAATAGTTGCTAGTTCTAGTTCTAATCTGTATTTTATGCAAAAAAATATATTTGTTATTATGAGGCATTCATGCCTCACAAGTTTTCCCCCAGGAAATGCATGTAATCCTAGTGAACGATATTCAAGGGTGTTAGTTTTGGAGAGGAAGTCTATTTAGATACTTTCTGAATAAGATTTATGTACTAGCATGTTAAAATCAAATGTTATAGAAGTAAAGAAAGAATAATAAGTAGTAAATTGTCTGATTTTTATAGCATAGTGGTTTACATGTTAAGAGTTACAAGTTCAAGAAATCTAAGAACATCTACAATTGTTACCTCTCTCCTATAATGTACACACTGAACATAGGGTTGTTAAGAACATATTTCAAAAATTATGTATTTGGTTAATGCATTTTTTTAAAAAAATCAGAGTAAATCTTGTATTATATTTCAGTTTCTTTAAACAAGTGTAGATAATTCTTTATTCAGGTAACCAGTAAAGATACATGAAATATATATGATTTGCTTGCTTGTCAAATGGAAATTGTATTTCCCCCCCTGTATATTTAGTCCTTTTTAAAATTTTGTAGTAAACCATTCAATTAGCATAACAGCTCTGAGTAATTTAAGGGGCAAACCCACAATGCTGCTTTTTAAAGGAGTTATATGTTACGGTATAACACGGACAAAAGTATTCCAAGTACCATGATCTGTTGTTTTAATAGGATTCTGCCTGTTTTAGTGTCGAGTTTATACCTTCTTCCATATGCTAGGCAATTCTCTGTTACATTTTAAAAGGACATTATTTACTAAAACTTAAAAGTACAACTTATCACGTTATAACATAGTCCACAATCAGCACAGATAACTTTAAATTAACTTTTATTCTTCTGTACTTCCTGAGCTTTATGTGTAATGATAGGAGTTCTTAATAATTGTAACAACTATTGCTTTTTTAAGAATTGGTGCTCTTCAAGCCATTTTATCTATTCCCAGCTGACTATCACAGCAGTGGCCACACTGTTATTAATGGCTGGAAGATCCACAACACAGCAAAGAACAAATGGTTTGTATGCATGGCAAAAACCCCTGAAGAGAAGCAAGAATGGCTGGAAGCTATTTTGAAAGAGCGAGAGAGAAGAAAAGGTAGGTTAATAAACTTCCTTGTGTTGCTTTGCCAGAAAGCCACGCTGTATTTTTATGTTGAGATATAAAGCAAAACCAGCTGTTAGGCAAACTTCTAGTGTCAAGTTCACCTGAAGGTTTATGAATACCAGCTTGGACAACATAAATCAAACTTATACTGGGAAGGGCATAATGCCTTGAATCATGTATGCTGGTAGTGAATGCTGGTTTGGAAATGGGGACATGATTTAATCTGTGATTTTACAGTTTATCCTCAATCAATATTAATCGTCATAATTTCATTGAGGCCAGTGTACTGTTATGGCTTGTGGTATATGAGGGTCTATCCTACATGCCTTGTGGGATTTGTATGCACTGATTCCCTTTTGTGACTGGTCATTTGAATCACTGAAATGAGCAGGTTTTCTGTGTTGGATCTTCGTACAGATGATCTAACCTGAAATGGCACATAATATACTCACAAACCCATCTTTGATGTATCCTCCCTTACCCAAGAATGTAAGAAATAACCATTGGGAAACAGCTGTCTTTTTGAATAACAAAATGAAGGTGGGATAATACTTGGATGAGACATAATCCTGATCTCGTATGTGACCACGAATAACCTCGTATTCAAGGTGAATCCAGCACAAAGTATAACCAGGGAAGGATGACGCATCATCATCCTCTGGAGCTAATTTAATTTGCAATCTAAAACATCCGAATCTGTAATGATGTTTGCAGCCTTGGTATTGAAAGAAAATATGACCTTGTAGTTAGGTCTGGGATTCTTTTCCTGGTCTGTGTAGATTTTCAGCTGCATGTTGCAATAGCTCCTGTTTTGTGCCTCCATTGTAAATGGTGACTAACAACACTTTCTTTGGTCTTTTAAATTTGAATACTGGGTGTTTGTAGAACACCTGTTGTAGGACCACTGTTTCAACTAGGTTGTCTGAGCACTGGCTAATTCATAGTGTCATCAGGAATTAATAGTAGGAAAATCTAAAAAGATGCCTTAGAAGCCTGAAAACTCAACATTTTAAAAATACAAATGAGGAAACAATGTAGGAGACATGGTGTCAAATACGACAAAACCCAGGCTTGTCTGCTTCTGTATAGGGCCTTGTCTGGAACTGGCTAAAGAGGTTTTTAACACATCCTACTCACTGTTAAGTTTCTTGGGTCCCTTAGACTCTTAATAGCTTTAGGTAAGAAATAGAGGGAGCAAGTAGGAGTATTTTATGTTGGTGTACTCTAACTATTTCACACTATACTATTGAGCAGCTGCTAGTAAAGGTCACTGAGCTAAACCTTGCCAAGTGTGAGGTCTGAGGTAGCCATCCCAAAGTCAAGCCATGTCATAGGATTTTACAATCCTTTGATTCGGGAATATTTTCAGCTCGTGGTGTTCTCAGTGGGTGTGCCACCAAGGACACAATCATGAAGGAAATTCAGGCGAGGATTTGGTACACACTTAGACTCAGTTTGCAACACAGAATCTTCTACAATATTTCTTGAATATCTCTGTTAACCTACCAATTCATAAATTTATCAATCTCCCCTAGCAAGTGATTTTTCTTTTTTTTTTTTTTTTTTTTGTTTGTTTTTTTTTTTTTTTTTTTTTTGTTTTGTTTTTTTTTTTTTTTTTTTTTTTTTTCCCAAAATATCTGTATAAACAGCTCTTGCAAAGCAGGATGCATCAACTTAATTGCAGTCAAGTTGCCAAATGACTCCGGAAGCAAACAGCTATTTTTTAAGAACTCAAATACTGTACCTAAATGTAGCTGCAACACTTTCCCATTCACTGTGAACATAGAAATGCTTTAATTATATGTTCACTTAATAAGACGTGGAGCCTGTTCATGTGTGTGTATCTACAGGCAATTATGCTGAAGTCTAAGTGAATGCACATGCGAGAACACTGTTTCTTCTCCTTTGCCAGTCTGAAATGAACTAAATAAAATGAACACACTTCTGAGATGTCTTGCGCTAGGAGTGAGGCTGACGTGAGTGACTCTCTCCTGGTTGTGCTGTGTGTACCCATGCATTTCTTCATAGTGGTGCTGCAGACCCCACATCTCACAAAGAACAGGAGATTGGGGTGATCTCCACAGTAGATAAATAGATCATGTGGGGCAGGAGTGAGGTATGGAAATACAGCTTGAGTGTGCCATGAAGCTGGAGCCTGCTGGGCTATTCATGTTGGGAGACTCAGAGATCCAGTGTACTTAGAGAAACTCAACCTATACTTTTATTTGGAATCCATATAGCAGAAACTAAGCAAAAGGGAGAGAATGCCCTCAATGAAGTACTTTAGCAGAGATTTCAGCAGTTGTAATTTAATTATCAACTAGGACCACTTTACAGATTGTATTTTCTTGCTATAAGAAATCAAGCTGAATTGGAAAGTTTTTGCTAGGAAGCCTTTCTGTCAGTTTTGGGACTTTCCTGTAACTACCTGAGGCATTCAGCAAGTTAGAAATTTATTTAAAAGGTGATCATCTTTAAGGCTGCTGATGCTGTGATCACCTGATTCAAACAATCAAAACAAATAAAAGCATCACCATTCTATAAGCTCCAAAAGTAGTATATTGGTTAAGTTTTCATTTCCCGGGAATATATCAGCTTTTATCTGTGTGGCATCACCACTATCTGATTCATGAATAATGAGAGACACTCCTATGTCTGTGTCCTATAACTTTGTTAGATTTTTCTTGTGACAGGTACATTTTCTAGCTGTGTCTTCAGAATTAAAGAAGTAGCAGACTATTACTCAGGTTGAATATGTACAGTTACAGTTTTAAAAATGTGAAAATCTGAACAAAAACTGAAAACATGTACACAAGACATTCCAGAAATGTGTGGGTTTGTCCATAATTAATAATAATTGTTTACTGAGAAAGCACATTGGATATGAAGGTCTGTAGTATTCCATGGAAGCACAAGCTTCTGTGAGTGTCCAGTAGGATGTATAACTCAACACAAACTGGTTTTGGTCATCTGATACTCAGAAACATAATGATTTTCTCAAGAAGAGAAACAGGAAAAAATAAACTGGTAAGAAATACTGAAATAAAGTGCTTGATAGTTTTGTGTGGTTGAGAAAATTCTGAAGCAAATAAAAATGAGGTTGTGTATATGCTTTTGTGGAAAAAGGGTAAATTAATCTTATGTGAAACTAACCAGTGTATAACAGATAACTAGTTACTATTAATTGGAAATTTGTAAAAGTTTCCTTCAAGTGAAAACATTTTTATTGTTACATGGTAAGAGCAAAACCCAAACTCTTTTCTTTTAAACTTCTGAAGACGTGACTACTCACTTGCAATTGTTCTTATACTGAAGTCTGAAAATCACAGCATTAGTGTTTATTCCTACAATATCAGTGGTGATGTTGATATAGTAACAGTTTAACTGCACTATGAAGAACTTAGATATAATTTGATTATGCTTTATGAAGATCAGATGTTCGTGGCTCAACCTGATTGTGAGAAAAATAACATAAAATACTGGTATTGCTTCTCCATTTTGGGGAAGATATTGAAATATAATGGCAATATCACTTCATAAAGTTTTAATGCATTTTTGGCAGGTTTAAAATTGGGCATGGAACAGGACACTTGGGTGATGATCTCTGAGCAAGGAGAAAGACTGTACAAAATGATGTGCAAACAAGGAAATCTCATCAAAGACAGGAAGAGGAAGTTAACCACTTTCCCCAAATGCTTTCTTGGAAGGTATTATATGTATTTTATAGCATGAGTTTTAACCAGCTAGAAAACACATTTTAAATCTTCTTTGGGATTCTGCAGAAACCACACTTTATTTCTAATGTCTGTTAGGCCTATTTGCCTCCTAGAATTTAGCCGAAATGTAAATTGGTCTGCCTGAAATTTATGGATATGTACTTGTATCCTAAAGTAGTTATATTAAAGGGACAACGCTGCAAAGGCATATTGAAAATGTGAAAATGTATCAAATAAGACAGTTTTTTTTTTTTAAAGAAGTAATTCCCAACTTTTTAAATGCATTCTGTCTCTGAAACACCTAGTTTAGAGTATCAAATTTGCTTTATTCCACTTTAAAAAAATCTCTGTCTCTAAAACTGTTTCTGTCCTCCTCTTGCCTGAATGTCAGGGACAGAGTTACTAAATAAAATTTACAAATTTAAAAAATCACCCCTGTTATTAGGACAATGTTTATAATGCTATATTTTACCTATGGCTTAAGAAGACTGAATGCAAGAGACAGAGAAAGCAATAGGTACCCTAAAAATGTGTATGTGACAAAAAAGTTAGTTTGGAGATGGAAGAGTTATCACTTATTTCATTTAACTGTAAGACAATTAAGTATGGAAAATATTTTTATAAAGTACAGTGACTGTTTTACAAAAATGCATAGTAAAGACACTCACCACTGGGTTCAAAACTAGAAATGAAACACAGATTTTCATGTGCTGTCAGAACGCACATAGCTGATGAGAATTGAAACCAGGATTAAGACTGATAATTGATTTGTGACTGAATCATGTTTCCTCAGTGAAATTGTTGGAAGCAGGTAAAGAATATACTCCTGGTGAGGAACCATGTGTGAAACATCTAAACCTACCATCAAATGTCTGCGTTGCTATGTTATCTTTGAAATGGAGCATTTTGAAGTACACTTTTTCTGGTCCCTGGGTCACCAGTTAAAACCCATGAATATGAATGTTGCACTACCTCACTACACTGTTCTTTTGATTTGTAACACACGTGCAAATATCTTACGTGCTATAAATTCGATGTCTCTGAAATGCATCAGGTTTATTGTGACGCAAACAAGGCAATTCTTGCACATGGAGTATATGCTTTGTCTATATGCTTAGGATGTCAATGTGTCTGACATACCTCAGAAGTAACAACCCTTCTGTTCTATCATACTGCGATTATGTTCTGCCTTCTGGGCAGGTGCTGTAGGTATGCCTTATATTGCCTTATATTTGACTGTCTGGTCAAATGTGGCAATGCTAGTTTAGGAAACCCCGGAAAACATGGAAGGTCTTCAACATGTGCAAGGTAAATTTCATGCAAGCAATACTTCTGAGCAGAAAAGAAAAGACATCTCAAGGGAAATCATATGTATTTATGTCGAAATAATAAAATAGTTGAAACGACTGGGGTTTTTTAAAGGTGGTATGACATTCTGAAGATCATTGGGTTTAAAAATCACTTACTAGGGTAGTAAGGAACACTAGTAACTGAGAGGGAAATGTGGTAGATCTGGTGGTATGACATATAAAGTTTGTTTTTTGTATCTATTTTTATTTCAGTGAATTTGTGTCCTGGTTGTTGGAAATAGGAGAGATACACAAATCTGAAGAAGGTGTTCATCTTGGCCAAGCTTTATTAGAAAATGGCATTATCCATCATGGTAAATATAATTAGTTTTAACTTACTTGTTTTCAAGGTAATTGTTGTAATTAGAGTGGACTTAATTTTGTTTGATAAAAAGATGGTCTTGTTAATGCAAGACAGCTTATTGAATCTGCATTATATCCTTGCAGGGACCACATGGGGCAGATTTACTGGGAGAGGCACCATTGATTTAATCAGATTACATCTGTGCTGTTGGGATCACAACACTGCTAACTGGGACCTAGAGAAACATTACTATTTTCTTGTAAGCAAAAATAAATTCTGGGGCAAGAGAAAACTGTAGACTGCTTTTAGGGATTTAAATCTTTTATTAAGGCTTTTTAGGGATGCATGTTCAGCTAAGAATTGTAGGAGAGAGTGAATCACAGTTGGCTGTTGATAAACATGCCTGCTCATCTGTTAGGTATTACAAGTGGAGCTGGTGGAATCCAACCCAGAACCCAACAGTTTAATATTTTGAATTTTAAGGCCTTATTTTTACTACATTGTATAGTTACTAAACCTGATACTTTTATGCTGAAACTTTCAGTCAACTATCTGTGTTCAGCTCATTCTGGAGAGAAGTATCACTGAAATGGTTCAGTTTTTGAGCTAATAAAGTTTGATTTCTGGAGGTAATTTGCACTGGCAACATTTTTCTCTTACCAGAGCAGGTTGTCATCTCTGTCCCTTCCACAAGATACAGTCCAACAGGACCATATAAGTGAACTGGAGAAACTTCTGGTTTTGAAGGCATGTTTGGCTTACAATAGGTATAGTCACTTAAGGGAAAAAAAAGGAAACAGTTGTGAAGTTAGCTACTGTTCCAGCACAGATCCAGGGTGTAAAGTTAGATGGAATCATTGGTAATACACATTTTAATACTTGCTCTTCAAGTTCTTTGCCACGATGTTTTCAGTGTCCTTAACTAGAAAGAAGGCAGGAGTGAGTGCCACTTAGCTGTGTGCATTTTAAACATAGAGTAGGAGGAAAAACATTAAAGTTACTCATTAGTAGTCATGTAGTTTTTAATTCTTTAATGTCAGTCTACGTGATTTTCCTCCACCATCATTGAAATGTCGGATGCTATTATGTTTACTACACACACAGAATTGTTTTCAATGGAATGATTCTGTTGCCAAAGATTCTTCTCCTGATCTTGTAATTTATATCCCAAATACACTCATAGACTTTCTCAATACAGAGCTAAATGAATATTGTGTAATTTCATGAGATAAAAGGGTAATTATATTAGAGCATAGAAATGTGAGCCAGACATGCTACTTTGAATAGTGGATCCAGCTGTGGTTCAGTGAAAATAGAATTCTTAAAATAAAGTTGAATGAACCATCTGTTTTCACAGAGGGAGCAAGGGAGAAAGAAAGTTTGGCTGTTATTCACATTGCAAATGTTGTAGAGGGCTTTGTTAGACTTTGCATATTCACTATGCTGGCCATTATTTTAACTGTGCTGGGCTTCATTCTATCAATGCCAGATCCATGTTGTGATGGGTATTGTTTTACTTCCTGGTGTGTGAACTCTTGCAAGTAGAAAAGTTAAGTTTTTTCCTTTTTGGTTTTTCTTTTTTTTCCCCCTTCGTTTTTGCAAAAGGAAAAAATCTGTTTGTGTGTTGCTATTTTAAATCTACCTGGTGACATTCTCGAATATCTGAAATTACTTATATCAGCCAATGGACTTGAGATACTTTGTCCAGTCATTTGCTACTGCTGATTAGAGATGGATGTTTCCTCCAAAGGCAGTAAGGAGATCTGTAGTTAAAAAATATTCTGAATATTGGATAGTTTTAAAATTAATAGGTATTTATGTGGCTGTGCAGTTTCTTGGCTGGTGTACTGATCTGAGTCAAAATTACCCTGGCCAAAGAATGTAAAAGAAAAGACCAGTTTAAACCTGGGTCAGTTCCCTTTTCTTAGCATGTGCCATATAAGTATCTATCCCAACACAAAATACAGGGACATTGTTGGGAGTGACACACAAAACAACTTGAGGCTGGGTGGAAAATGGATTGGGAGCAGCCCCACAGAGAAGTACTTGGAAGTGTTGGTTGACAAGAATCCCAACATGACCTGGCAATGTGCATTTGCAAGTCAGAAAGCCAACCGTATCCTGGGCTACATCAAGAGAAGCGTGGCCAGCAGGGCGAGGGAGGGGATTACTCTCCTCCTGTCGGACCTTATCTGCAGTGCTGGGTCCAGCTCTGGGGCCCCCGATATAAGGACACAGACCTGTTGGAGTGGGTCCAGAGGAGGCTGCAAAGATGCTCAGGGGGCTGGAGCAGCTCTCCTATGAGAACAGGCTGAAAGTTGGGGTTGTTCAGCCTGGAGAAGAGAAGGTTCCGGGGAGACCTTATAGCGGCCTGCCGGTGCTTAGAGGGGGTACAGGAAAGAGGGGGAGGGACTCTTTATCAGGGGGTGTGGGGATGGGACTAGGGGTAATGGTTTTAACCAGAAAGAGCGTAGATTGAGATTGGATATAAGACATTCTTCCCTGTGGGGGGGGTGAGGCGCTGGCCCAGGGTGCCCAGAGCAGCTGTGGCTGCCCCCTCCCTGGAAGGGTTCAAGGCCAGGTTGGACGGGGCTGGGAGCCCCCTGGGCTGGGGGAAGGGGGCCCTGCCCGGGGCAGGGGGGTTGGAACTAGATGGTCTTTAAGGTCACTGCCAACCCAAACCATTATTCTGTGATTCTATGGGTTTAGTGGTAATGCAGCTTTTTATCAGCTTTGTTTGAAACTCAGAATGTGCCAGCTGTGTGGACCTGCTGCCTTAGTTTCTGGTGCACTGTGTGCGTGTAGAGGCTGCAAAGCCACAGTGGTGCTTGTGTTCCTTTGGGGGGCATAGTCTGCCCTGTTTGTCATGGGCATGCAAGAAAGGAAAAGTGCTCTGTAGTCCTGGTTCCCTCCCAGTGCATGTCTGTAACAGTGAGCAACGATTTGACAGAGAACAGACAATACTGTTCTGTTTGTGGTTTTTCTATTTTCTGTAGTTGCTGCTTTAGAAACTCCTCATGTATGTTAATCTAGTGGATTTTTTTTTTTCTTCAACAGTAGGAATTTTATTTTATTTACAGAGCTAGAAGATACCTTTTTTTCCTAAGTTAAATGGTCATAATCCATTAAAATTCATTTAGATACCTATAGTAGGCATTATATGTGAAAATTTTGTGGTCTCTATCTGATTTATTGAGAAGCAATGATACATGAAAGAGTTTAGGGATTATTTTGGATAATCACCTTAGCATAAACCATCAGTTCAAGGCAATTGGAATAGTGTCCTGAACTTTACTATTAGTAGATATGGCACTGGTGAAACCACTTAATATATGAAGTCCAGTTTTTATATCTATGTATTAGATGATGTGTTGAGATACTGAAGAGCTTCAAGGGACATGAGAAATGATGCAGGCAGAAAGCATCTTACTATACAGATTTTATGATGTCTAACTAAGTGTTTGAAGAGAATAATGTATGATGGTTTAGTCACTTGGAAGGCAGGCAGAGAGGAATTACCTAACACTGTCAGGCCCGTTACTCTGATTTATGAAGACGTTGCAGTACCCTCCTTTATCGGTTGATGACATGCAAATTTAGTTTCAAAATTAAAGCTTACATCTACAAAAAACAATAGTTATTAAGAGACAGTTATCCTAAGATGGCGCTAGTGTCTAGTGCTGTCCTCAGCCATCAAATGCATCAGCTTTTTTTCAGAAAGACTTGCTGTAGTACTGTTTCCAGGACAAGTTTTGTATCATACTATGTGACTGTTTTGGCAAAACACTTGAAGTTATGATGTTTGTTGCTGGAATCTTGTGAAAAATCTGGAAATCTACCCATTAAGATCCTTTTTCATGTGTCTTTGGGGAAATGGATTATCAACATCTTCATAATGACTGACCGTCTCTCACACTTCAGACCTTCAGGTGGCTATGAGGAAGATGTTCCCTCTCCCTTTTCCTCCCCAGGCAAGGCTGGTCAAATGTGTTGTAGAGGGTTTGTGTCTTTACTGACTCATCTGAGATTAGCCTCAGCAAGAATTAGAACAGAGAATAATGTGGAACAATAATGTGAATAGCTGCAAAAAAAAGTTTTGTTTGGCTATTTAGTTAATAAGCTTTGCAAAAACGCTGAATACTAGAAAGATTTAAGTGCCGAATTTTTCAGGCTGTTCCCTGCCTGTTCGCCTCTCTTATTCTTTGCACTGTGACTTGAAATTATTTGGTTTCTTCCGGAGTACTTAAACATTGTGAAAAGTATTGTCATCAGTGACATAAAAGAACTTAGGGCAGATGATCTAATTGGGCTTCCTGCCCTCCCTGTCTGAAATCTACCTATTGCTGTATAATGGGCTGTTATTAGAAGAAATGATGCTGACCCTCTTCTCTCGTGTTGATTTCTTCAGAAAGTCACATAACAATGCATGATTTTATTTTTTTTTTTAATTTAGTTACAGATAAGCACCAATTCAAACCTGAACACATGCTGTACAGATTCCGATATGATGATGGAACATACTACCCCAGAAGTGAGATGCAGGATGTGATCTCTAAGGTACAGAATAAAATAGTGGATATTATTAGGAAGAACACATCAGAATCGCAGGTTCTGCTTGAAAAATAATGTAAAATATTATGCTAGGATCAACAACATCCCCTCACAGTTGCTTGTCTCTCTATTTATGTGAATCGAACTCAGTTTTCCATTTGTAAGAGAAGATTTTAGCTTCTTGTTGCACATTTTAAATATAAAATTAAAATTTGTTATTTTTTAATTACGTAGTGGTTTCATATGTAGTTTGTATTGTCTGTGTTTCTGGGTGATTCTGAAGCTGGTGTTTCAGTCTATTGTATTTTTCAGTCCATTTTAATAGATATGAAGCTATACATAGAAAACTGGTTTTATTTTTCTCTTAAATCTGAGTGTTTTTTATTAGTGCCTTAACAAGGCAGTAAATCTGCAGCCATGTAGATGTTTAAGTGCAGATGTGTAGTGCTATCCATCTACAGTACTGAGCATAAAAAAATGATTGAACAAAGTTGCCTTTAAACTCATATTCAAACTTCTAATGATTTTGAGGTGGTAGAAAAAGTCAGCATTTAGGTATTACATTACAGTGTCATTCACTTTTTCTGGTGGCATTTGTTAATGTAAGGTATATCTAGGAGAATCTTCAGTATTGGACTACCAAGCACAGGAAAGCAGGATGGAATCTAATTTAACACAACTTTTAATTGTTATACATGGTTCATGCATGTTATAAACATAATTGGTTTTTGATAGTCTGCTAAGGAATACTAATGTGCTTTCTCTTTTTAAATAAAATTTTCTGATGGTAGTTTCTTAAACTCTTCCAAATGTTTTTATTTTTTGCTTTAATTAAAAATGTTTCCAGTATTTGAATATTTTTCCTTTTTTTTTTTTTTTTTTTTTTTTTAAAGTTTATTGGTTAGGTATAATTTCAATTTGTAAGTAAAGTATTGGTATGTATAGTCAAATGCAATGCTTTTTACCTTAATTAGTCACTTTGTGTGTAACCAGTGATTGGGAAAACCTTGATGCATGGAAGCATTGCTTTCTCTTTCAGGTTTTGTATACTTTTCTTTCAAAGTACTAAACCTTCAGATTTTTTTAATGCTACCTTCAGATTTTTTTAATGCTACCTTAGAGTTAATCCTTTTTACATGGGTCTCAGTGAAGTTTAGATTGGACTGGAAATGTTTTCTTTGTCATGATTTATTCTTCAATATTGTTATCTGCAAATAATAAATTTTGGCACATGAAAATATATAGAAATTTGAACAGACTTGTTTTACTATCTAAATGAAGTGTGTTTAGACCATATAGGCTTCCTTACTGCGTCTGTTCCTCTTATGTTCTCTGTGGTGTGAACATGTGGTTAACTAACCTCATCTTTCTCCTTAATAGGGTGTACGACTGTACTGTCGCCTTCACAGTCTGTTTACCCCAGTAATTAGGTGAGTCCACTTGGGAAATCCTTAGAGAGTCATTTAGAAGACATATGTAATCTGAAGATACTGTGTTTGAATGTAGGATCCTAAGCCATCTTGGGAGTAATCAAACAAGATTTAAGGGCTATCAAGACTAAAAGCATAACTGAATCATTAAATGGCTACAAACTTCATTCAATATGATCTTTTTTTACAGACTTTTAGAGCCTTCTAGATTCTGATGGATATGCTTATATGCTTACTGTATATATTAATACACTCCTTTACTAACACTCCATTACCTCATTTGGAGAGTCCCAGCTGTAAAAGAACAGCTATATTTATACTCCAGTGATATTACTGCCCAAGTAAGATATGGTCAGCCTCCTCTTTTCTGTCTACACTGAAATGTTTGACTTGCCTTTTTACTCCAGAATCAACCTCTGAACCATTACAAAATGCTTGATTCACGCTTGCACTAGCTTGCTTATAAAATATAAGCTTTTTTCTGTTGGGCTCTATTGAGTTTTTGTTTGATTTTTTAAAATTGTTTTGTTTTGAACAGGGATAAGGATTATCACTTGAGAACCTACAAATCTGTGGTCATGGCTAACAAACTCATAGACTGGTTGATTGCCCAGGCAAGTATACACCTTTGGATTTATGTATGTTTTGCATTTAAATTCTATTTTGAAAGGTAGTCATGTATTAAGCAGAATAGCATGCAAACACTTTGTGTAAGGGTTATTACAACGGCGTGTGTAAGTGTAATCCTCTTAAACTGGTAAAGTAACAGAAATCAGCCGTCAGCTGCCATGCTGTTCATCGCTGTGTGCTTTTCTTCCTTATTTGCAATTGAACTTTAAATGTTTTAATGAGAGTTAGCTTTGTGATTCATCATGTAACATCGTTCATGGCTTAAAGTAAAATGGATAGGCTCTGAAAAACTCTAAATTACTAAGTGGATAAAAGTCAGTACCAACTTGCTGTCATCAGTCCTGTTTTATTTTAAGAGAACTAGGAACAAGAACAGGGTATACTGTTCACTCAGTCAACATGCACCAGTTTTATGAAATAAAAGTTAAGAACTTTGACATTTTTAGATTCTATTATGTTCAGTTTTTATGGAGAATGCAGTGTTACTAAAATGTGTACATGTTTATTTGTAACTATAAAGAGGTACACCATACAAAGTCCCTTCCAACCCAAACTGTTCTATGATAAACATGTATATAGTGTTTTATATGTATGCTATAAATGTATATATAAAGGTGGTGATGGTAAATATAATCTACAGCCATTGCCATCCTGGTGAGGTTATGCCATTGTGCATAGAATCCATTTTGCTGCTATATTAGAATATGTTAAAAAAATATGCTATGGTTTAACAGGGGGATTGCCGGACAAGGGAGGAAGCTATGATATTCGGTGTAGCTCTTTGTGATAATGGGTTTATGCACCATGGTAAGTAAATACATTCTGTACAAGCTATGCCTACCTCTTGTTTAATGCTGTCTGCATAGTTGGAAGGAAACGCAGGATCTGGTAAAAATATTACAGAAGAGATAGGAAGTTGTTTAATCGCTGAAGAGATGTATGCTACAATCTTCAAGAAAAAAATAGCTATTGTATGCTCTGAAAATTATTTTCAGTCCATTTTATAGCATGTACTGAGGAGTTCATCCTCTAAAGATTTATAGGGGGCACTTTTATTAGCCACTCTGAAATAAATTTCTTAAGCAGGTAATACTGTTTGAACAGATGTGACAATAAAAATTTAGGAAATATGTAGGAAAGAAAGGAGGCATTTTTTGGGGAATGAATAAAGTATGGAGCAGCATGATTTTTTTTAAAGTGAAGTGATGACAGTGGGAGAAAGTGGACTATAGAAAAATGAGAAAATCATCAGGGCAGCAGTGAACAGAGAAGGGACAAGAGAACAGAGGTGTATGCAGTACCAAAAATGAGGGGAATAAGGTTACATTTAATACCATCAGAGGGAATATTTCAGTGAACAGATTGAAGCAGTAGGTCATTTACTGAAATAAAAAGAGGAATAAATTATTTTGTCATCAGCTTGTTTAGAGAAGGAGGGAGAATTAACTTCCATTCTGGCATTCTTCATTCTCTTTCCTTTGACTTTTAAACATACAAACTGCATCTGTCTGTTGTTCTAGTTGCTTCCACATCTCCACCACGCCCATTTCCAGTATGGATCTGGCATGCTGCACCACCTAGGGAGTGCCAGAAATTGGTGGTGAGCATCTCCAGCCGCTGTCCAGCAGAACTTTTCAAAATCACATTTTAAAATCCCTTTTATGAAAAAACCCTGTGCTTGTCATTTTCACTAATGCCATTTCAGGCCAGTGTATCTTCCTCAGGTCCTTGGAGTCCAGATGTTGTAGTTGAAAATGAACTTATTCATACCTGTGTGTAACGGATCCAAATAAGAATCATTGTTTTCATTAAAAATTAAGATTTCCCTAGATTCACACACAAAAATAGTTTGCTAGCATTTAGAATGTGTATGCACATTGAGTATCTTATGGTTCATGAAAGACATGATATTCAAAAGTTCAAAAGAAAAAAAGGATTAATATGTGTGATTTTGTACCATATAGTGTTAGAGAAAAGTGAATTTAAAGATGAACCACTGCTGTTCCGTTTTTATGCGGATGAAGAAGTGGAAGGGTCAAATATGAAGCACAGACTCATGAAACATGATCTGAAAGTAGTGGAAAATGTCATAGCCAAGTCATTACTGGTGAGTCAAACGCAACGACTGCATGCTTTGACAAATAAAAAAATTGGTTATAATGACAATAAATTAGCACTGTTGTTTAATGGAGATATACTTTAGCTCTTCTTAACGCCTTTCTGAACAATATTTTGAACAATTTTATTTTTCAGATTAAATCTAATGAAGGCACCTATGGTTTTGGTTTAGAAGATAAAAATAAAGTGCCAATTATTAAAGTGGTGGAGAAAGGATCAAATGCTGAGGTACCAAGTAGTATAAATTATATTCCCTGTTTTATTCACTTGACCACATGTGTATGTTTTGTACATCAGTTAGAAAAATCTATAGAAGTAGAAGGTAACAATGACAACTTTCCAAGGAAGTTGTTGTTATGAATCTTTTTTCCTTTTTAATTTGGTTTTGTGGTTTTGTTTAAAATGTTGCTCTAACCGTTATCAACACTCATTTTCTGGTCACGTAAATCATTGTATGGAGTGGTGGTATAAAAGTTATAATTTTATTTTTTATACATTTTATAATATTCCAGTGATGACATTAATCATGAGTGGAATAAGCATTTTTGGTAAAATATGAGTATAAAGCTAGTCTGTGAGTTGTACTTGATATATTTCATAATAAAGGATGTATCAAGCAGTGGATAAAGTTTAGAATTTGAGAATCTAAATTAATAAATGACAGCCTTTTTGTTGTTAGTGTTGCTTTAGATGCTTTTGGGGTAAATTCATACTCTACTGAATGGCATGGGAGTCTCTACATGTAAAGATAAAGGAAGAGTCTCTTCCATGAGTGACAAAAATTAGACCTAGATTTCAACCCTTTCTAAATCTCATGGTGGAATCGAAATTTAAGATATTATAAATTAAGAAATAATTAAGAAATTATCAAACCAATAGTATAATACAGCCACAGAGCTATATCTAGGGTGATTTCTAGCAGTCAGGTTCTGCCATGATCTCAGATGGCACTAAGGCTTGGCCTGTGCTCTGAGCCTCTCTGTGTACTCCTGCCATCCAACTGGTTGCAGTTTCTTTCTTCTTAAACCGGAGTTTGAAAATGGTATGCAACTTGGCTTGCTATACCTTTGGCTCAAATTCCATGAAACATTTAAGGATATTTTTTTGTTTTGGAGCTTAAATATGCACTTACTAAAATATTAATGAGGTCTTTCCTTTTGAAAAGAAGCTTTAGTCCATGATGGATGGACAAATTAGGTAATGTCATAAAAATAATAAACTGGCTCAATGAAAGCTGTTGTGTTAATTATTACAAATATAAAATGATTTTGTAATATTGTCATAAAATCTTGATTAAGACTTAGTCTTATGCTTAGGTCTCTTCAGAATGAGTGTTTATTGTACCCTTCATGTAAATTTAACCACTTCTAGAAGCGTCTTGTGATGTAAGTCTTTTGTGTGTGATATGTGAAGGAGGCATAAAGAATGTAAAGGAAATGTGCATGTTATTATTCCGGTAGGGGTTGCATGCCAGCAGAGCAAAACGGTGTTAGTGTTATAAAACGCAAACATATAAACAACTGTTACTGTTTTCTAGATGGCAGGCCTGGAAGTTGGGAAAAAAATCTTTGCCATTAACGGTGACCTGGTTTTTCTGCGACCCTTCAGTGAAGTGGATTGCTTCCTGAAAGCATGTTTAAACAGCAGAAAGCCCCTGCGGGTTCTTGTGAGCACTAAACCACGGGAGTAAGTTGTCATTCCTTTGGGGGTATTTTTACAAAGTGCAATTGAAGTGAATTGTAAAAGACCAGTGGAAACTCAGACACATTACTGTAAGGTTATTTTAAATGCTGTATCTAATCTGACTTTGTAAAGTCAAGCAATTTGATCTGCTTTGATTTTGTTTTACTACATTTGTCAATCAGCAGAAGTGAAACACAAGTGCTTTGGATCATCAGCCCTGCCACTTTAAATGCATGCAGGAACCAAAAGTGTATATGGAGTTTCCTTGACTATATGGACAGTTTTGATCACTTATCTCTCATGGTGTTTATTAAACAAGTTCCTCTGTCTGGGGGATTAGTTGCTAGTTTGGCAGAAGTTGGACTCTGTGATCTAATGGGCCCCCTCAGTATGTGTGCTGGTTGTGTAAACAGCAGGAGCAAGTAAACAGCTCCCCATCTTTATGTAACACATACATTTCTGTACACAGTTTTGACCATTCCTTTCCAAACACAGTTTTTATTACATAAAATAAATACAAAGTGAGGCCTAATGGCTGAGTTCAGTAAGTATGTAAATGAGCATAGGCCTATTAATAAAGTGAATGCAGTTGCTACTAGCTTATACATACCAAAGAAAGAGGAGAGTAAGAAGCAGTGGCCAGGAGTAATTCTGATCATAGTTTGAAGGGTAAGAAGGAACCATCCTCGTTTACCAGAGAGCACACACAGAGTGCCTTGAAAATGGCTCTGTTTCAGTGGTAGAATGGAGACGTATTTCTCCTGTTAATAAGCAAAGGAGTCATGAGAAATACAGTGGTATCCAGAAAAGGGAAAAGAGCAAAGAAAGAAATATGGCATAAAGATGATCATCTGGACCAATACTTCAAAAAAAAACCCAAAGAAACAAACAAAAGCAACAACCAAAAAAATGCCCCAAACCAGTTGGTGATAGTATTGTAGCAAGCATAAAAGGTGTATCTTGGCCTTTCTTTAATCTAGATCTTGGTTTAATTTCTGACATAACTTGCCAGTGAAAATGTAGGTGAATTTCAAGGTTGACAGATCTAGTGAATGAGGAGTTCATGAATTTGTTTCTCAGGGCTGTCTGCTTTTTGTCAGGAGCTGCTGCTAGCACAACTGTGTTGGCAGAGGAGAGAGTTCTCCTAAATTGTTAGCCTAAACTGCCAGTGATGGTCTTTCATAGCTCATTAGCATGCTTACAAAGCATTTTCAGAATGAAACTATATAGATTGTATCAACATTAGTTGATATATAAATGTACTAAATGACGCAATACTTATGAAAATATTTCAAATGAAAATGTATTAATCTGAAGAATATTCTAATACTTTTTAAAAATGTATAGACATCAGTGGGTTTTGGATCTCACCTCTGTTGATAATTATCTCCAAATGCTAAACATTATGTGTACCAGAAAAAAACGAAAGTACAAGAAATGATGCAATGATATTTTAAACTACCTGTAAATCAAATTTATTACAGTCCAAATGTATTTTAAAATCACTTTTCAGCATCAATTTGAATTTCTGCTTTTGCAAATGGAGCTTGGGGCAAAGATCCCTTAAATAATGATGGAGCTGGCTCTGGAGGTAAAGGCTGTAGAGTTAAATCAGTGCACCGTTATGCATGACCTAACTAGCTCTGATAAGAGCTAATGCAGCTGTGTTGCTTTTTCTGGAACCTGAGCTGGTATCATGTGGACACGCTAGCTTACTTTGGGTGAGCTCAGGGCTTCATTTTAAGAAGTAGATGTGAATTTTGATTCTCAGAACTGTATTTTTGTTGGTTATGTTTATCAGTAGGTTTATTACTGTTGCACTTAAACCAAGTTGGAGAGTAGCATAATGTGCTTACAAGTTACATGAGGAGTAGTAGGCAATTCTTGTTTTACAAAACTCAGTATTTTCCATATCTGCTCAGAAAAACTGCAACAAAATGTTTTTTTTCAATAAAACTTGGTAAATAGACACTTAGATGTCAACAAATTGTGATACAGATCTCGTCTCCAGTCTTCCACAGCTCATCTGACAAGGCTTGCCATCATCTGTGGTCCCCGAGCTCTCTCCTCTTGGCTGAGAGTCTGCCTGCCTCCCCAGGGCTTTCAGTGTTGCTGTGCTGTGGCAGCTTGCCCAAATCATGGTCCATTTGGGAGGAATTTTAAAGCTATGGTGGTGTTTTGGTCGTAATCAGCATATTGAATTTCCCTGCAAAATAGTATTGCCTTTCTCTGATTGGTTTTGGTATCTCAGCTTTTGGTATCTAAAGCATCTGGAATATGAATGGTACTGAATCTGAGACTGTGAAATGAAGGCAAGTGTGGAGTCTCATACCCTTCTAATCTACCTATTGCTGTCCACTTTTATCTTGAATAACAAAATGCTACCTTCTGCTCCGTTCATATTGAATCTTTGCTTAATTAGGACAGTGAAGATTCCTGACTCTGCAGATGGGCTTGGTTTCCAAATCCGGGGCTTTGGCCCATCAGTTGTCCATGCTGTTGGGAGAGGTAAGCTGTAAATGCTGTCAATGGTAGTGATAAGTATACATTTAATATATAAATGGTATAGCTGAGATAAATCAAAATTAGGTCCAGTGATTCCACTTCGATTCCCCCTCCCCAAAGTAACAAACAATACAAAACAAAACCAAATAAGATTATTTTGTGATCTTTTACTTCGTATGTTTTGGATAGCTTGTATGGATTATTTCTTTTTTTGCGTGTGTATGTGTTTATATGAATGTAGGAAAATTAAGTTAAGGTTGGGCGTTCTTTACAGACTAAAGAATAGCTGATGGGTGCAAAATCACCTTCTCCAGTGAATGGGTGTTGGGGAGCACTCACTTTGTGAGTGTTAATTTGTTAGGTGGACATGTGGTTCTGTACTCTTCTGAAAACATTTTACAGAAAATACACTTTTCACAAATCTTTTCAAGGGTTCTAGTGACCTAGTCTGCCTTAGTAATTGCAGATGTTTCCTCTAGATACTGTTTTATCCATTTTGTGATGTAATTGTCAAATGCTTGCCATCCCCAACTCTTGACTGGTACTCTGGCAATAAAAAAAGTGAAAGCATTCTTTCTTGCTGTCTCATGTTGCTAATGGTAGAGCCAACTAACACTGTATTTTCAGCTATAGTGGGGCAGTTGTGTCCTTTTTTCCCGCTGCCCCCATTTGTAATTAAGGAATTTAAAGTGAACCAATCTGCTAAGTTGACAGAATTGAACAGAGCTTGACAACCTTTTTGTCTTGGCTGTGGTGTCAGAAATTATATTTTCAAGAGAAATTCTAATAAACTACAGACTGTTGAGCTGATGTGATAATTATTTCTGCACCTGGATCTCAATTCAATTACCTATCCTTATTCATTAAGCACATACTTTATTCCAATTAGCCTCAACAGTATGTAAGTGCTTGCTTGTGTGGTTTGCTAAACCTAGAAGATTTTAAGCATATGCTTAACTGCTTTGCAGATTTGGGACTTTGGGTTTTTTGGAGAGATACGTGTTTTTTTTTTTTTGTTTTTTTTTTTTTTTGTTTTTTTTTTTTTTTTTTTGAGAGAGAGATATTTAATAAGGCCTATATAACTGTTTATTTTTAAGTCCTTTTTAGGAGAGGGGTGTGTTGCAATAGCTGGTAATGGTGTCATTTCCAAAGACTTTCTTTTACATTAGATTTAAAATGCAGCTATTGCCTAATCTGATAGTACTTAAAATGAGACAAATCCAGGTATATTTAAGCTCTTTCCTTGTCAGATATGCTTAGGTGACAAGCCATGACATAGCTTTTCTGTTGTCAGCCCAGCAAATTCAGTCTAGCCTTTTCTTGCACAGCAGCTAGCTTCTGCACCTCAGCCTTGCAGTCTCTAGGCAATAGATTTTGACTTCCCTGGCATCCCTGGTATCAAGAGAGACATAAAGAGGCAAATGTTCAGGTAGCTGAAACTAAGGTCATACTCCAGTGGGCTGTCTTTCAGGAGTGGACTTGAGTCACACTGAAAAGACCTGAAGAGAGCTGCTGTTTTTGTAGTTCCTATTCAGTGGATAGAAGAATTTTCCCAAGGTGGTTAATCTGTTATGAAGACAAATCACCGAACCATATCTTATGTTGCTCAAAGATAATTTTTTGTTTTGTTTTTGTTTGTTTTTTCCTCAAAAAATAAGTAGATTTGAGATCTCCTACATGATTATGTTTGGGTATTTTGATTCAAGCTGTAAGGTACCCTGTTATAATTGCATTGGTAAAAAGATTAAAATAATGTCAAGATCCTTGGAAATGTCTTTGGATTTGGATATTTCACTTCACGTTTATCAAGAAACTCTAGTATGCTCTGATACTTCTTTATGAACTCTCAGAAAGCTTCTGTTTTGTATGTAAAATAGAGACACCTGAAGTAGTCAAGAAGCTTGTAAGCTTGAGGAATTTAAAAGAATTCAGAAGCAAAGTGGTCTAAGTTATAATTTGTGAGTTTCAAGCTAGAGCCTTTTTATCCTTTTAAAATCCTTCTCTTTAAGACAAATTTTCCACATTTTTATATTACAAATCAACATTTGTTTCATTAAACAGCCTTTAGAAAATAGTCTGGTCTCTCTTTATGGAATCATCTGCTGGAGAACTCCATTTTCTTGGAGTCCAGCTGACTGCAGAAGCATCCTGTGGTCAGGGGAAATATGTAGGAATCAGTGAGAGCAGATTCTGATTAAAAAATTAGGCTTTAAAGGAGATGTGTAGGAAAAGAAGTCTGTTGACTATGTGGGTTTTTTCAATAGGAACGGTGGCAGCTGCGGCAGGTCTCCACCCTGGCCAATGCATAATCAAAGTGAATGGAATTAATGTCAGCAAAGAGACTCATGCAAGTGTTATTGCTCATGTCACAGCATGCAGGAAGTACAGGCGGCCAATGCAGGTATGTCTCACTCAGTTCCCTTCCAGATTTTCTTCTAAATTACTTTTGGTCAAAATGAACAGTGTGATGTATATCTCTGTCCATATATCTGTTGTGTTTGAGTGGGGTGAGGCAAAAGGAGTGGTGAATAAAAGTGAAGAGAAACCAGTTGAATTATAAAAGCTGAAGATTGCTCAATATATTGTTGATGTTCAAGGTCTATTTAATTTCTGCACTGAAATAAATCAAAGCTTATAACTATTTTTTTTTTTTACTATTGTATTTTTAAAGGATTATTTCAAATGTTTCTGCAGTTCTATGCAGAAAGCATTATGAGATATATTCTCATCATGATGGGGAGGGATTTACACAGCTCACTGCCTGCTCAGCAGCAGGAGAATGCAATGTAGAAAGCTGATCTTCTTCCAGAATTTTGTAACACTCCAGCACGTAGAGAGCAAAGTGCACATATTCCATCTATAAAAGTGTCAGTTTTCCTATTGCATTCCAATCTTGGGAATAAACACACATTCAAGGACTCAAAATTTCCCTTTTTTAATATAAGCATTAATTTTTTTTGTTGTTATTTCTGTTAGTTTAGGAGAAAATCTCAGGCTTCCAAGACACAAATTTAAGGAAGAAAACCAAAATCAGCTGGATTCTATAATGTGATTTTCCCTGCAAATTTTTCATAAACTGTGAATCAGTATCATTAATTAACTTCACAAACTCTTCCAGTGCATGGTAATTGAGAAGAAAAATCCAATTAAAATCAAGAGTGAAATCCTTCTCCCACACCTACTGCATAGATATGAGATAAGAATTATAAGTAAGAGTTAGTTGTGTCATACAAATACAGTCTTTATGAAAATGTTCATCTGGATTCTCTGGGTGCAGAATTGAAGTTGTTACATAGCATATCAAGATCGTACCTGTTCTTTAAAGGCAAATGTGCTCTAGGAAAGAGAAGGTGCTTTGTGCACTAGTAGCAAAACTGGCTAGAATAAAAGAGAAATAAAATTCTTTATAGCAGGTGTGTTCTCTCTGTATATAACTGCAGAGTGACTTCCTATAGAGATGAGTGGCATTCCAAAAAAGATTGACTGATGCTGGCTAGCATGAATGCCTTGACATGCAAAATTACTCTTTTTAATCCACTTGTGTACTATGTTAGAGTACATAACTGTTTTTCCTATACAGAGTATTTATTTAAATCTTAAAGTAGCTGATAATAATTCAACAAATCACAAATAACTAAGATCCTCCAGACTGACAATAAAACCTTCATTTAGGGTGTAGTGCTATCAGATGCTATGGGAGAACTGTCTAGACTGAAATAAATGGCAGTATTCCCACTGGTGTCAAGACAGCTAAAATTTAATTTCCTATTCAGAAATTTTGGTTTTTAATTATTTGGAAAATTACTATGGATTTCTCCTGTTTTGTAAGTACAGTGCATTAGCCTATCATTTAATTAACATGAATATTGCAGTCTCCTGTGGTTGGCAATTGCATAATTGAAATGGGATCTCTTCCTGTTTTCTGTATATTCCAGTTCTCAGGGTGAGGAGTCTTCCTGCTTGCCTGGAGCGTGAAGTTTCATTCCAGTTTCTTTCAGTGTGAATAACTGTGTAACTTGTGTTGGACAATGTTTACGTTCTTTCTGTCTTGTCAGGATAAAGAAAATTGAAAGCAGATTGTACTTCTTGGAATTAAAATTTCTTTGCAGTGATACTAATCATGATGTGACAGATCTATGCTTAGTTTGTGCCTCTGTAATGCTTTTGGAGAATGTTTCTCCAAATCATATTGCATTACATCTTGTGTTAACTTTTGAAAGAGGGATGTCTAGTTTAAGTAGTTAGTCCTTTCATTAGGCCATGTTAAGTTCAAACAATGAAGGAACCCTGTGACATAATGTAAATCTATTCGAGATTGGCATGGCAGTTTTGAGGCTGCCAAGCAAACCTGTATGACTCCATAAATAAGCAGCAAATTTTCAGGTGTACCTGCAAAGAGAGGTGGGTTTCAGAAGTGCTTCTGTTGATCCGCTTGTGCACAGGTGTCTTCCAACAATCAACAGAGAGCTCAGTGCCAATATTTCAGTGCCATTGAGTGAAAAGTAAGGCATGGATAAATCTAGGAAACCTAGAGAGAAATAGTATCTTAATCATACAAAAATTAAGTTGTCTATGATTAATAGGATAAGATAGCAGCTGAATATTGCATATTAACAAAGCATAATCTGAGGTACTTGGTATTTTGCATGAAAATTTTAACATTAATCTTAAACTTTTCCTGTCCTTGCTTAACTCTGAATTCTTCCACAAACTTCTTTTTAAAGTCTGTGAATTCAGATTAGTCACAACAGTGTCATTTATTCCGCCGTAGCTGTTGGAGAGGGAGTGACTAACTGACTGTCAAGCTTCTTTTGAAGTGTAAGGGAAAGAGTAGTCTGGAGCTGCTATACTTGATAGGCCCTTCCACAAGGGTGTGATGGGTGTGTGGCTGAGTAAGTTGGGGGAGAACAAGATGTAAGGCGTACACGTGGCTTCTTCATAGGTTGTATGACCAAGCCACCATTTCTGTGCTCATGTGTCACTCACTCACATAAGATGCTGGAGTTCTGGAGCCCACGATTCTGTCCTTTTTGAAGGTTTTGCTAATCTGGGGGGAAAAGAACATCTAGTAAAATAACTGTAGTAAAGGCAAATGTAGTGTATATTCTTGCCAGTGACACATCGGTGATAGAGTAACCGGACATAACTATAATTTTGATTGGTATTCCATAATATTTACTAGCAGATTTGTGGATGCACAGCAGATTTAGTAAGGCAAAAATAGTTTCTCTTTATTTTTACATGATTTCTGGTCTCAAATATTTTTCAATCTGCAGTTTGACTTGAAATGTCTTAGATTATTTTTGTCAGAGACATGAAACTGAGAGATGTCATGCTGTCACAGATTTCATACCGTCTTGTGACAGTATATTCTGAAATAAAAAATAAGTTGACAAAATGCTTCAGATGGTTTTAGACAAAGCCAAAATTCTTTGTAGTTTTCAAAATATTATTCTTAACTTGGAGCTCAGAAGGCAATAAAGCTGATGATAATCAGGGAATTAAAGCAACCATTTCATATGTGAGAGCAGTGAAATACGCTGCTGTCAATTGCACTTCCAAAGCTTTTCCTAGTTGTCTTATTTTTGTTGTTTTTTAGCAAGATTCTATACAGTGGGTTTACAACAGCATTGAAAGTGCACAGGAAGATCTTCAGAAATCAAACACCAAGCCCTCTGGAGATGATGGAGGAGATGCCTTTGACTGCAAAGTGGAAGGTGTGTGATGCTTGTTTTGATTTTGTTGTTGCTCAGAACGTTGGTGTAGCAGCAAGGAAAATATAGGCAGGGGTTTTGTTTTCAGAGAGGAAATTGTAAGCAGACCGTAAGACATATTTTATGTAAGGATTTGCTTTTTTATGTATTCTAAAGACCTAAATTTAACATGCTGTTCTCTGACAATTATTGTATTTCTCAATTTGAGAAAAAGCTTCTGTGAATACTTTAGGGAAAATCTGCTCAGTTTTCATTCATAGGATACAGAATCCTAGGAATTACCTGATTTATTTTCACCACTAGTAATCATTTAAGGCTAAATTAGATGTGTTAGTCACTGCTGCATGAGAAATAACAAATCAGATATCCTTCAGATTATTTTCAGGCAACCTTAGATAAAGCTGCATTCATATACATTATGGTAACTAAAGAGACAGTTAACATTTGAACTGTATTTGTGTTCTCTGGGTAAATGCTGATATTGTGGTTTCATTTCTGAATGTTGACACTTTTCATGATAATTTTCTTCTATTTTATTTAGAAGTTCTTAGTTTCCCCCTTTTTTTCTTTTTTTTTGTTGCTTTAGGTCTCTGGATTATAAATGAAATTGAATTAGTCCTCTCCAATAACTGTTTGTAAAGAGAGACTACTGTGACTTTTCTGTTCATGCCTCTTGAGCAATCTAGTATTTTAGCATCCATAAATCTACTGGTGTTCTGACTTTTAAATCATCCAGATGGTAGCTGGGTTTTTTGATGAACATTTTAAAATAGAATGATTGGAGCATACCCGTTTCTAGAATGTTTGCTTATGCCCTTCTTAGTTTGTTTAATGGCCAACCCTCCTAAACTGATTTGTGTTCTTTTCTTTATTCTAGAGGTAATTGACAAATTTAACACTATGGCAATAATTGATGGGAAGAAAGATCATGTGAGTCTGACTGTTGACAATGTTCATTTGGAGTATGGAGTGGTTTATGAGTATGACAGCACAGCTGGAATAAAGTGCCATGTGTTAGAGAAAATGATTGAACCAAAGGGATTTTTCAGCTTGACTGCCAAGGTATGAAGCAATTTTTGTATGTATTAATTCTTCCTATGCTTAATACCAGTGGGGTAACATCTGTCTTTTGCTTATCCTTAGGATTATATGTATTTCATTTAATATCTTATAATTGGTCACCTTTCTCCCTCTGATATTTTGGAGGATGATTGTTTACTCAGGAAGTAAACCAGGTTATGGTGTAGTTATAGATTGAGCCTCTAAACTGAAAAAATGTTGAAGAACTTTAAAGTCTTCCATTCCTCCTGCCTCTCTCCCCTTTTTCTTAATTATCAAATAAAACTTGAAAGAAAGTCAAAGGCTCACTGAAATGTCAAAACTTGGTGAAGGTAGGCTGTAGTTTCCAAAAGTTACTTAATTTCATCAGAATTGCATGTGCAACTTTTAAAATTTGTTTCAGTAAAAGGAATAGCACACCACCTGTCTTTTCTGTGTGTGAAAATAAAATAAAGCTGTGCATATACAGGTACACACATTGCCAAAATCACAGAGGAAAGAAAAAAACAAGTGCAATTTCAGAGTTTACTTTGAAGTTTTTATTTTGTGAATATTTCTGAATGGTAAAATTTGTGATTGCTGTGAATGGGATGTGAAATTTTTTACATATATCTGGTACTGCCTCGGTCAGATTGACAAATAATGTAGTAATACAACTCTTTTACCATTTGTTTTTATATTTTCATGCATGTATGCATGCTAATAAATTACACTTAATAAAAGTATGAAAGCCCAGATTTGGGGGGACTGTACTGATATCTGAAAATTTCTTTTTCTGTTGATCTTTCCATCAGAAGTGTAAAGTAAAGTACTGATCTTTACTGAAATGACTGAGGCATGGGAACATGTTTCTTTTCCCTGACTTCACTTTGGAGTGGATCAGGTTGACAGACAGGAGTAACTTCTTGCACCAACATCATGAGATTTCCTAGAGCTGGTCTAGTTAATGCTTCAAGTCATTGACCTGAAAGATGTTAATTCTTGCTGTAATTATAATTTCATATAAAATGTTGAAGGTATTATTTCCTAAATGTTTAAGAAATATTTTCCCATTGTTGTATATGGAGTAGTTAAGAGGTACTTCCAGCACACTGATTCTGGCCTTAAATAATGCAGTGTCATCACCCTTAGTGTTTAGGTTAGCTAATTAAATATTTAGGAATTATTAAAAAGCAATAAGAAGATATAATGTGACTATGTTAGAATTATGCAAAGTTTATATCAAGTGATAGTTGTCTAAATGACTGTAGAAGGTCCACTGGTAGAGAAATCAGGTCCCTCAACTCAAAGGCAATAATAAAAATTGTAGTGGCACTTCATCAATTATAACTGTCTGCAAGTGGTTTTAAATACACTAAACATAAACTTCTTTGCATTCACTGGGGTCTTATGCTTCTCTCCAAATTATTTTTCTCTTTGCTGTTTATTGTTGCTTTGCATTTTTAAACATCTCTATTCTGCATCATATCTAGTAAGAGAGTGAAGTAATCCTGGACTGCTTTCCTATGTTGTGCAAACTTTTGTGTTAATTATTATGATGAGAAAGTGTCCAAAGCTGTGCTGCAAAAGTTACTGGGTTTGAATGCACTTATTTTAACATACAGCTGCAGAAACCCACACTTTAGTTATTAAAATTTGTATTCTTAATTAAACCTGACATAAAGGAAGCTTAAAAGTGTGACCAAAGTGACTGGGGTATTTTAATATGGTAATTAAACACTGTAGCAGGAGAGTTAAAGGCTTTCTTGAATTCACCCTGCTGGGGACATGAGAAAAAGATTCTCTTGAGACTTAGTAATTTATAATCTTTGACTTCTTAAAACTTCAGATTTTGTACTCCAGAATTTCAGTATGTTGTAATTTTTTTCTAAACTCCTTGTCAATATTATAAATCGTATATTGCATCTGTGAAAGTAGATAGTATAATAATGAACTGTAGCAGAAGTGAATTACAGATGTAAGTCCCATGGCAGATTAATACTGTATGTGTTGTTAGTCCAGACTTCTTTGAGCATCTCTAAAATGCGAGACTTTTGTTATTTAGGTGCCTTAATCTGGATTTTGGGTGCCTTTGTTATTTTGCATGTGTTTTTCAAATACATCTTCAGAGTCAGACCCAACCAGCAATTGGCATCTCCTAAGTTCCATAACACAGTGAATTTCAATTCCTGTAGTGTAATTCTAACTTCATAAAAAGAGTTATATACAACACTCGTCTCTTCAACATGCCTTTTTTTCAGTTTTCTGTCACCATCGTTTGCTGGTGCTATTTCCATCATAGCAAGACTTCAGGCTTTGCTGGGCAGTTTAGCTCATTTTCTTCCCTATTTCCTGTTTATTTATGCAGAATATACAAGAGGATAGCACTCAGTGTTCCTGTATGCTCTTTCAGTGTGTTAGTATTGCTTATACTGCCAGACCAAAGTTTTGCTACAAGTAATGAATTCATCAGCTTTGCATAATACGTGCTGTTCAAGTAAATACAGCAGATAATGTATTTCAGAGGAGCAATAGTGGTTGCATTAGTAGGAAATTAGTAGTAAATCCATTATCAGACAATGTCATGAGAAGCCAAATAAAAATATTTATTAGGGGTATAACTTATTCAGGGAACAGATTTAAAGAAAACTCTTTGCTTCCCAAGTTGCATTCATTGTTGTGGAGCATTGCCTGTAATGTTAAAGGACAACTGATTATCAGCTTTTTCACCTTTAATTATAAGGGCTGTTTAGTAAAGGGTTAAGTAAGGGGTTATCTTAGTTATTTCATAACGTACTACTCTTTTTTTTTTTTTCATTATCTTAGATTCTTGAAGCACTGGCAAAAAGCGATGAACATTTTGTGCAGAATTGCAACAGCCTCAATTCCTTAAATGAAGTGATCCCCACCGAGCTTCAAAGTAAATTCAGTGTCATTTGCAGTGAGAAAATTGAGCATATCTACCGAAGAATCTCTAGTTATAAAAAGGTATGACTGGCATGTCCTAGGCTTGGTGATACTTGTTTTTTAAGGGAAAAACAGGGGAATGTGGTACAGTTTGAGTGACTTTTCAAAATGTATATTGCAGTGACAAAAATATGGCTGAAGGTTTAGAGATATTGAGTTGTGAATGCATAAACTGAGAAATTGCATAAATTGTTTTCAAACCATGATCTTTATTATCCCTTTTTTAGTCACTGGGTAGATCATGTCCTTCTTTTCTGTGTTCAGCTGTAGATACAATCAATTGCATATTTTCCACAAAAGGCCCAGCAGTCTTGTAAATGCCTTAAACTAATACTCTAGTGAATTTGCAGATGTTAACCAAAAATGAAGCAATAACAGCAGAATTGTTTTTTCCTTCTAATGCATCTTAATTTTAAATACTAAATTGTTACCTTTTTATTCATCTTTTATGCCCTTCAAATTGGTATGACTTTTTCTAGCATGACAATTAATAGTAATAGCTTTGTAAATTGTTAGATTATCTTGGGTTAATAAAACATTGTAGCATGGAAAAAAAGGAGAAGTTGCTGACTTTCATACACTTGAGATGTAAATTAATGAGATGTGAATGAATAAATGACCTCTAGTTGCTGCTGTCAGTGTATTTCTCTATAGTTGTTTAGCTAAGGAGGGCATAAATGAATCAACCATTTGCCAATTTGTTACTGCAAACTTATTTTCTCTTCCTGGCTTCTGGTTCCTCTCCCATATAACCTAACTCTTTGGAGCTTGGAACTAGTTTGAAGTAGGCCCGGAATGGCTACACAAGAACTGTCTGTGCCCTGTCTTATCTCAGGTGGGGGTCTGAGTTGTGACATTTACAAATTGGTCTGTTCTGAGAGTTAACATGCAAATAATTGAACCAAAAAAAAAAAAAAAAAAAAAGTAGTTCAATGTAGAAGCTTTACACAGTTCTAAAAGTTGCATGGAAAAGAACAGATAATGTGTTTTTGTTTTTCAAAGGAACTGTAAGAAAAACCTGTAGCTTCAGTAAGATGAAGGCCAAAAAGCAGCTTTCTAAAGACTTTCCAGGGTCCTTTCCGAAAACAAATGGAATAAACTGAGCAGTTGAGTCATAGGAGGAGGCATCAAAATGATTCTGATACTGCATTACCAAACATCTGATCTCTCCATTGTCTGCCTGAATTGTAGACCTCTCCGTCTTCAAATTTATTGAAAATGAAAATATCTTTTTATAAAACAAATTCAATAGTTTTGTAATTAATAATAGTGTATTTAGAGTTTGAGTAACATGAAGGTTGTTTATACCTTTCCTGTAGCCAAAAAATTTGAGCACAATACACAGTCTCTTTACAGGAGGCCTAGACAATAAATGAAACTTTATTGTTATGCTGGGTATGAAACAAACAGCCTCAGGGAAGTTTTCATAGTGCTTATACTGTCTAGAAGCAGATATTGCTGATACAATCTGCGTTTTCAAGCTCATCTGCTCAAAAATCAGTAGTTGCACAGTTATAGTTTTTAATGACAATTAGTAATGCAATGAATTTCAGGAAGAGATATGTCGTTTTCTTGGCAAGGTAAAGGTAACCATAGTTACAGGAGACTTTCGGAGTGCCTGAGCTGGGCTTGGCTCCTAGTTTCACTGTGAAAGTTCGAATTCTATAAATAGAAACCCTGTAGATTTCTGCAGTTCCTACTATTATTATTATCAGAACATTTTGCTCATAATAGACCTTGAGTCCAGTGCCATGAGTCCCAGATGTTTCTCAACACATATATGAAAAGAATTTTGGGCCTGACTTATGACCTGATTAAATCGTAGCCAGGCATTTGGTCTCTCTGGAGCAGGATGTGTGGGAGATTGAGATGTGAAATATGTGCTGCTTGCAGGAACATTTTCATCGTTGAATGTCCTTAGTGCCCTTCTTAACTATTTGTACATTCTTCAGCCTTTGAATAATTCCATAATTGGATTTCTTGTAACCTTCCAGATCTTGCTCTGATATAAAGATTTAAATGTAATTAATCAGTCAAATGTTCATCAGGCTGAAGTAATAAGACAACAAAATAAACAGAAATTTAAATCCCAGCACAAGAACCTGCTATTACTCAAAATGGACATACCTTTGTTCAACTGAAGTGTTAGTCAAAACTTGACTGATTGAATTTTTACTGACATTTATTAGGACAGGAACTTTGCAAGTTAACTTTGAAAATATTCTTATGCATGAGCTATGCCTCAGCTATAGCTGAGGTAGGTCTGTGCAATATTTTGACTGGAGGGACACTGTGATTAAAATACCAGGGACATGGAACTGACTGTGTCTTTTCCAGAAATAATTGTCCCCTAACAACAAACTGCACTGGAAAGGATGTGTTATGACAAAAATCTTAGTTTTCACTGACAAGTCTCTTTTCCAATGGGAGAGCTTGACCTCATGACTTTTATGATTCTAAAGTAGGTCTATTTTCTAAATGTCCAAATTCAGTACAGTTCAGTCTTAGCCATTTTGGGTTGACAACATCTCATCTTAAAAAACAAATAACTCTAAGACTGTTCAAGAGTACGCACAAAATTTCAGGTGTTACAGTGAGGGAGGTGTGGCTAAGCACTGTATTAGAATTAGACCATAAAACAGAGGGAAAAAAAAATAATGTTCATCATTGCTGAGTTGATATATGGGGGAGAGAAGAGGTGATGGACTATCAAAGTCTGTAAAATATGGTGTTTGCAATTTTTATGCTCGGATGTTTATCAGCTTCACAGAATCACTCAAAATCACACAGTGGTTGAGGTTGGAAGGGGCCTCTGGAGGTTTTGTTCAACCCCCTTGCTCAAGCAAGGTCATCTAGAGATGGTTGCCCAGGACTCTGTCCAGATGGCTTTTGAGTATCTCCAAGGAGAGAGATCCTACAACCTCCCTGGGCGGCCTGTGCCAGCGTTCAGTTGCCCTCACAGTGAAAAAGTGTTTGCTGATGTTCAAGAGGGAATCTCTTGTTTTGGTTTATACCCATTGCCTCTGGTCCTGTCACTGGGCACCACAGAAAAGAGCCTGGCTCCGTCTCCTTTGCACCCACCATTCAGGTATTTGAATACATTGACTGATACATCAGGCTGAACAGTTGCAGCTTTCTTAGCCTTTCCCCAAAAGAGAGATGCTCCAGTCCCTTAACCGTCTTCGTGGCCCTTCACTGGACTCTCTCCAGTATGTCCATGTCTGTTTCTCTTGAGCCCAGAACTGGACCCAGCACTCCCAGTGTGGCCACACCAGTGCTGAGGAGAGGAGCAGGATCATCTCCCTCACCTGCTGGCAGTGTGTCTTCTAATGCAGCCCAGAAATCCATTAGGGAGGTCATCATTCCTCATGAATAAGAAATTTATATTTCATAGCTTCTGATTTTGTCTTCATTATAGCTTCAGGCAAAATTTCAGAAATTTTTGCAGGACATTGACTTGAAAACATCTATGTCAGCAGGTGTTTATAAATGTCGTGTGCAGCACAGCATTGGATCATAGAGCATTTCCAGACTTTCTCGCCAGGAAGGCACTTAATATTTTATTACATTGCAAGGAAAATGAATTCTGTCTCCTTGTTACAATGATATTTACATTTGTAAATATGATTTACTTCAAAACCAACTCCTCAGAGATATAAAATGAAAAATATTTTTTCTTTTCCTTGTAGAGAAAAATGGAAATTATGAGTCAAAGCATCTGGAGTCAAGGATGTCTGAAATACTTTAAACGTTATTTTCTAGACAGGTACACAGGTTTTCTCAGCCAAGTGCTGACACATCAAAAGCTGTTAACCAAAATATTTTCTTTTCTTTCTCACTTCTAGTTTTCAAGAGTATTAAAAAACAGAGCGTGGCCTACCTTCAAACAAGCTAAGTCAAAGATTTCACCTCTTCACAGCAGTGATTTCTGTCCGACCAATTGCCATATCAATGTGATGGAAGTGTCTTACCCTAAAACCTCAACTTCCCTTGGTAGTGCCTTTGGTGTACAGTTAGACAGCAGGAAACATTCTTCCCATGAAAAAGAAAATAAAAACACTGATCAAGGTAAGTCAGTTGAACTTGAAAGAAGTACTTCCGGTGCTTGTATTGTAGAGTCTTAAAAGATTTAGGTTTTTGTCCCAAGTGTTAAAATTAAGAACAAGCCTGTATGAAATCCCCCTATTTTCAATACTTAGGTTTAAAGCATAGTAAAGGCTACTCATAATTTCACAATAAATTTTCCTTGAATAGCTTGACTGATATGCAAAATAAAATGCAAAATTAAATAATTACATGAAGTTTTAAGCAGGAAAATATTTCAATGTCTGTTAGGTACTTTACTAACTGCAAAATGTATGTTGTAAAAAAGATAATGATGCAACTTCTTTGAATTATTCCCAGGTAAACTGAATCCTATGATTTATGTCCAGCATACCATTACTACTATGGCTGCCCCTTCAGGACAGTCTCTTGGCCAGCAAGAAGGCCATGGTCTGAGGTACCTCTTAAAAGAAGAAGATTTAGAAACACAAGATGTCTATCAGAAACTACTGTTCAAATTACAAGCTGCATTGAAAGAGGTGGAAACATGTGTCTGTCAAATAGACGAGTAAGTAAATGTTACCATCTGGACTTGCCTTTAATTTTTCCATTGAAGTTACCGATAAATCTGGGTATCCTTTTTGTGTACTGTAGGTTCAATGCTGACTTCAGATAGAATTGAAATAATGCAAAGAATTTAAGTGTAGGTAACACATTTTGTTCTTTTTCCCAGCATACCTGATTTTTTCCCATTTTAGTTTGTAGTTTTTCTCTACAATGTGAAATGCTAATTATTTTGAGGTGAGAGAAATATGAGACCCACATGTCATCTAAAATTTCTCTAGGAATGGAAACAAAGGGCAGAGGTATAAAAATAGCTTTTATTGAACTCTTGAGGTATTGCTGAATAGTCCCAAAGATGAATTTGTAAGTAAAGCATTTTTCAGCTATGAGAAGATTATTAATTTGTTAGACATTTTTCAAAAACAAATTATCCTTAATGAAGAACTGTGGATCTAGGGAGAACCACACTCTTGAGTGATTAGGACACTTGTCTTGAATGTGGGAGACCCAGAGTCTCATCACAGTTTGTCCTAATTCAGAACAAGGATTTAAAACTTGTTTTTCCATTTGTGAGGTAAATGGATTGACTGCTAGGCTATTTGCTCTCTTGGGATGAGGAGGAAGAAGAATGATAGGCCTTTCAGTTCTGAAAGATCCCATATGTAATGCAAATACCAGAAATTATTAATTTTGAAAATATAAATAACATAATTTTTTGAGTTTAAAAGCCAATCCTTCATAGTCCCTGAAAAGGAATATTAACTCTATTTCAGCCCAAACCAAGACAACCATTTTGAAAAAGTGTATCATTGCTTCTCCTGTTATACTGAAGACTGTACAATTATTTGTCCTTTCATAGTTATTTCAGCATGGGAATTTTCTTCTACTGTTCTAATAGTAATATAATGTAATAGTTATACAGTAATAAGTAATTGTAATGTATCACATACTGCATTAAGAATGAAAGTAAGAGAGGCCTCAGATTTTTTAAAGCAAATATATTCTGTGCCTCTATGTAGTTCTGCTAATTATCATGCTGAAGATGAAATCAGTTAATTAAATTCAAAACAATTTCAGTGCTTGAGTGAACTTAAAAATGACTGTCTATAAAGCCTATATTGTCACTCTTCCTCAAGGGAGTCAGAAAATTATGTATGGAAATTCAGTCGATATTTCAGGAATTTCTAGTTACCAGTCTGCCACGCCTTTCCCTCCCACTCCCTTGAGCACATGATGCAAACACACAGGAACTTCTGAACCTTTCTTTCAGACACATGTATATATAAATGCACACACATACACATATATAATGTGTGTACAGGTATATACATATGTATATACATATATTAATTTTGAAAGTCACACAGTTGTGACAGTAAACATGAGGGTTCACTTTTTTTCCTTTCATAAATTTCCTGTAAACTGACCTTGTAGCAGATACTGTTTAAGATGTACAGATTTATCTTGCAAATTTTACTCTTTACTGTTTTTAAGACTGAGACTTTTCATGCTTTATTCCTCATGGACTTTGAGTGGACTGCCAGTGTATAATTACTGTGGAGGAAAGCTGTTCTCTACAGGAAACTGGATAGCCAAGGGACCTACTTAAAAGTGCTGAATAGGGAAGAGGGAAGACAGGACTATCTGGGTGTGAGCAGTTCAGCAGTACGCGGAGTATTATATTAGAACATAGTTACAGCTACTAATTAACTCTTGCAAGAAAAGTGAGGACTACTAAGAAGCAAAAGATAGGGTACTAAGATAGGATAATCAATCCGCTGTTCTTTTATTAGAAATATTCATACTTCAGCAGCCTTGAGGAAATGCTTGAACATACCAATCTTTGAACTTTATAAAGACTGTAGAACTTCTGTTTTCTGTTATGGCATAGCAACAATAAAATTGCTGTCTTTATGGGATTGCTTATTATAAGCACTATTTGCTTATTATTATAAGTAAACCACATTATTAGAATTTTCTCAAGACAGAAAACATGGACATGAAATCACAATTATAAATACGTATGATATTGAATGATTGAAAATTTGGGCTGCCAAATGACTCTCTGGTACCCTGTATAACAGTACTATTGAAAAATTGTTGCTCTTTCATGTTACTAGATGTCTCTGCTCTATGTTAAGGTCAATAACGATCTCTCTCTCAAATTCCAAAATCTTGGGGCAGTGTTATCTGTCCAACCTCTTCTGTCTGTCACTGAACCAAAGTGAACTGAAAAGCAAGTGTTTTACCTGAAGAGAAGGTCTGTGAGATCTTTTGTGTTATGGGAAGGGAATGTCTAAGGGAAGGTTATGGACTCCTAGCATTATCTTCATAATAACTTTTGTCATGTTTTGTTGATGTGATTGGGTTATTTAAGAAATACAGTACTGATGTAGAGAGAGATACACACAAAAAAGGCATATATCCTATTTCCACAGCCTCTCAAAGTTCCACTGACTCCTTGTTCAAATAGTTTAATAGTATCTCAGTATTTCTTTAGTACCATTGCCAAATACCCACAACTGATGCTAGGTGTTATACAGAAGTAAGTCCTTCAAGTTGTTTTCTGTATGGTGATTCTGCTGTTTTCTTGGTTCAAATGCACTCAGTGTGGTCCCACAATCCCAGATGTTTTTTGGAAGAATGTCTGCTGGAAGTGTATGAGAGGCTTGAACATTTTCTGAGTCTCTGTGGAGTGAGGAAAAGGCAAATCAGTTCACAGGTTGCATACTTTTTTTTGTTACTGCCTGTGGCTATCCATTTTTAATGCTTCGACTGACGATAGCAGGTTTTGTTTGTTTCTGACATGCTGTTACAATTGTGTTGATTTGGGTTGCATATAGGATTAATTCCACATGTGAGGATTTTTTTGGTGGAGATTTAAATTTCCATGTTTCATGGAAATTTTCTTCATATTTATAGAGACTTTCTAGCTGTTAGTTACTATCCATTCACATATTTCTCCTATGAGAGATAGATGTCTAAGATAATTTTGTTTGGGGTAGACTGATCTCCAAAGAAAATATAATGTGTATGTGCTGTGGCTAAAAATTAAAAAAAAAAAAAACCAAAAAACAAAACCTTACAAAAAAAGTCTATTTAAGCATGATTATTGCTTTTTTTTACTTTTTTTTTTTTTTTTTTTTTTTTTTGCATCCAATTTTGGATTTGTGTGGTTTAGACTCCCTGACTTGGGTTTCTAAAAGAACTTCAGTGACCTCAAGAGCTACCAGCTCCAGAATTCTGTTATCCAAAATTCCAGCTTTCGTTCAAGGTAGTGCAGCAAAAAAAATTTCCTTAAAAAAAGAGCCTGCCTGCTGAGAGATAGTGAAAAGCTCCCTTAGGAAAAGCTCCAGCTACCTTAATCAGTCTTTTACTGAGATCTTGGCAGCAGTGACTAAACAGTCACATAAAAGAGGAGGATATAATAGTCTGTCTGTGTCTTGACAAATAATTACTCAGGGGAAGATATTTTCAGGAGCTGAAATTGCAGTTCATTATGCTTGTTTCTTACACTTGATTATTTCTTGCAACAACAAAATCCACAAGAAGTTACCAGAATTGATCTGCCCAAAGCCCATTTTTGTTTTCCTAGAAATGGATGATAATGGGAACACAAGAAAAAGCAGAAGTGTAAATTAATCTTTGTCTATATCTTATCTCATCTTCCAGTAGACAGTACTACAAGGTCTTCTTGGAATGGACCTTTTGTTTTAAGAGCACTGTTAGAATGATCTGCTATGAGTTTGTTTACTCTCTTTTTGAATCCCTTTTTTATTTTTGTATGCAGAAAATAAGTTTTACAAGTGTGAAGAACAGATTTTCTAAGGTCTACCTTTTCATAACTCATTTATTTTAGGACATGTTTAAGAACACATGTACTCTAGCAGGTAGATCAAAACTGAACACTGCTATAAAATATGGGCCCAGTTTTTTTTCCCATCCTCATGAAATCCTGCTAGCCAGTCACTTAAGTGATAAGGAAGAACTGAGTTGTGATTTCATGCTGACATGAAGTGTTAAGGTATCATGTAGCCTAGAAGATATCTGTCCAGTGGATGGGTGGGTTTAAAGTCGAGTAAAATGCATAGTTTTTCTATATTTCAGTTACAGTTGAGATCGGTAACTTTTCCCATATGTAGGACAAATATCTGTCTGTCTCTGGTTAGCTCTTAGCCAGAGAAACTTAGGCAGAAATGATGAAAGGATTTCCTACAGAGCTTTAGTTATCATCCTTGTTTCCCTAAAGCTAACGTCAAACCCTGTGTTAACATCTATCAGGTCATGATTTCAAGCTTCATATACCACTTGAGGTATGTATTCATTGCTGTACAGCTAACAGACAGCATTATAGGTATCATCAACCCTATTGCATTTCCAAAGTATATGGTTTCTTAATTTCTTTCTTAAAACTCGCGAGAGTCAGGAAATTATTTGTGTATACTCAAAAATGTGATAGCTGAACAGAAATAGGAGTAAAGGAAGGAATTCTGAATGTTACCCTTTAATAACAGTTAGGGCAGTGTTTTTGTTTACAAAAGATATGCGTCTCCCATAATTTCCCTTCAGAAGTAAGAATTGTGTAGCAAAGTTCTAACGTATGTTTGAATCCTGCAGTATATTTGGTAGAAGGTTTGCCAGTTGACCATTCTGACAGTTCCTACAATGAAACCCTGCTACCGTGTCTAAGTACAGGAAAAAAGAAGCTCAATTTGGTGTCTTCTGACTTCAGGTAGTTAGAAGGTAGTTTTTGCAAGTAAAATGCTGCTTTTCAAATCCAAATATTAGTTTGAAAATGTCATTCTAATGGAAAGTTTGAGTAATAGGAATTAAAGGACAGTTGCCCATTATAGGTGTTCTGATATTGAAAGTAAATTAGAACGTTTAAATATGAGTTAAACACCAAGATATGAATCTTTTGCTTCCAGTATTTGTGCGTGTTCTAAATGTAGCAGTCTGCGCTGTTCTCTCTTCTTGACTGAATGTCACTTTTGTGCTTGTCACAGAAGCTTATAGATTAATCATCAGTTTTATTAGTGATAGTGGCTTAGACACTTTGAATGTCAGGAAGTACACAGATATGTTAATAAAGATTCTTAAAATGCCTTAGTGAAATAGGTTATGATGCATGTTGGCATGTCTGGTACAGTAGTAATTGAGAAAATATATGTTTTTCACAGAGAAACATTTTCTTTGGTTTTCTTCCTTGATTTGTGCTGAGAAGTACATGGTTTGTGTTTAAAAATAGTTATGTTAATATAAAATTTGACCCCAAGTGTTCAAGAATGTGCTGTATTTTTTCCCCAGCTGGAATCATTGCCTTCATACAAGATTGAGTATTTAGTAATGTTAAGGGGTTTCACTGTTGACTCTTTCTAACAGCAGATTGTGTCGCTTTATTCCCTTGTTTTAAATAGATATGGACTGAATTAAATTACAGAATAGTAGTTGGAGGACATCGATGAGAAATATTATCCTGTTGTTAACTCACTTTTGAAAAACATGAATTTATCTTTTTTTGTTTTGTCTTACAGCCTTCTTTCTTCAATAACATATTCTCCCAAATCAGAACGTAAAACGCCCGAGCCTTTAATACCAGCAGACAGTGATAATGAAAAGGGGGAAAGGAATGGGAAAAAAGTCTGTTTCAGCGTGACAGGTGATGAACAAGAAGATTCTGGTCATGATACCATCAGCAACAGGGATTCTTACAGGTAACTTCACTAATAATATTTTTATTTGTCATCTGAATCAAACCTGTGGGTTTGTAGACTGTCAAGTGGCTATGAAGACTATCAAAATATAATGATTCTGACATTTCTAACAAAGGAGTAACTAACATCAAGATGTGGCACAAGATGTGTAAAATAAACTTGTTTATGAGTACAAATTAGTTATTAGATCTTGGTATCCCTAACCTTTATGGGATATGACAGCCAGAGCTTTAAAGCTTTACTTTAGATTACGTGTTTTATAAAAAAACAGAAATAATTTCTGTTATGTGCCCCAACAACAAGCCAAATATCTGTCGTGGAAAGCAAGATGTCAGAGCCACAACTCTTGCTGATCTAAAGAAAAAAAAATAATATGTTTCTCAACATATATTTCTCACCACCTTCCACTCTAAATATTGTAGCATCACCTCATCTCTAAAATTCATAATGTGTCATGTTTACTGTGAATGAAAATACAAAGAATTTTGAAAAGGAAGGAGAAATTATAGCAAGTATAGGTCTTATAAAGATTAGCTTCTTTTGCTTAGAGAGAATTGGTTAACTACATGATACAAAATCTAAATTAAAATTGTAGCTGCAAGTAAAATAAGGGTTCATTATTTGTTCATTATCATGGTTCATTATTATGCTCAGAAAGTAGAATCTCAGTAGGGTCATCATTTTTCTACAGAACCCTGTGTTGCGGAATCTCTTTCATAAACTGGTATTTGATTACTGCAGCATGGTAGATAGGAACTCTTTGTCAGAGTAGAAGCAGAAATACATGTATAAATGTGAACAGAAATAAATGTAGGGATAATTTGCACAGATTAAGTCCATTTTATTCTAACCATGGTAAACACACAAGCAAAGCGCTGTTCCAGCTGAAGTGCGCTTAGGGGTTCCTGCATGTCCATGATGTGTCAAACTGACTGTGCAGGAGCTGCTCTAGTGCCCTGCACTTGCTCCAATTGGGAAATTCCCCAGTCGGCACAAGATTTGTATCTGGAGAAAGAAGGTGTGATTTAGGACATGAATGTCTCTTTGTTTAAAATATTTTCTTTATTCTGATTCCAGACATTTATAGTCCATTCTGACTGTTTAGCAATGATAAAATCTAGGGTTCCATATACAGTGTAATCACAAAATTTGTGAGTTTAGAACAGTTGTTGGAGTGAGATTGGAATTTTTTTTTCTTTGCTTAAATTACATTAAGCAATACTTAAAATCTCCAGATCACATAATGCCACTGTGGTTATTATTACAACTAGTAGGCTCGTTTCAGCCATTAGAATGCTCTCATTTTATGTTGTAGGGTCTCATTCTAAATCTTACAATACAACACGATAAAAATGCAGAATGATATACCTAATACGTCTAATCTGTTGTTCATTTTCTTGTATTTTATTTTCTCATGCTTTGCACAATCCAGTTTTAAATAACCTTCATCTTCCCTTTGGAGACCTCAATAAGCGAATAGAGTTACTTAGAAAACATTTCTTAATATCCAGCCAGAAATTCTTAATGCTCCGTGGGACTGTTCACCCTCTATTAGGAACATGTTGTTACTGATGTTTTTTCATCTACTTAATGGATATGATTGTAATTATATCATATTACTTCATTTAAAAGTTTTCCCCACTCACTTATGTGGTTGGCTACAGGTCCAAAACATATACCTCAACCAGGAAATGTCAGTCAGTATGCCAAAACTATTAAAAGATCACTTCTATATTTACAAAAATAAAGAAAACAAGTAGGGAGCACAGGGTATGTGTATAACTGCAGCATTATATATAAAATATAGATATGTATATCTTGGTGAATGGATACATCCAATTTATAAAACCAGAACTAGATCATTATATATAAATATCTTTTCGGTACACTTCTACATTATCTTATATTCACTTGGGTTTTTAAGACTCCCTCTGCTGGATAATTAATTTGCATTTCCTTCATTGAAACTAAATGATCTTCATATGGCTAAATATCTCTGAAGACTTTGAATGAAAATTTATCTTCATGGGGTTTTTAGTACAAAAGGCTATGTTTTACTCTGTTTATGCCACAGAAGTAGGTATGTTCTCCATCCATTTTCTGTACAGAACAATTTATTTTTGAGAGAGCAGGAAAAAAACCCCAAAACATCGTAATCCCCAAATCTCTTTACTACTAAATCAATGTGGGTGACATTTTGTATGCATAGAAGTTTTCACTGGCATCACAGATGTAAATGTATATCTCTTACAAAATGAACAGCTAAAAAAGATGGATCCTAAACTATATTTTGGCTGTCAGGGAAAGATAGTTTGTAATTTGAGTTTTGGTGGTACTCAGGTGGACCACATCTCTTCTAAATGCATTATGGACTCTAGTTTGCAAGACATATACCAAAGTATTTCGTCATTTGTATTAGCTATGGACTAGGAGCACTAAATTTAAATGTGGAGTTACTGAAACATGTGAAGTCACAGTTTCAAAAACTGTCACTCGTGTGAGAAAAGTTGGTTGTTTTGCACTGAAAGTGTATATTATCATTCTGCAAGTACTTGTTCACATGCAAGGTGAAGGGGGACAATTGAATCATCTATTTTTGGAATCTGGTCCTCTGAGTACTACCAGCACTGCAGATTAAATGATAGCCTAAGTATAGGGATTTTTATTTTTAATACAGAATTGTACAGACCATCTCATCATTAAATTTAAAAGGGGAAAAAGGAAACAATTTCCATAACTTTGATACAGAGCCTGTGTTAAAGCACATAACTTTACTTCTTTTTTTTTTTTTTTCATTTTTTTCAAGCGACTGCAACAGCAATAGGAACTCCATTGCCTCATTCACCAGCATTTGTAGCAGTCAGTGCAGTTCTTATTTTCACAGTGATGAAATGGATTCAGGTATGGTTTAGAAAAGTCTGGTATGAATCTGTCATCTCTTCCTTTTGTTCAGTTTTATTCTTTTCATTTGCCTGGCAGTTTTGTTGCTTTTGTTTTAAAAATTGCATTCTCCTCAGTAATAGAAGTGTATCATTTTGCTTCTGCCTAGCTGGTGCTGCAGTAAAGAGTGTCCTGTGAGAGGGCCAACATTCCAGCATCTCTGTGATTAGGCTGAATTAGTTAGAGCTCTTAGAGACACAGCTTTTCACCACTTTCATGCCTTGACCTTGACAGTGCGTTATGTTGCACAGAGTAAGGGGCGTTTTAGGTGAGTGTGGAATGCTGTCCCAGCGTGTGTCAGCACCCGGGCAGCAGGATATGGCTGTGTATGTTTGTAGGAAAGAATGTGAGACCACAGAGAAGCACATTCTTGTTTATGCCATGACAAATTGAATTTAAATAAATGCAGCTGCTAATAGGAATGAGATGGGATTTAACTGCATGGAGTACAAGGTCATATACTCATGGACTAATAAAAACATCTTTGCTCTAAGCTGGGAGTTTATGATTTGAGAATGATTCTGGAAAAGAAAGAACTGGGCATATTAGTTGAATATGAGCCACCAGTGAGGCTTGGCTATAGAGAAGGCAAATTTTATTGCTGGTTGTACCAAGAGAGGTATTTTCAGTTGGGACAGGAAAGTATTAATGACATTATGCAAGGTATCTGAGATAGCTTGCGAATAATGCAATTCTAGGCAGACTCTTTCCAGAAACGATACATACTTAACAGAGCTGAGCAGATACAGAAGAAAGGATGGACGTAAAGAACTGTTAATAAAAGAGGAGACACAGGGTCTGTTTATTCCAGTTAAGACTTAAATGAGCTGATATGCACTTGTGCAGCATCAAGCTGAACTACCAACTGAGGTGCCTAGAGATACAGTGCTCGAGTTGATAAATACTGCTGCTCAGGTAAACTCCCACTCTTCTGATGACTTAATTTTCTCCTAGTTCTAAAGCTAACCTAGTTAACTTCAGATCAGTGCTCTCTGGCACTGTGCTCCATCTGTTGCAATTAAAATCCTGTGAAGGTTTGTAACTACTGGCTGTAAGGACATCTAAAGGAGCTAAAAAAAAAATCAAGGAGAGGAAAGTGCTATTTAAGTGTTTCGCTGACATAAGAAAAATGAGTCTAGATTGACCGCGAATAAATTTGGATTATAAATTATCAAGTGGCTACTTCTTATCTGTCACTGCAACAGCAAGGAGGAAAACCTGTTTTAAGCTCAATTTTTTACAGCTTTTCAAAGAATTCAGGTTGCATCATTGACTGAGAGAGCAAGTGACTGAGGGCAGTGACCTAGGAGAGTCCTTTTCCTTTGTACTCTTAGAAAATTCTGTGGTATGTATTACTAAAACCTTCATATCAAATACAGAATTTGGATGCTGTATCTTTTGAATTACTGAAATCCTAGGACCATTTAATTAGTAGAGAACATTAAGATTGCAAATTGTCTGTAGAGTCCCTATAAAAATTTTATGGTGAATGCATTGAAGCGGCTTTGTGGATTGCTATATATAGGTTCGTGCTACTTAGCCATTTAGTCTGGTTTAGGATGTTCTCCAGCATAGAAGAATCGTGTGTTCTGGTCACAGAATGGTTGAGGTTTGAAGGGACCTCTTGAGGTCATCCAGTCCAATACCCTGCTTGAGCAGGGCCATCTAGAGCAGGTTGTCCAGGACTGTCTCCAGTTGGGTTTTGAATATGGTCCTTTCTCTAAAACCTAGTTCTGCATTATCCAAGTAACTACTAAATGAAGAATATGTGGGAGAACAGTTACTATAATCCTGAAAGCCTAAATGTCAGTCTGGGTGTAAAGCAGATTTTCTAAACTACAAAGATTTTGGAAAATGTGCTGAAACTTCTAAACAATTTTTCATTTAAAAATATTTTTCAGGAGATGAACTTCCCGTAAGTGTTCGAATCTCCCATGATAAACAAGACAAGCTGCATAGCTGTTTGGAGCATCTTTTTGGTCAAGTATGAGATTATTTTTCTTGGCTTTGATACTAATGTCCATGTTTGAGCTAAGATGTCTTTAGCAAATACTTCTTTTTCTTTTTACTTTTGCTTTCCACTGTTTACTGGGATGGTATGTATTTACTCATTCTCCTTCAGTTTTCTGTAAATATTTCAAAACTGACAACTAAACAGACCTGTAGATTTAGTCTAATATTCCCTCGTTTGTTACTTCAACTAGAGCCATTAGATAAGAGAGATTCCAAAGCTGCTACCGAAAGGTAGCCCATATTTCTTAAAGAAAGACTTTCTAATTGTTGCTGTGAAAAACATCTTTCTCACAGAACCTTGATCTCAACAGGTTGATTCAATTGTCAATCTTCTGAAAGGACCAGCTGTGATGAGGGCTTTTGAGCAGACAAAATACTTTACACCAGGTCGAGGCCTCCAAGGTAACGTTTAATTCTGTCTATGAGAATCAGAAGGCAGCTTGAAGGGTACATGGGTATGGCTACCTACTCCTTGAGCTGGGTGTTAAAGAACTGATTTTGCTTAATCTTGGCATATTCTGCAATAGTTGATTGTTGAAATTCTTGTTAAGTAGACCATATTCTTAGTTGAAAACTGGTTTCTTACACTTTTCTTGCGCAAAGTATGAAAGAATTTCAGGTTTTTGGAAAGTCAGCTGTAAATTGTAGTCTCTGAGTTGCCTATAGAATTGCTGACGTTTTTGAAGTAAGAAACAGGTTTTGTATATTGCAGGTGTTTTTATTACATTTTTTCCCCAACTACTGAAGCCATTTCTGATCTATTGCTAATGCCAGATTTTTATTATTTTTGTAGATGTATCACTTGTGAAGTTGACTTATAAATAATTTGCAGATGTAAATTTATAGTCACAGTAATATTTATGCCAAATATATGCTTACATAAGTATTATTGATTATTTTTAAAAAATCCTGTATGTAATTTCAGATACTCTGCTAACACTCACATAGTTGCTTAAGTCTAAGTGCATAAATAGGTATCTGGTGGTAGCCATAAGATTGTGATGAAAAATGCAAAGGACTTCTCTCATTGAAGAGAGGGTTTTTTTTTTTTAAAAAAAAAAAAGTAAAAAATCTCAATGGGAGACTGAATGTCATATTAATATGTATAATAAGTATGATTATGATTTTATGGACCCTGCATATGTCTTCTGGTAAAGAAAACTAATTTTAGATGGCCAGAGTGTGGATCTTTGGCTTTTGTAAATCACCAAAATCCCGCTGAAGTCAACAGAGCATAATTATTGTACCCCTACTGTACTGTTTTTACAAATCCTGAAGTACTTGCCCCTCAGTGAATTTGCATGGAAGACCACACAACCTCCTCTTTTCCTGTGTTGTTTTTTTTTTGTTTTGTGTTTTCTGCTCTCTTATGTTTCTCAGTGTTTCAAATTGAGTACCTTGCAGGCTCACACAACAAAATGTTATCTTTTCAGTGGTATAATAAATGCTCAGTTACACACGAGATGGACATGTCAGATATTTTATTCTTGATCTGCATCATCTTCATGAACTGTACAAGGAACACTTCAGTTATTTGAAAGATAGACTAGGTTAAGCAATAATTAATTTAGTTTTAATTTTCTGATTGAATTAATTTTACCTCTAAAAGTTCGAGGGTCCTGCCTACTCCACAGAGACAGGCAACTTCTATCTTATGTAGCCAATTCAGAAAGAATCATGTTTGGGAATGCTGCTCACTCTCTCCTTTGCCGAAGCATGAAGCTTAGAGTTTGGCCTATCACCTTGGTTTTAACTAGAGTTAAATAAGTTGACAACTCCTGGAACTGCGAAAACATTTAGGAAGAAATAATGTCTTACTGTGGTTTTCTCAGGAGATCTAAGCAGAAAAATATTATTTTTGTCCTTGCTTAGAGTTTCAGCAGGAAATGGAACCGAAGCTTAACTGTCCAAAGAGGCTACGACTCCACATCAAGCAAGACCCTTGGAACCTCCCCAGCAGTGTCCGGAGCCTTGCCCAGAATATCAGAAAATTTGTTGAAGGTTAGTAAGAACAACATGACCATAAATAAACACTTCATTAAGGATAGAGAGCCTGGTGAAGGGAGTGGGAAAGATACAACTGCTTCATGTTGCTGCTAGGCAAGGTTTGCTGAACAAGGTGTAGTCTGTGGGGAATGCTTGAATTTCAGGACTTTTTTGTGCTCTTAGAAACAAGGTTAATGGAGTACATCTCACCTGTCTCAGTCTCACTCTATTGGCTTCAGATACTGAAGAGAAAATAGTCTGAGAAGTGTAAACAAATGAACCATATGTTGCATGTGCTACATTATTTCAGTTGCTGCTGAAATCCAGTGGCTTGACTGATTTGTCACAGAGCTTCATGGGGCTGACCCACCAAAATGGGACTTTCTTTGAAATTGCACTCACTTTTTTCTATGATCTTAAATGGAAAGTTGAAGGCTCTGCAGGACAGATTTTGTCCTTTATCTTGCTCTTATCAGTCATTGATCTGGAATTATCCCTCTAAAATCACGCTCCATTTCCTGCCATGAAGACAAATATCTTCCACTGGTTTTCACTTACTCCATCACAACTGATCCTATCACTCCTGCTCCGCCTTCTTCCCACCACTGTCTAAAAGTTACCTAGTACTATGCTCCTCTTTGCCACCAAGTGACAATGTGAGTTGGGGTTTTCTGCTCTCTCCCCTGGCTTCATAAGAAGGTAACTGGGATTTCCTCTCCAGAAAATCTTGCCTGTAGCTTCTGCTTTATTTCTGCTGCTGTTTCATAGAGAAACAGAAATAATGAACAAAATTATTTTATAAAACTACTTGCACTGGGAGTCTGTGTGGGAACAAAAACTTGTGTCAGGTCTAGCTTTAAATGATTTGTGTGTATGTGTGTGTTTAGCTTCTTTTGTTTGCTTGGCTAATTTCCATGGTGTCCCATAAAGAAACTGCTAAATTTCAGATCACTGGGAAAGAACATTGTGATAAGTTTTATTAAGATAAACCTCTAAAAACCAACTGGCCAAACCAAACAAACTCCTCCTGCTCTGACTTTTGATATTTCTCATTTCAGATACAATCATATTTTCAGACCCTGGGTTAGAAAATTATAAAAACAACCACAAAAATATCTCCTATTTTTGGAGTCACACACTAGGTTCACTCTCCAATAATGAGAATACTTATTTTAGTTTAATGGTGGCTGTCACTGAGTGAAAAATGAGTAAATATTTTTGGGTCCTTTTTGCTACAGGTCTATCTTCAGCCTAAACCAAATTATATTCAAGTATTAATCATGGTTTCTTTCACAGTTCAGGAGAAATGGAAATGTGTCTTTAACAATCCTTCAGTGCACCCCTTCTGAAGCCAAGCCTAACAGACCATTTTCACATAACTTGTTTGCCCATAAATAGAATTAATAGACTCAATCCGTTTCAACACTGGTCATATATCCTCAATATTGAGATGAAGTTATTCAGATAAACTTGGTTTTAAATCTACCAGAAAATTTTGTGGGAGAATTCTGCAAGGTCCAAATGATTTGCTGCCTCTCTATGATACAAAACTTTTTACAATACTACTATAATGTAATGGTGATGTTTCTCAGAAGGAATCTTGATGTTTACAGAACAATAAAACTGTTGGTCTTCTCTAGTGTTTTAGAAATCAGGATTAAAAAAGATTTTCTATGTTAATAAATCATAGTAACTAACCTTATTGCAACTGTCATACTTGTGAATAGTGCATGGTTCAGAGAGCTAAACAGTAAAAGGCATTACTCTTGCGCTGTTTGAGGAGAGCACAGACTCTGCCTTACCTTCTCCCATTACTGTGTCTCAGAAGTTGTCTGCCAATTTTAAATATTCTTGGCTTTCCCTTTCCATCCACAGAAACAACTGGCTTCTGTGCTATCTTCTTAACCAAATACATTGGTTTAAATGTAAAATTATCATCTTAGGTTTTTTATTCACCATCAGTCTTTATCTTTCTATTCTCTTGTAGTTTTTTTTTCTTTAATTTGATTCCTATTCCACCACCTCCAAACTGGTATCATTCATACTTGTTCCTGAGTAGTACTCTGGAGAATCATGATCCACCACACCCTTGTCACAGTTCTGATTTGCTTGTGGGACCAGGGAGCTGGTGTGATGTAATGGATACCAGAAAGCCTAGGTTCTTGTGGCTTCCCTGGCACAAGTAGCATAAAGGAGAAATAGGAGAATGGAGTTGAATAATTGCTTCTCAAACCTTAGTTTCCAAGGCATGTCTGGACAGGTGTATGTAATCCAGTGTTGAAAAGATTCGGGGCAGAAATGTGCCCCTCAGGCGTTTTGGGAGACTGTGGTGATTTAGACAGGCTTAGGCCTGTATAAATTAAACTTGAGACACATCCAGCAGCTGGATCTAACTGAAATCAGATGAGAATGAAGCAGGGCTAAAAATGTTTGAGTGGCTAAATTTTCCCTTCATATCTTAATTTCTTGATTTCTCCATTCCAATCTTGCCATCATGCACTGTGTTCACGAAAGGTCAGGATACCTAGAAGAACCTCTAGTACTGCCCTGTGCTACTTCTGGCTGAAGACCTAACATATGATACAGAAAATTCAGATTTTCAAAAATATTTTCAGATGTGAGAAACAAAATAAAACTAAAATCTAGCCTCTACTGGCAAAAATCAAAATAGCACGACTTAAAAAACAAAAGTACAAAAGAATGTTTAAAAATAAAAGAAGTTGAAGTCACCTTGCTTTACAATTCATATAATTTAAAACAAAATTGCTAGGGAGTTACTCCTTTCCATATGCCATGTAGCAAGGAGGGGTGAAAACTTCTATAGCATTTGTAATTTGTTGAAGAACAAATGGTTGACATCCAACGTTCACTTCTAACTCCAGATAAGTCTCTACTTATACAAATAACCTAAAAATGCTCCCTTGCCCCTGGGTATATTTTGAAACAGAGAAGACTTGCAGCAATAAAGGAGAATTGCAGTGTCCTGTAATTTTCCTCTAAGAAGGAAATCATTATAGATACCTCAAATACTTTTGAATTCAGAGATACAACAAAGCTGCAAGTAATATCCTCAATGTACCTAAATTCTTCAGATAAAAGCTATATTTTCCTATACTGTTTTTTCAGTTACCAAGCTATATTCAGACTCCAAGATGCCAAGTTATTAATCTCTGTAAGTTGGTGTTTTTTAGTTTTGGTTTGTTTTTGTTTTTGTTTTTTTTTTTTTTTTTTTTAAGACAGAAGGCTAAGGCAAAGACCTATCACCAGCAATTTTCAAGAATGGTCAGTAATTTTGAGTGTTTTGATGCTTGTATTTGAGATACCATGTACATGCATTTCCTAAGTGTAGACACTACCAGTTCTCTTCACAATGTGCATACAGCATGGATGAAGATCAGGCTTGAGAGATTTTCTTCTTGTTTAAGCATAGTCGCCTTTGGGGAAAATTCTGGCTTTTCATAGATGTTTTCAAGTACACACAGAATCCAAAGTGTGCTGTTGATACATTCAACTCCAGTGTCAGCTTCATCATCCAAGTTGGTTTAGAATTTCAAATGATTCTAACTTCAAACCTGCTAGGTTAGGTGTAGTAGGGGACAACATATTCCCAAATTGTCCTATTGTCCATATACCCCATAGAAGCTCTGCTGGTCCACTGAGCCAGGCTTATAATAGAAAATTGAGTGTGTGAAGGACAGTTTGGAAAGATGCGAAAGCACATGAAGTGGTGATGTGTTCCTGTGGGCAGTTACTGATGGACAACTGATGTGATGGGAGTTTGACGCTGTCTAAGGTTATGTCAGCTTTTTAATGTGCTTGTTCCTTGCAGTTGTGGTTAACACATTTGAATTTGTGCTCTGGTGCATGGTAGAGGGGAAGAATCACTTCCTTCAGCCTGCAAACTTTGAGAAGGCCCTCTCTCCAAAAACAAGCAGAAAAAACCCAACAGTGTAAAGAGATATAAGACCAAATTTTTGTCAGTGTAAATGAAGACGTTTTTAAATCTGTGCTTTGTTACCTCATAGATTGTTAAATGAAAAGAAATGTTTGAAGCAAAATAAAATCCTGAAGGCTGAGAATAAAGTGAAAATGCTGTCATATTTTTCCTGGATGCTTTAATATAAATTATAATGAGGATAACTTGAGATTTTAAAGTATGGAACGCAAGATGGAAAATTAAAAAGAAAGAATGGGGGTAGTGTGGGAATCATTGGAAACTGGTCTTGTTTTCCAAAGTTTTAAGAATGAAATTCTTAATTTTTGGACTTGCATGGGCCAGCTGGTACACATGCACTCTGAGTTAGCAGCTGCCTCTTCAATTGTCTTTTCCCTGTTGGTACTTTTGATTATCTATTTTATCAAGTCATATGTAAGATTATATGAAGTTGAGACTCATTACTGTTTTGTAGGTATAAATCTGGGTTGCCTATGCAAGAAGTTGGAGTTAAATTGATTTAAAATGAGAATGTGAAAATGTACTAGTATGTTGGTGAAAACACTTTTAACCATAACCTCAATATATCTTTTTTTTTCTTTAAGAGGTGAAGGCACGAATACTCTTGGCACTTCTTGAGTATACAGGTAATTTTACTTCTTTTGGGAGTGGGGGAATTGACTGTGGATGGTTTGAGATTTTTTTTCTTGCTTTTGGACAGATAGAGAAAGGGGAAAAAATCTCAGATACGATAACTTGATAATCAACAACTTTACCCTTGTGTTTACAGTGAGGATTCTTGAAGAATACAAGAATTCCAAAGACATTTCTATCTAGTCTTTTTTTTTTTTTTTTTTTTTTTTTAATGCAAAATACCTTCTCTGGTCATTTACTTTGGATCTTGGCAGATGAAGTAACTACTAAATCACTGAGCTCGTACTTCTATTGTATGTCTTCTTTTGGACTTTTTCCTTTTTGCTACTATTTTTCATTTCATTCTCATCTATTTCCAGACTTACCTTACTATTCTAACCCATACCTTTCCTTTTATCTTTTTTTAGAGAATATATTTTTTTGAGTCCCCCCTCTTTGGAAGGGGTCTGATTATTCTGTATATCATTCTACCATCTCCCTGTACAGCATACAGCTTCAAATACACAAAATAGGCATGTGTATCTGCAAAATAAATGCCAGTAAATCAGTATTTAGAAAATAATACTTATGGCAGAAGATTCTCTACAGTTTGTAGGTGCATAAGTGTTCAAATAAGCAGTCACATTTGACTGTAAAAGCTGATGATTTTAACAATCTTGCAGCACTATATGAATGCATTGCTATTTCATGATTTTGTTATGATACATAACAGCATTTTTTTAAAGGGGAATATAACATTCCTTTGTTGTCAGATTTCTTCCAAATATTGTAAATATTTTTAGTAATTCATTGGGTGTTTTAAAATAAAAAGTGAGCTGAGAAAATACCCCAAACTTGATTTTTTGTAAAGCAGTTTTCCCTATTTACATGGTTTCATAAATTCTTAAGTTCTATGGTTTATTTTGTATAACTATCTTTTTGAAAAAGACCTCAAACTGCTCTTGAATGCAGTATCTGATAATCAAGTAGTATTAAATGAGATTTGGAAATGAGGTATTGGAGACAGAAGAGTACTGCTTGAGAAGCAGGCAATACAGAGGAAGGTACTGAAAGTCAACTGCTGTTAGACAAACAGAGTTTAAATTGAGCAAAGTGAGGAGACAGAATATGTATTGGGCTCAAATCCCCAAGCGCTGCTGTGACATTGGAAGGTTTTTTGACCATGGAGAAACCCTTGTGATTTTTGAAGCTGGAGATGTATGGAATTTTTAAAGATGAAAATTCTGTCTGTACTGGATTCTGCACGATTTGAGAGATTGGAGAGAGAGAGGTTAATTTTAATAATCAAACTAAAAAGCAATGAGTCACAATGCAGAAGCAGTAGTGATTAGACCATTTAAGGGAAACGTGCCTGAGGTCCTGAGAAGCTGGCAAATGGAATCAATATGATAGTAAAATAGTGGTCACTATTATCAATAGCCAAGAAAAAGATTGAAGAAGATCTCTGAAGGAAAACAGACAGAATGGAGCAACTTTGAGAAATATTTGGAGTCCAAGAAAAGAATATTTTTAAAGTATTAATTTTGTGAGTACAGAATTATTTCTGCTGACTTATCCAGTCATCTATAGTCTTGGGTGCTCTGTAGAGAAGGTAGAAAAGGAGCTAAGGCTCCTAGAGGCAGTGGAATCTAAAAGTGGGGATGAAGATTTTAGGCTTTGGAAAGACCTCAATATCTCCTAATCTTCTCTTGCTCTGAGAAAGATTAAGTCTACCTGTACCATTTGTGATTGATGTTTGCCTAACAGCTCATAATGGTAAAAATACTTGAAGACCTTCAGAAAAGAGCAGAAGAAGGAAGCACTGAATATTTATCACCACAATTTTGTGCTTTATTGAGAACATGTTTCCCTTTCTAACTCTTTTGACCTTTAGCTAATCTAATGTCTGTGTCCTCCAGAATAAATTGGTAGGTTAGGTAGTCCCTAATTTAAATCACCTGCTAATGGTTCCACAGACTTCTACCTAGGGATCTGTCGTAGACTTTCCTGACACCATAAATCTCTGCTGCTTCCTGGTTATGTGATGCTGCTCTGTGCTTTTTTTACATATTTCATATTCATATATATATATTGTATTTGCATAGTTCTGGTTGCAACAATCCTATACACCCTGTCTGCACTTCACAGCAGGCAGTCTTCATCTGCCTTACCCCCCTACCCAGATGGTAGCTGTGGAGTTGACCAGATGATGCAGTCATATTAAGAGCTTCTGACTATCCTTACTTTCCTGTGGAAAGTAAATGTTTTTGTGCCGGGCTGGTTCTCACATTACAGCAAAGAGAACTGACTCACATCTGTTACCTTGTAACATCAAAAGTACATAGAATTGATGGCATGTGCATTAAAATCTACAAAATAAGCATACATTGTTTATGAAGAAATACTTTAAATTCCAGATTTGGAATATGTTTCTATGTAACTTTATAAAATAAACTTTTAATGTGAAAAATGGCAGTTTTGGTCATGGAGTGCTGTTTACTGGGAATAACATACGGCTGGAAACTTTTAATTTACTTTACATTGAAATGACTTCGGTTTTAGGCAAAGGAAAAACATTCCAGCCCGGTACCTTTGCTGTTAATTAATCTCCTGCTCTGTTTTTGCTTTTCTTCCTTTGGTTTTTACTCATCACAGATAGCGAGATACAGCTGAGGCGAGACATGGTTTTCTGTCAGAGCCTAGTGGCCACAGTCTGCGCTTTTTCAGAGCAACTAATGGTGGCCTTGAATCAGATGTTTGATAACAACAAAGAATATGAGATGGAGACACTGGAGGCCAGCAGAAGGTGGTTGGAACAGATAGCCAGTGCCGGCCTTCTCCTCCATTTCCAGTCCCTGCTCTCGCCTAATCTGGTAAGAGTCCTCACGTGGGATGCTTGGTCACAGCTCCTGTTTGTTCCCTGAACCAGGGGCACAGTTAAACAATCTTAGTTATAAATGCGATTTTCTGTGTCCTTTGTGTTTAGCTTGTTACTTAATTAGATGTTGTTTGGAAAATTTGTGATTTAGATAACTACATATATGGGAAATGTTTGTTTGTAATATGGGAAATGTTTTCCACAAAAACAGTATTATGCTTGTTTAGAGTTAGCAGATAGTGAGTTTATCCTTGAATCCTCACTGCTATTGTAGCTGTTCCCAAGTGAATGCAATGTTAGGTGATAACCAGAATTTCAGTTTGCAATAAGCAGCAATGCAAGATAGATAAAATACCTGGTTTGGATAACTTTATCAATAGGTTGAAGAACTAGAAATGCTAGTCTGTTTTGCTCCTTGTCATAGGACAAATCGTTGTAGCTTGTCAGGGTAACCGGAAATCTGCTATTTCTTCACAAGGCTTGGCAAAGAGCCATGGTTTAAGTAACAATTAAAAAGGGGACAGGGCTTTGTAGTCCTCTAATCCCCAGTTACCCAAAGTGCTTCTTCAGCTATTTAAGCTGCTTCTCACACTGGACTGTTTCCTGCTAACCTGAAGAACTGTGAAGCAGTCTGCGTGGTCTGCTTTGTGGCAGTCTTCTCAACCTCTGGAGCTGCTCACTGAAAATAACTGATTTGGTACATCCTGCTGTATAAAAGTCCACACAAATAACACAGTGTTCCTAGTATCAAAGGTCTTCTTTCCTTGCCTTGTCTGTGTCGGCAGCAAATTGCTGTCAAGCTGACCTGATAAACTTTAGAAGCAGAAGAGATCAATAAAAATAAAGGTATTTCTAAATCACGATCATAAAGTATTAGTCTATGGTATTGTTGGAGAGCATTGACTTGAGCTGGTGTGAGCAACTACCTCACAGGTAGTTGAGGTACCCACGTGGACTTGGGTGGAACAGGGTATGTCAGGATGAGGTGTGCGGCTTAGAAACGGATAAAGTCGGTGCCTGAGAGAAACAGGAGTGCTGTTTATCCACGTGAGGAGTATGTGAAGAAAGCATGGTCTGGAGAGCTCGGGTCTTGAGTTTTGGATGTTTTTTAGCACCATGCAGCATCAACATAGCCTAGTGCTGGAGTTCTCAGAGTTCGAGAGTAAATTCAATTGGTGCCTGTTTTGTTTTTCTATATGCTTAGCTGTCATCGCAAAATAACTGTTGTCTTTACAGCACTGAATATTTCTGTTTTTTTTCTTTCAAGATTGTAGAGATTTCCTTTATAGTGAAAATGCATGGTGCTTGGCTGTTTTCACATAATCAGATACCAGCATTATGCATTGTCAAATTGAAAATAAAATTAAATTTAGTCTCTTCTGTCTAACTGTTCTTAACCAAGGGAAAAGTGTTTAAAGGCAACTTTTCAATACCTTCTCAGCACTATTTGGCTTATAAATGATCCGTGTTATTTTAAACAAGGGTATTTGAAGGAAATTACACTCATTATAGTCAGAGTTCAGTAAAGAATGAGCAGTTGTGCAAAGATTTCCCATGTCACTGAACGGTTTTCAGACTATTCTGCTGATAAAACTTCTCTGTCCATAGAGACTTCATAAATTGAACCAGGAGACAATATTTCTAGCACCTTTGCTTTTTCATAAATACAAGAGGGAATGCTATTTCACTATATAGATCGGGGAAAAACATGCTTTTCTTTTTTTCCTCTTTCTACAATTCATCAAGCTATAGTTTATTCTCATTTTATAGGCAGCTAGTTTATTAATCTTTGACTTCTTGCTGTTTCAATTCTTAGAGGAGGAAAAATGCATGCCTCAGATTTCCAGTTGGCTCTTGCTAACTTAAGGTACTAGGGGAGGATTGCATAAAGAATAGAATTACTTTAAGTGATTATCGATTTCTGCTATAATTGCTTTGCATATTTAATTTAAGATAACCACACTGTAGATGACTATTTTCCTTTTTAAAGGTTCAGTAAAGTGTGAGAAGTCAGTAATTTACTTCCTGAATCTTTTTTGGTAAATAAGCCTGGATGTCTTTAGCTATCTCTTTAGCTCAGGAGTACACAGAGTGAGCCATAGGTGCAAATCAGAATATTGGCATATCTGCATACTTGATTTGCATCTAGAGTTTTGTAGGTGAAGGTGCAGATCATCCTGAGCTGTACTCATTCTGAGCTACTGGTTCAATTATTGGTGCTTAGAGTGGACACGATGAACACTCATCCGTTCTTTATAAATGAAATGCTAAAGTTAAGGCATTTTTTAAAAGAAAATTGCTAAAAAGAAGAATTTGTTTTGCACATTTCCCCTCTGTTAATTTGCAAGCTAGACCTGGTGTCAAGACAAACTGTTGAAGGCTGATATCCTACATAAAGAATAATTACAACATTGTTTGATTAAAAGCCATGAGAAGTAATGGTAGCTATAAATTACCTATTAATTTATGTGAAATGATAACATTCATTTTAATAATCTTGGACTAGTAATAAAAGGGAAAGTGCCAATAGAAACAAAGACCTTTATGTTATCTAGGAGTTAATTAGGTTATAAACTGCATAAATGAAATGTTGTGCAACATTCTGTAGTTACTTTTATGTCCTGCTCTCATATTGTTTGTGGTAGGGAAAACATCTGGCTGAAATGACCATTCATTTTTTCTTTTGCCTTTTTTAGGCTGATGAGCAAGCCATGCTAGAAGATACACTGGTTGCACTATTTGACTTGGAAAAAGTTACTTTTTACTTCAAACAGTCAGAGCCAGAACCATTAGTTGCGAGTGAGTACTTATAATTAATATCTGGGCTTTACTATTCAGAAATGTTTTCTATATTTGTAACATTTTTCTCTCCTAGAAAATTGCCTCCAACAGGGAATGTTATACAACTAGGGATTGTGGAAAATTAATAGGTCTGTAGCTCTCCTAATATTCCTAGATTTCCTGAAATACAGCTAACATCAGTGACAATGCAGAATCATTATCTGGCAATGTCAGTAACCTTGGGGGCAAAACTGTTTGCTTAACCAAATTTTCCATTGGGAGTATGTGACTGCATCGGGAAAGTCCCTGGAAGATCTAGTTGTTATTGAAGAGTCATGTGTAAAGTAAGCTTGAAAGTCTTAATAGAGAAATGTAGCTGAGCTGAGATGAGATGGAAAAGCATAAAAATTATTTCACTTTATTGTCTGAAAGACAGAGTAGACCTTGGAAGAGTTCCTTAAAAGGAGATGGCAAACACTATTAAGATAGCTTTAAACTGTGCAAGAAACTTCCTCTGAGAAATACTGGTGCAGACAGTCAGGGTCCTGAACCCTCCCAGTACTCACCCAGCTCGCAGGAGGGGACTGTCTTCGCAGTCTGCTCTTTATACCCTTCACTCATTTTCAGCCGCTCCTTTACTAATATGTTTTCAGCCAGTAGAGATTTTCCTGCAGTGAACTTTGTTTAGTGAGCAAAAAGCCCTCATTTTTTCCTAAGTCTCATAACTCCCCTGGGAAGGGAGGAAAGCATGTCTGCTTCACATCAAGCTTTTCTAAAACAATTCCCTTGCCGGATTGAGACCACACGTGAGAGAACTTCTGCAAAAAACAAAACCAGAAGACACAAAGCTCCTCCACAAAGCTGCCCATAGGCCAAAGAATTCAGTAGTGCAGGACTGGTAGTCAAGTAGGAAATAGCCTATATAAGACCATATTTATTTCTGTATAATTCAACTAAGGACCCTTTTCAAAGTATTTTAAACAGAATTCTGCCAAACCAGGTGATCATATAGACTGGAGTTACAAGAGGGCCTCCTGATGGGGGGGTTAGCCCTGTGCCTATGTCATGAACTGTTCATATTGCTGTATCTTCCGAGGTGTCTGTGCTAAAACAGAGATAAATGGAAAGTCTGTGTCTTCTAGGATTGTAGTAGACTCTTTATTTCCTTCTGATTTAAGTGCTTTCACCACAGTCATCCTGACTGTGGTTACAGAGGACAAGGAACTGGCAAATTTGGTTTTTACATTTATGATTCTGCATAATCAATAAAAGAAAAAAGGTCTTTTTCTTATTATCAAACATAGTGAAAAATGTTCCTTTGGAATCTTTTCCATTTAGGTACAAAACACACTGTGTAAAAACTACACAATAAAATTATTAATGCAAATCACTAAATTTTATTATTACTGCTTTCAACTTGGAGACATGTATAGAAGCGATACTTAAGCAGGAAATACATACAAAGCTTAAATTGAATTAAACTCACTTCCTCTGAGAGATTTAGTTATATGGAGAATTTTCATCAACTCTTTTTAATGTTCATTACATGTTAATCATCTGGCATAATACACACAAATGTATGTTGGGGAATCACTGTAACTGCAAAATGATACTGCTAGTTGCCCTGAACTCTACACCAATTGATGTATTATGACACTTAGCCTGTCAAAGTGTAATGAAGTGTGCTCTTACAGTTTCATATGATCTACTAGAATACATTTGTTTTCTCAGTTGAGTCCTGATTTTTAATAATAATTTAACAAATATGCCAGTAGCTATTGTATATTTACTTGTGTTCTATCCCGCACAAATCTGAGGAGAATCTGACTCTATATATGATACTGACCTTATACATCGTGCACCTGAGGAAGGCATGTGCAATATGGCTAAACGTATCATTTCAGTGATTTAAACTATAACCTGTAAGTAGATGTTTCTTCAGATTTACAGGGAATACAAGCGGGATGTTGCCAACCACATTATTTGCTTAGTATTTTTGCTGTCATTGACAGGTTAACAAAGGTGACAGTCACTGCTTTTCTGTTTATCTACTTCCTGATAATAGATAGGCCAAAAGTGACCACAGCAACACTGAGTAAAATATAAAATATTACATGTATTGGATTTGTGTCTGCAGTGATTTTTAACTGTGTAAATTTTGGGTGCAACAGTTTCTGGAAAAAGGACATGTCATTGCTTTTAATGAAACAATAACACTGACTGTATTCTTAGATGTACCAATCACATACCAAGCAGAAGGAAGCCGGCAAACCCTGAAGGTTTACTTCTACCTTGATAGTTGCCATTTTGAACAGCTGCCTCAAAGGCTGAAGAATGGAGGGGGATTTAAAATCCACCCAGTACTTTTTACACAAGGTAACTTCAGTTTTAGTTTCCCCTCCCCCCCGTTCTTCCACATAACATGTAACTGTCTTTAAAACCATACTTACTCACTCTGATTTAAATCCTCTGTAACAATAAGAGCACAGTTTTTATATTTAAGTATGTTGTTTAATGTGGGCATTTACTGAGAACTTTGAATTAGAATGTGAATTTAAGAAATGCTGAGATTTGTGATAAAAAAAGAGGCATGGGTATACATTTCTAAGTTTATATCTGTTATATGATTCTAACACCAAAGAACGAATCCTCTTTCATCAATATCGTTTTGTTCTTTGTAGACGTTAGTGGACAACAGTCAGACCATGAAACTTGCTTTTAAGTGTTTTACTTTCCAGATGCTAACCTTTTATTTCAAATTTAAGGTCTAAATTGCTGTCCCTGGAGAATTCTATCTCTTTAAAATGTTACAAAGACTTAAATAACATTTTCAGGATTTTCTAGTTATGACACTGCAAATGTTACTGGAGTGATGGATGGCGGTGTTGATGATGCTCAGAGTGTTCATAAATTGCAGGCAGCCTGCATTAGCTGCACTGGCATTAGAGTCATCAGGAGCGTGGAGTTTGATTCAGTGAAATGGTGAATGTGTGGTGCTGATTGTCTTGAGCTGCCTTTGATTTCAGAGGGAGCTGAAAGTACTCTGTACCTTGCGAAAGGCTTCCAGAGCCTACGTGGAATAGGCAGAAGTCAGGCATATGAATTAAGGTTTCAAGGAGGGCTTGGTCTCTGATAGATAAGGAGGATGTGAAAGGGAATAGCTAACAGTAAGATACATGAAAAAATAGCCAAACTTACTGTAAATTTAAAACACACAATTTTTTAAAATTAAGGTCCTTGAAGTCTGATTTTTAAACAAACTAATAAGGACAGACTTCAGAGGATTTCTTTTGAACAGATTGATTTCAGTTGTAGGGGAAAATGAGAACACTGAGCAGGATACACATTTCAGTAGAGTAGACAAAAAGGCACATAAAAGAGAACAGAAAATACCTTGGTTTAGGTGAAATCCTGGAAACACTACTTTTTTTTTTTTTTTTAGATTCAGGAGGGGATTCAGTGTGCTACAGAATTTATTTTGCAGAATTTTTTCCCTTTTTGTTTCCAGAAGCCCAAAATATTTGTCTTAGGTTCAGCATCTTTGTAGTCAGCTAAAGGAAAAGGGCAAAGTTTCATTCAATTATTACACCTGCTTTATGATTTTCAGTAGTATAGAAGATTTTTTTCTTTCTTTATCATACCAAATTTCTTTTAATTTTTAAGGATTACCCTCCAACATTGTCCATTAGACTCCAAGAATAAGAAGTCCTTCATAAGAAGTTAAATCCTTGTGTTTATTCCCCCCCCCCGCCCCCCCCCCCCCCCCAATAATGAGTGAATTGAGATTCTGTTTTTTACTTCTTTCCTGTGAGGTTTGGCTGAGCTGCCACCAAACTCAGTAGATCCCCATCTTTAACTGAAATTTATTAGCTACAATTGTAGAAATCTTCTGTAAGTTCCTCTGTGAAGTGAATTCTTTCTTCCCAAGCTTAACAGAACTCAGCTGTTTCCTGATTAAAGTACAATGGTTTATGATGTTGTTAAATGAAGCATTTACAAAATCATGGGTTTGGAATACTTTATCAAAGGCACAAGTCAGTGCATATCAGTCTGTTTATCTCTGTGTTGCTCTATTCTGTGTTTCATAGCTCCATGCTGAAAATTACAAGTCTATATATTTGCAAGATTTGGACTGTGCAGACATTTTTAGAGGTTGTAAATGTTTACCCAGGCTATATTATGTATCCCTTCATTTGTGAAAACAGTTTTGTGCAGCCTTATACCTAAGTGTGTACATTCAAAATGTTCCTGATTTGCAAGACTAGGGTCTGAAAATGTTGTGATGCTGTTCTTGGCATTCAGATTTTTCTATTTCCTGTGTTAGAATTAAGATCTCAGCAATAAATAAACTTAATTAAAATACACTTTATTTAAAATGAAAATAGAATTTATTTAAAATTGCTACTTAGTCTCCTAATTATGTAGGGTTTTAAAATTTCTGTAGAATCCTAAAATAATTCAGATTGGAAGGGACCTCAAGTGATCTCTAGTCCCATCTCCTGCTCGTGGCAGCATCAACTGTGACATCAGACCAGGTTGCTCAGGTGTTTTATCAATTCGGATCTTGAAAACACACAAGGACAGAAATTGCACAACTTCTTGGGTAACCGATTTCTCTACTTGACAGCTCTAATGGTGAAAAATTGTTTTCTTTCTATTTAGTTGAAGCATCTTGTCTTTCAATTTATGTCCATTGCTTCTTGTCCTGACAGTATGCACCATTGTGAGAGCCTGGCTCTGTCTTCTTGTTGACATCCTGGTAGCTAATGGCACCTGGCTAGTAGGTCCCCCCCAAAGCCATCACTTGTAGAGGCTGAACAAGCTCAGATCCCTCAGCCTCTCCTCACAGGGCTTGTGCTCCTCCCCACGACCATCTTGCTGTCTCTCTACTTGATTCTTTCCAGTTGATCAACAGCTTTCATGTGCTGTGGGGCCCAAAACTAGACAAAGTATTCAAGATGTTATCTAATGAGTCTTGAGTAAAGTGGGGACAAGCACTTCTTTCAGTCTACCGGCCATGCTTATGTTAATGCAGTTTAGGATGCTCTTGGCCTTCTTGGTTGCCAGTGAACCCTGAAGGCTCATGTTCAGCTTGCCGTCTAACGTGACCCCTAGGTCCTTCTCAGCAGAGCTCCTCTTTAGGCTCTACTTTCCCAGGTGCAGGACTTGTCCTTGTTCAGTTTCACAAGGTTCCTGCTGGCCCATTCCTCCAGCCTGTCTAGGTCCCTCTCTGAGTGGCCCTGCACTTGAATACATCCAAAGCTTCTCCCAATTTGGCATTGACTGCAAACTTGACATACCTCCTCCAGGTCAGTGATAAAGATATTGAACAGTATAGATCCCTGTGGTATTCTGCTTGTAATGGACCCCTAGGTAGACCATGTCCCATTAGCTACTACTACCCTTTGAGCCTACCCATCCTTCCAGCTTTTTTTCCCATTCAGTTACCTATGCATTCAGGATCATAATATCCTAACTTGGATTCAAGAATACCATCAAAGACATGCTTGTAAGGAAATCTTCCTTACAAAAGAGCTTTCTAACATATTAGATAGAACAATGTTAAACTCTTCAAAAAGGGGAGAGCCAAAGCACACTCTGTGGGATTCCCTGCCAGCACCTGTGAACATGGTCCCCGCAGTGCGTGTCGAGGCAGAACTGTGCACTCCAGCCAGTCCCGACAGAGGACTGGCTTTCCTGGTTGGGTAATCTATTTGGATAAAACCAACTTTATGCCAGTAAAATAAGCAGTACGGATTATCAACTCAGTTTGCACTACCATGCTATTATAAATGGAGTTCAGCAGATATTTTTGTGGGGGCTTTCTGTTGTGTCTTAGCACCAGGGAAGTTAAGAAGCAAGTCTGACTGTTGAATATTTTTCACACAGAAGTAGAACTAAAAACTCTGAAAGCACAGAAGGGGAGTGCAATTTGCATGTTCTTTCACAATGAATGAATTATTTATTAACTGGTCATATTAAGCAGTACAAGCAGAATTAATATTCTGTGTGCAGCTGAAGCTGTAAGACGGCAGCATGTTTCCATCAAAACTCAGCTTATTGCTTGCATTTTCTGATGGGGTGATGAATTCTTAGAATGTGTATGGATTATTAAAGTGGCAATATTCCTAATTGTAAAATCTTCAATGCTTCTCCCCCAAAAAACTACTTCACCAAGAGCCTGTGTTTTATGTTATAATAAGGTTAACCCTTTAATGTGAAGTTCTTGATTTTTCCAGTCAAAAATTTCTTGAGAACCTTTCAAACACTTGATTTGACTTGGCTAAAGAAAAGGTTAAACTTTCCAGAGTATCTAAATTAAAGGGGTTGAGGGAATGTTCTTTTTTTTTCTTTCTTTTTTTGAAAATGATTGTTAGGGAGAACATCCCAAAGTGGAATGGTAGTGCATTCATTTTTTCCGCCTTTTAATTTCTGTGCAATGATCATATAAGAAGGACATAAGATCCTTCCTTTAATGGAAGTCTTTGTTTAGTTCCTGAGTTCTTGTAGCAATATTCATCCTTGCTTTGGTGAAGTGAATACAACAAAGGTGGACATAGTCAAGTATGTGACTTTAGAAACTTACCTGATCCCTGAAAAGGAGTTTATAGGTCATTTTCAGAGATCTGGAGAATTTGTTTTGCTTGATCCAGAAGAAGACATTATCAGTGGGAATAACTAGAGGTTCAGGTGTTCCACATCTCCCAAAATCAGGCTTTGTAAGAAGTTCTTAGGTCTCCCTCTGTGAAAGTAGCTGGTACATTAATCCTTTATTTCCTCTACCCCAGCTCATTCTACTGTTTTCTTCCAGGATATATCAGAACTAAAACCCAGAATTACATTCATGGGGCAGGAGTATTTTAATCAGAGCAAGAGAACTCAAGCTAGCACTTTCCTTTATATTTTCCACAGGGCAAGAAATACCATTTTTCTTGTAAATGGAATCTTAGAGAGATCTGTGTGAATTTGATAACATATGGAAAAACCTTAGAAATCCACAGTGGGGTCACAACTTCAAGGTTGAAAAGTAATTCACTACTGTGTGAACAAAGCTACAAAGGAAGGTGAACACTAAATACTTAATACTGATTTTTCTCTTCTCCATTCTCCTTTCTCTTTTCACAGCATTGGAGAGCATGGAAGGATATTATTACAGAGACAGTGTCTCAGTAGAAGAATTTCAAGCTCAGATTAATGCAGCCTCACTCGAAAAAGTCAAACAGTATAACCAGAAACTACGGTGGGTAATAAACTAACATTCTTGAGATTAGTTTACCAAGTTCTGCTTTTCACCTCAGTTTCTGTGACCCATCTTTAAATTGGAGTGTGTTGTATGGTGGTTATTTTTGGTGCATGATTGAATATCCAAGAGTCCTGGTTCTGACTTGTTCAATTTTTGCACTAAGTTACTATTTAAAAAAATGTTTTCCCATAAAAGCTATAGCTGTAATTGCCTCCAGGTTGTTGTATTAATGTATATAGAAAAGGAAGTGTCTACTTGATCACAAATAGAGTATCAGAATTGCTAAATATGATCTGATTTTGCAGACCATATTTATCTAATTTCTACAGAATAGGACTTAAAAAATAGTGTTTTTTTCCTCAAAACTGAGCATCTTCCTCCCTATCCCCACTGTACTAATGGGAATCTAAATGTATTTGGGTACTTGTTTCAGCTTCAGGTATGGGTTACAGAGTGCATACTTGCCAGAATTTGTAAAGATTATGCATCTGTGTATTTCAGTAAATATTTTATTAAGGAGTTGCACATAAAACATAATTTCTGGTATACAAAATAATCTATTAGTTATGAAATAAAATAATTAAGATGCATACATAGGACATTCTTGCATCTCTCTGTAGCTGTGTAAAACACCTGTTCAAGTACACTGACTTGTGCAAGTTGAAGAAAGACTGAAAAGGACTGCAGTAAAATCACATCTATTCACTTTTAAAATTCTTGAATCAGATGGAAACACTGTCACTTTACTATAACTGTTAGGCAGCTTTTAAAAGCAGCGGAGTATGGGAGTTTTTAAAGAAAGAGAGGTTAAGGCCAGTGGAGAAGGTGAAAGAGGGTAAACGAGGGTCTCTTTTTCCAATTCCTTCACCTGTTGACCTGCTCCTGTCTTTGTAAGGTTTTCTTCATGGATCTTGCAAAAGTATTTCTCTAATGTGTTATCAAAGGAGAGGACTTTCTGGGTTCTGCTCTAATCTAAGCAGTACTATAGCAAAAGTGATTTCAAAGCCAGTTGTATTCAGTGAGTACAGTATATTTATTTTTTTTTGTGACAGTCTGCTTTTATGTTAATGACAAATGTAGTATTTATTTAGTCTGTTTTCCACTGTCTTGTTTTAGTACTTCCTATCTGGGAAAAAAAAAAGTTCCTTCTGAATATTATTTGACGAGGCTTATGTTATAAATCAGTTTTACAGAAAGCTTTGGTCATCCCAGTATTTGGCCTAGATGAACTCAGCTAGTGTTGGAAAGAGATTTCTATCAGTTGGACAATGCAAGACTTTTTGTGCTGTTTTTTCTATGAATAGGCACAATTTAGACCCCATGAAAATCCTTAAAAGAAATTCTTCCTGACTTTATGTTATAGTGTTCCCTGACCTTGCTTATCTTGTGTGTTAGGACCTCCATTCATGCTGTGGCTCTAGTGAGGTACATTCCTCTTATGGTGTTGTGACTCACAGCTCTGCTCAGTTGCTAAACTCCAAGGCCTGGTTTTGCAAGAAGTTACTATGAAGAAGTTAGCATTCAACAAAAATTACCGTGGGTAGCTCTGTCCAGTCACAAGAATAGGAAAATTTTGGATTTTTTTTTTCAGCCATCTAATATCTGATGAGAACATTCAGTAAATGATTTTTTTTTTTTGTTTGCTTCCTGGTGAACTCAATCCATTTCTTAAATGAGGCACAAACAGCTTGAGGAATTCACTGACATAATGTGAAGAGGAAAAACAGAAAAGCAGATGCTTTGTTCTTGTTCTGCCATTTGCTGGCCTGTGTAGGTGTTTGGCCAGGAGAATCTAATAAAGTAACTACAGCAGCAAAAGATATTAACATTTGGATAATTGCTCTAAAGAAGAACAAAAAAGTGAAATTGAATATTCCCTGGAAACATGCTCAAGTACAATAATACTATCTTAAACTCTTCATGTGGAAGAAAGTCTCTGTGCAGAACCACCTAATCAGTAATAAAATAGGTCATTCTAGACACAATTCATAAGCCATTCTTTCTCCATAGAAAAGGAATGTATTGCTTGCTTGTGGAATGACCATCTGATCACCATTTTACAATCTATCTCCACAGCAGTGGAAAGCAAATGAGAACAACAGCAAAAGTAGTGGGAGAAGAGGATGGGGACTAGTGGGACTGAAACCACTGGTTGACAGTGGCACTGCAGCTGAGCCAGCTGTGGATGAGAACTCTTGATACAATTTCAGCTTGGTCCCACTTACCAACTGAGATGTTGGCCTAACTTGGGATGTAGCCAAGCAGGACAGTAAAATTAAAAATGAGTACTGCCCTTTCTCAGTTACCTCTTAATTTCTTGAGGTAAAATCTTGTAAAGTTTGAGTACATAGACCATTTTTGAAGAATGTGTTATCTTCTGGGTGGCAAATCTAATACCGATGTGTGCCTTAAAAGAATTCATCATACAAATTATTTATTTGAATGGATAAAAAGATACATTAGTAAATTTTCAGTGTATTGCAGGAAGGATAAGCTTTATCCATCATATAATGTAAAGGAGCTGAATCTTTGCTTTTATTGAAAAATTAATTCATAACTATGGAACTGTGACCAGCTTTTCCATAGTATCAGAAGTGATACAATAAATCCAGGTGCAAAATTGTCCTTGATGCTGATTTGAGCATCATAAGAGCTCCTGTCTTTCATGGTTGTTGCTTTGGGGCTTTTGCAAATACTACCTCAACTATGAAATAGTAATGATGAGATTATCATTTTTATGAGAATGGATGAAAGACAGTTGAGAATCATGCTTATGTGGAATGAAGAGAATATCCCTCCATCTTCATTAGTAGACTTAACCCTAGCTATTTGAATCTAATAATAATATAAGACAACTTTTATTCTAAGGCCAGTTAGAATTTTTCTACAATTCGTGAGGCAACTTGCCCTACCGCAGCAATATGTAGGAAGTCCTGTATCGGAATAAAGATGTTATTTTTTTAAAAAAAAACAAGCAATACCTAGTTTATGAAACTTCTGAAACTGCTGGGAAGTCTTCAATATCTGGGCCACAATTATTATTAATTGTGTAGGATTTCTTTTTCACAGTCAGGCAGATTGCACTTATTTTAATAGATCACCAATTCTGTTTCTCTGATACTGACAAGGAAAAGAAAACTATGCTCCAATTCTGTTTGCAAGTTGAGCTGGTGCTAGCAGTTGCCAGAAATGTAAATTTAACCTCATCATATTGTTTGCTAATGAGAAACATGCAGTACTAGCAAGGGAGAGTAAATGGGTCAGCAAAGATTTTAAAGATCTTTATTAGTATGTGTTTGATAGCTCCAGCAGTTGTCTTCCAAGTTAAAAGAGGACCAGAAAGAACCTGTGTATCTGTCCTGTACAGAGGTTGATGTCAAGTAAGCCCATTCTGTATTCTCCTGCCTCCTCCCACTTTTCCCCATCTTCCCCCTTTGTTACTCCTTGCTGTTCAAACAGGCTTTTTCCATTCTGCATCAGCCCTTTTGCTTCTACAGATACCAGGGACCATTTTGCAGGGCACAGTGGTGTTTGAATCCATAACTACTACAAATGCTAGCAGGAATAACGAAAACTCATAAATGTACTATATTTACCTGGAATGCTTGGTTGGTTTAAGTATTCTCTTGCAAATCTTGAGTCATGTAATTGTAAAGCATGAGGGTAAACTCACTGTAATTTTTGAAGCATTACTGCTTTAAGAACTATTTAGTTAAAATACATTCTGTCCTTTGCATATGACTTTTATATCTGGTAAAGGTCTCTTTCCTGCAGAGTGAGATTCGGCATGGTAGTTTTTATTATGTACCACAAAAATAAATCTTACAGTCATTACTGCTACCAAAAGGTGGGTTGTAATGCAGGCCTGTTGGAAGGAACAGGGACAGACCCTGACAGACAGGTTTAGCTGGAGGGCCATACTCAGACAATCCTTGGACTGAGTAGTGACTTCAAAGTAAAACACTTAATTGGATATGAGAACAGTTTTTGTCCTCAGAGAAATCTGGTTTTGGATTAGCTTCCTGCAAAAAGTAAGCCATTATTTTGTTTTTAAATGGACTTTGATGAGTGCAGGAATGACAACTTCTGTCTGTAATGTTTGTCCAAGTTATCAGAGGTTTGGACTTGATGGCCCAGGATGGGACTTTCAGTCTACAGTAGTAAGGAAGCTTGCTCTTCCAGTCCTCCTTTCTCTGTGAGTATTTGACATTTTATCGGATTAGGCTTTTTTTTTTTTGGTTGGTTGGTTGTTTCTTTTTGTCTGTGAATTCTATTTCTGGGAAAAGAAAATGGGTCCCTGTTATGACATTCTATTAAAATGCAATTTGCTCATGGTTGGCTTCTTAATCAGAAAAATCCAGGCACATCTGCTCTTTAAGAGTTTTTTCCTGGACATGTCTGTACACACGAAGGATGTATCTCAAAGGCAGAGAGGATGTTCAGGGCACAGGTCATTCAGCAGGGTGCAGGGCTGTGGCTGTACCAGGTATGCTTCCAGTTTCTGGGTCTTTGCAATATGCTTCACTGCACATTGTTGACTGCAAGAGCAAACTATGGTGTAATATGAGTGCCTAAAACTGCACATCAGTATTCTTGTTTGGATTCCAAAACTGTCTATGCAGATGATTTTTAGCTGATGAGAAATGAGTGAAATCACTGGCTTTTAGATTCGTAAGCATTTTTAATGTCTCTTCAGCACCAATCCTTGCATTTAGACATCTAAACACCTTTAAAATTTGGTTCCTGGTATTATGGTGGCTTGGATTGAGAATAATCAGAGGGAAGTAAGCAAAATAATAGATGAAGGTGAGGTTAGGAGAGATCTACGTTTTTATAGCTTTTCTTTTATTCCCAGCATGGCACTTGTATGTGACACCCTTGACTATATGATAACCCAGTTCCTCACTCCAAAGATAGGATCATGCTGTGGGAAAGACAGCTGAGGATTGCCATCCATCCCCACCAGTGGTACGGGTGCTAATTACCACTGTAATTAA